GACCTCCGTTCCCCAACGCCTTCAAAGAGACCGCGTCCGCCTGGGGGGGGTCGTCCTCCACCTTTTTCCCCCTTCTGCCTTCAAAGGCCAATTCGTCGGGGGAGAGACGCTGCCTCGAGGCGGGCGAGCGGAGGAGACGTCAGGTTGTTTTCGTCAGAAGATTTGCTTTGAAACCGGCTATAAACCTGTGAGAGATTTCTCCTGTAGACTGGTCAAAGGTATGTGAGCTATCCGAGAGCCGGAGGAACGGGGAGGCCGGGGGGGGCATTAACCCGAGCCGATCACAAGCTCGACTTATTTGCTTCTATGAAGAACGTACAGAAGAACTTCGATTCCGGTCGTAATGTTTCAATGAGAGACCGACGAGGGAGGAGGGGGGGTTTGGTTGGTATCCTCTGTATCCTCCTCTGGGACGCGGCGTCTGAAGGCCGGAGGGGATGTTTGTACCATGTTTATGTGCGTGCGTGTGTGTGAGAGTTGGTTTGGGGAGCTGCGTGTTCAGACAGTGTTTCAGCGCTCTCAGAATTACTCACTGCAACACGTGTGTGTGTGTGTGTGTGTGAGAAAGAGGAACACGTCTCTGCGCGGCCTCGTAATGAAAACGATAGTTAAGTTCACCGGCCGTGATGAGTTGACGAGACTGCTGAGCCGCCACTTCAACACGTGGTCCTCCTTTACAGGACTATTTCAGCATCTACTCTTTGTTCTGGGACACAACAGAGTCACTGGACTGTTTCTCTGGTTGCCGGTAGCGATGATCATTACAGTCTGATTCAGGAATGTAGTGTATAAAGTGTGATGGTTCCCTTCCCTTTTGTTACTAACAGCGGCGGAGCTACGAGGTGCCAACATGCCTCAACAGAAGGACATAGTGAAGATTGCCATCCAGATGCCAGGGGCCTACCCCCAGCTCATACAACTGGACCAGGTGAAGCGCGCACACACACACACACGCACAACCAAAAGATGACACATGTCGTCCTTTTCAAACCACAGCTGTACGTTATGCTTGCAGCATCTTTCAGCCTCCAGAGGCACCAGAGTTTAAAGACGCCCGTGGCAGCGCAGTTGGTTGAATGTGTTGGCATCGCCGGTGATGTCATTGATTGGTCGATTGATCGAGACCAGTCAGCCTTTTAACATTCATTCTTTTCTTCTATTTTTGACATAACAATCTACGGCGCACCAACATTTTCAATGTTTCATAAACAAGTTCAAATATGAATAAATTGCCTTTAGCTGAAGTGTCGCCTGGACTTCCTTTTTTATTTTCGTGTCACCAGGCCTCCTTCCTCTTGAACGTCCAGCTCGAGAACGCGACCCCATTTAACCCCTCAGCTCCTTGTACAGCCGCAGCCTTGTTATGCTCAGACCTAAATACATTTCATTTAGATAATTTATTCAATTATTTTGCAGCAATCCACTCTCTCTAACATATATATATATATATATATGTAGATTCATCACATTTCACAGCATGAGGTTGTGAGGGAGTTTTCCATGTTTCTCAGAAACCATGAGGAAGTTGCACTTCCTTACCGAAGACACTAATGATAAGCGTGAGTGGTTTGAACCGAATCCCGTGCAGCACAATTACATTCCACCCATCACTTGAGAAGGTTTCACTGAAACGGGAAAGAACACGTATCACCGGTCGACACCCTTTTTCAAGTCCCGATGCCTTAAACAACATTTTGATTTTGTTTGTGTTTCTGATCCGTAACAGCAGAAAAAAAAAAAAACATTGCTCACAACCAATCGTGCCGGCCCGGAAGAATCCCCCCCCCGACACCTTCCCACCAGCCCGGGCGTCTCGACTAAACCCATTTCATTGGTTGGCATTCTCAGCCGCCACTAATGACCCCCTGCGCCCGTTTGGGTCCACCGCGGATCCCACAGACATTCTGACTGGTGGACCGCTAATGGCAGGCTAGCTGAGGGCCAGACAGGCAGCAGCTCCTATTCTAGAAACGCTGTCACTTCCGCTTCTCTGCAATCGAGGTTTGCAGCCAAAAGTAATAGTCGTGGTACCGTGATCCCAAAACGTCATTGCTGCTGTCGTGACCCACGCGTGTCCAAAGGGGTTTACTTTTTTTTTCTTTATGTTCTATTTGCTTTGGTTTCTGACCACACGCTGTTTTGTTGTGTACAGAAAAAGCCTCTGTCTGCTGTGATAAAGGAAGTGTGTGATGGGTAAGTTGGCGCCGTCTTTGTGGTGATGTCGTTGAACCGTATATATGTCTGTATATTGTGATTGATGTCAGCGTGTGTGTGTGTGTGTGTGTGTGTGTGTGTGTGTGTAGCTGGAACCTCCCGGGTCCTGATAACTACGCCCTGCAGTACGCTGACGGAGTGCAGACGTACATCACTGAGTCGGTGAGTCACGTCGGCCGCGTGTGGCGAATGAAACACAAAAAGGTGATCTACACCTGGAAAAAAGTTTGGACTCCCCTGGACGACACCCTGAGCAGCACATCTGAAAACCGTCTCTAAGTTGAAGACGAACACGTCAACGAATGTACAACAAAGAATCTGGGAATTCCAATTGTGTGAGTCCAGAAACGCATAAACGGAAAGACACCATCGCACAAGGTCATCGGCGCAGGACAGGAAGAGACGGATACGCAGAAAAGCAGCTGGTCCTCTTGGTGTTACGTGACCTTTGTGAAAAGGTCGTCTCTCCCCCCTCCCCCTCTTTGCAATGGCGTCACAACGAATAAAGCAGATGTATAGTTGTATTTCAGTGTTGGATCAGCAGGCCGGTCACATCAGTCTCCCTAATAATACTTGATAGAAAAGAAAAAGCTGTTTGTCTTTCTGCAGCTCGCACATAGATTTGTTCTTATCTGAACAAGTCGAGTCACTAGTAATTAATTACACACCATTTTACTGCAGATTTTAGCCGACTATATTCATCCAAGTGTGGGATTTTTCATAGATTACTGTGTGTGACGGGCTTTTGGGCTGTTTTAATTCCCTGCATTCCTGACTGTTTGTTTGTTTGTAGAACCGTCTGGACATTAAGAACGGCTGCATTCTGCGTCTGACCAAGGCACCGGTGAGTCTGCATGGACCGGGCTTCTCGCACTCCTCCCAGCGCTCTGGCTCCTTTCGTTACCCCATGATATGAACAAGCAGCGCGGTGTTGTTGAACGCAGGGCCGCTGTGCAGAGGACCTGTACAAGGGCATCCAGAGCTCCGACTCGGGGGTGCGCTGCGATTCGCTGAAGGAGCTGGCAAAGGTTTCCACCGACGTGACCTTCGCTCAGGAGTTCATCAGTCGAGACGGACACCTCTTATTGGTGAAAATAGTAGAGGACGCTAACGAGTGAGTTAATCCTCCATGGCTGGTGGGTGCCAGGGGTGCAGAGCGGTGACCTGAACATGTATTGACAGTATTCGTTCATTTTTTTTGATCAATCCGAAAGCGCTTCATATTTCTTTGTATGTTTGTCTGTCATTCAGGAGCAATGTGATAATGACCCACACGCTGAGTGGCTTCATGGAGCTGATGGATCATGGGATAGTGTCATGGGAGAACCTGTCGTCTGTCTTCATCAAGAAGGTGCTGCATCTCGTGCTCAGCGTCTGTTGTTTTGTTTGCCGTGGCTTCAGTTGCACCCCTTGTCTCAAGAGTCCTCCTCCTTCTCTCCTTCCCTTCCCTTCAGATTGCAAGCTTTGTCAACGCCAAGCTGACCGATGCGTCTATACAGCAGGTGTCCTTGGACATCCTGGAGAGCATGGTGCTGAGCAGCCACAGCCTCTTCCTGGAGGTCAAACAGGAGATCACTATGGAGCGGCTCATCGCTCACCTCCAGGTGTAAGAAACCAATACATGTGGTCCAGCTCCTAGAAGCCGATCCTTTTTAGTAGTTAGTTGAAATCTTTAATGAATGCAGCCACAGCAGCTGGATGTACCGATATTTGAAGGTAAACCACATGCAGGCAAACTGCTTTCGGTGGAGCGCAGTGGAACACACCAGAGACTGTGGTAAATGTTGCAGATAAAATTGATTTAAAAAAAATCTATTGTTCAGCAATGAGAAAGTAACTTTGCCAGTGATACAAATCTCTGGGCGGTGCAGATAAAAACAGCAGCCCAGACTCTGAAACAGGAAGTTTTTAAATATGTAAAAGAAAAACTAGTGCAGACAATAGCATTGTTCATCTGGACTGAATGTGCAGATGTGAGGATCATTTTAATCTCAGTCTGTTTTTCTCCCTAAATGCACCGTATCACCATGATGTCACTTCTGTTTTTGTCTTCAGGACGAACCAGCAGATACAGACCAAAGCCATGGCGCTACTTATGGCGCTGCTACAAACAGCCGGGGACACAGAAAGACAGGTGCCGCCGCAGCCCGCTTCTTACTTTCTAATCAGATCGCACATCAACTTCCTGTTCTCATGGCTATTAAAACCAACAAGCGTGCGCGCGTCTAGCTACTAGTTTCAGGGCCTCCTTCAATGTCTGACTGACTGAAAACCAGCTGATACTTCTGTCGTGTTCAGCCATCGTGACTCTTTTTGCTACCGTGCATTTGTGTAGTGATAGGGAGCTTTTGTATCCCAGGCAGAGAAAGGCCGTTTTTTGTGCATGCGAGTCGGGATCCTGCAGGCGTCACTTGCTGCAGACCGCTGGAAAGTCGAGGCTTTCACTCCCACTGTTCAGTCCCTGGTCTTCTCCTATTGTACGGAAACAGTCTCCTCATTCAGCCCTGCGTCTCCCTCTCAGTCAGACTCTCTTTGTCACTGACGCACGGACTCGCACTTCCTCACTTTAACAGTCAGTCAACAAACCCGCCCTTCTTATCAGCACATGGGCCCTGAAACCAAACGAGGAGGCGGGGCTAGAGATGCATGTACCAGTAAGTGAGGGTTTTGTCCCAGAGGGTCAGAGTCCAACACGCTGACCCTTGCCCCCCCCCCCCCCACTAATCTGCAACTGACTATATGTCACCACCTCCTGCTGGAAACATGTCATTACACGTTTTAGTCGCGCTCACTTTTTTTCCCCTCTTCCTTCTGTTTTTCCAGGATATTTTAGCGTTCCTGAATAAGAAGAATCTCCGGCAGTACATTCATAAAGTAAGTGATCTCTTTATTAACATTGTCTCAAATAAAAGCAACATCTCTGGCCCATTGAGTTCATTTGTGTGTTTTTGTTGTAGAACATTATCCATAGTTCTGGTTCAGTCCAGGACAAGATGGCCCACTACCTCTATGTCCTACAGTCCGTCACCTTAAATCACATGGAGGCCCGCATGAGGACTCCTATGGACTGTTACAGCCAGGTGAGGCGCTGAAATCATTTGCTGCTCTGTCTGACCCGCCTTGCACATTTTCTCTGGTTGGATTTCTCAGCTGGTTGGCCTCAAATTGTTAATGTTTAAAGTACTTCCCTCCTTTAGCCCTTTGTTCTTTTATCTCAACGGAAGTTAAATCAGCGGTTTGATCGAGCTGTTCCAGTTTCTACATTTTACCGAAAAATCTAATAAAGCTTTCATCATAATAGTGACTCGGTGGTAATTATGAGATGCGCCACAGCGACCACACAGAGATGTGCACCACTAACCTGCCAGTGAACCTCCTCGTTTTCATCCGCAGGAGCAGAGAGATATCCTCCACAACCTGCGGCTCGCGGCATTTGAGACGGAGACGGAAAACAGTCTGAACCACGAGAGACGCCGCTCGCTCTGCGCCAAAGAGTTCAAGAAGTTGGGCTTCTCTGTGAGCGACTGCTTTAAAAAAAAAAAAAAAAGAATCATTAAATCTCTGAGTTCTTCTTATTTCCACTATTCACATCGCTGTGATTTCATATTGATGTTTTCTTTGATCACTTCAGAACAATAGTAACCCCGGTCAGGACCTGGTGCGGACGCCTCCCGGTCTTCTCGCTCTGGACACCATGTGTTATTTTGCTGCACGCTACACTGATGCCTACAGCAGGGTGAGTGTCATCGAGCTGCTTGTGTCAAAGCAGCTCATTTTGCTCTTTGCAAAATGCAAAGAGCAAATGTTGCGTAACTGTTCCGAGCAGCTTCATTTGTAATGATGACCTTTTACAATGGACAATTGTTTCTGTCCCCCCCCCCCCAGTTCGTCCTGGAGAACAGCAGCAGGGAAGACAAACACGAGTGTCCGTTTGGACGCAGCAGCATCCAGCTCACCCTCATCCTGTGTGAGATCCTTCGTATCGGCGAGCCCCGTGAGTTGTCCTCGGGTCCTCGTGGCGTCGGCTGTCTGTCACTTTGCTCTCTTCAGTCCTCCCTCTCATCGGTTCCTTCCTCCGTTCGCAGCCTCGGAGACGGGCAGCGACTACCATCCTGTCTTCTTCAGTCAGGATCGGCTGATGGAGGAGCTGTTCTGTGTCTGCATTCAGCTGATCAACAAGACATGGAAGGAGATGAGGGCCACGCAGGAGGACTTTGACAAGGTAGGACAACAGCGTGGCGCGAAATGTCTTTGAAGGTCCAGCAACATGCAGGATGACTTTGACCTGGAGGTTCTATCTTTAAACCCAACCGGCTTTCTTTTCACTTTACAACAGTGGTTGTGACTAGGAGACTACTTCAGAGTTTGATTAATAGATCAATACTGTCCTCAAAGCCCGACTGCCTCTTTCCCTTTCTTCAGTCTTTGTGCTAACAAGTGATGCTGCTACCCCCAAAAGGGAACTCCTTAGATTCTTGAAAGAATCTGTATAATTTTGAGGTACGATACAGAAAGATTAAAAGATCCAGAGCTTTTCCAGTCACAGTCTGGCTTATAGTAGAACCTCTCACAGGCTCCGCTTACCACTGTGACTTTGTAATGTGTTATTCTTATGATGACCGTACCCGAATCCTGCCCCTGCATTCAGGAACGGTAAATGGTAAATGGCCTGTACTTGTATAGCGCTTTTCTAGTCTTATGACCACTCAAAGCGCTTTAACACTACATGACATCATTCACCCATTCACACCCATTCATACACTGATGACAGGAGAACCATACACAGTGACACCTGCCATCAGTAACTAACATTCACACACTGTAGTCGCAGCTACAGGAGCAATGTTGGGTTAAGTGTCTTGCCCAAGGACACAACGATATGCGGGTTAGCCGAGTCTGGGATCGAACCGACAACCCTCTGATTGGAGGACGATCGTGCTCCCCACTCACCCACAGTCGCCCTCAGGAGCGCACGGTGACCTTACAACCCCAACGTGGTACTTGATCAGCCGCATTTCAGCATCACACTCAACAGAAGGCAGCAGCGGCGCTCCACCGATAAAACTCTACCGCCATAAAACCCTGTGACCCTTTGACCTATTCAGGAGAGGCACGGCGTGCTGAGCGCCAACCCGGCGGGCCGGCCTTTTGTTGTCGACCGCAGCCGCCTACCCAGGGTGCTTTGGGGCAAGGACAAAGGGTCATTGGGTGGACAAAGAGAAGCGTGGTGGACGGCAGAAACGAAGGGGAGAAGGAAAGGAGAAAAACAAAGCGCTCGGGGCACAAGCAGTGATTACTCAACAACATGGAGGGGGGAGAGGGTGGGAGGGAGGGAGAGAGAGACACCTCGTGAGTTAGTGCCGTAACGGTCACCCTCCACACACACATCGGGCACATGTACGTGTACATGCTGCAGGGTTCCAGGGTACAGAGACGCTCCCATTGGCTGGTTCAGCTAAATGACATAAGGGCTGGGCGGGGCATGAGGGCGAGAGGGGGTGTGTGTCAGGGTGTCTGTTTACAAAACACCCACAGGCCCGCACCCCCCTCCTGTCATGTAGGGGAGATCTCTGCCTCACTTCCACCGCCTGTCATCCCGTCACTGTTGACAACCAGCTGCAGTTTCATAGCCGGGATTGAAATATATAGACGGTGCAGAAGGAGGAAAGATGGAGGTAAGGCTTTTTTTCTTCTTCTTCCCTGTTTCCTGCTTGAGAAGTATGAGGATTCGAATTGGGAAGGCCAATCAAAGGTTTCCACTCCACATTTTCCATCAGACTCCAAGGCTGAACCCGTAAACAGGGGAGCCGCAACCAGCAGAAATGACGTTTAGCACGAGAGGTCAGGTGACAGGTGTGCAGCAGCTGTCCCAGGTTTGTGTCATGTGAAAGTTGGAGCACCGTGAGTGCATTTTGGCTCGGGGGGGATGAGGAGGTGGGGGGGTCTGGGCCAGAAGCCACAGGGCGAAACTCTAGCCGCTTGTTTTGTCGTCCTGCGTGTTCACACAATATGAAATGACCATCTGCGCTGGCGCTGCGGCCGGACGGATGGACTCTCGTGTGCTCATAAGCGGCTCACGTTCTAACCCCGAGGGGGGGTTTGATCTCTGATTGAGAGCTCTGCTTTTTGGTTTTTGATTTCGAGGTCAGCAGAGTGTGGGTCAGATAGAGCGAGTCCGTTTACTCTCTGCACCTCTATAGAATCCCCTCCATTCACAACCGACTCACGTATTCTCAAGGTGGATGTATTTCTTCCACATTTCACCGACTGCGTTGAGCTCCTGTTTTAGGGCGCCGGGGGGGGGCGCCCCCCCCTGCCCCTCTGTGTGAAGTCATGCAGCACAAACACACACACACAAATAAAGCAAACGCTGAGTCAGAGCTACAGCATTTTAATGTGGGGGAGTTTACTAACTTGTATTCTTCCAAATGAAATGATTTTAAAATGAGGGTGAACCCGGTCGACCGTATTTACCATATTGATTCACTAAATTTGCATGGTTGGAATGAGGCTGTTGGGCGGATGTTGCAGACATTTGGGTTAATAAAGAGCGCCCTGATCGATGCCCGGCCCCGTCACGGGTCAGACGGGGTCATGTGATTGAACAGTGCGCAGCAGGAGAGACTCGTTCACTTTGAGCTGATAATTAAAGGAAATATGTGAATGCAGCCAACCCTAATAATTAATGAAAGACAGGAGGAGAGGAAGGGGAAGTTCCCTACAGGCTTCACTCTTCATCACTCAATCAATCAATCAATCAATCCGGGGGCCGTGTTCTGGAAGCTCCATTATGTGGCTTTTAAAGGTAAAAGGGTAATAGTTACGGGCTTTTACTTTTGAAATGGGTGTTAGGCGTTTGCTGTGTTTGGATTTCACTAGAACCTCTGCAAACCTCAGGGTGGAGTGAGTGAAAACCACCACAAACAGGGTGAATAAAAAACAAATTGGAGATAGAAAAGAGGAAGAAATAGATCGTCCCTCCCCGGATTTGAATTCATACATTTCTTTTTTTTTTACTGCGGACTTCTAATAACGTTAGTTTTTGTTTCTTACTGGAACACACACATCCCACACCCCGCCATGTCACCATGTGACCCGCCCTGCGTCTAACCTCGCTCCGTCTCCAGGTGATGCAGGTGGTGAGGGAGCAGATCACCAGGACGCTGTCCAGTAAGCCGACCTCCCTGGAGCTCTTCAAGAACAAAGTCAATGCCCTGAACTACAGCGAGATCCTCAAACTGCGGCAGACGGAGCGGCTGCACCAAGAAGAGACGTTGGCGCTGCCCGTAGTGTGAGTAGCAGGACGTCCCAAAGAGCGTTCATGCCGCTCTCAAACGTGTGTGACGAGGCGTAACGCGCGGGACTTTCTCCCCAGTGAGCTCAAAGAGCGCCTGAAGCCGGAGCTGCTGGAGTTGATCCGCCAGCAGAGACTCAACCGGCTGTGTCAAGGGACCATGTTCAGGAAGATCAGCAGCCGACGCAGACAGGGTGAGACACACACACACACACACACACACACCCTAAAACAGCCGTCTGCGTCTGGTTCCTCCCACGTCTCTGATTGTCTCCCTGCTTCTCCAGATAAACTGTGGTACTGCCGCTTGTCCCCTAATCACAAAATGCTTCACTACGGTGATGCGGAGGAAGACACCGACAGTCCCACAATCGAAGCGCTGCAGAAGAAGAGTGAGTAGAAGCTGCTCTGGGATGTGAAAATGAGTCTGAGCCCTGGCTTATTTATTCGAGACAAATCCGCCTCGAGGTCTCGAGGTTGCATCACTCTTTTTCTCTTCTCTCAGTTCCAGTAGCCGATATCAAAGGCCTGCTGACGGGGAAAGACTGTCCCCACATGAAGGAGCACAAAGGCAAACAGAACAAGGTCAGCAGCACCCATCTGATGTGCTCCGCATGCTCACAATACTCCACCGTGTTTGTACGTGTGTTCCTTGATATGTCCCTCCCCCTACTGCAGGAGATACTTGACCTGGCATTTAGCATCACATATGACGTAGAGGAGGACAGCCTGAACTTCATCGCCCCCTCCAGAACAGACGTGAGTCTCCGGACATTCTCCTCTCTTATCAAAGTTTGTGCTCGTTTCATAAGAACGTGAACCCATCGTGTGCTCGCTGGCTTCCTCTTTTCGGGGTCAGTTCTGCCTGTGGACAGATGGACTGAGCGTTCTGCTGGGCCGGGACATGACCAGCGAGTCAATGCGCAGCGAGCTGGAGATCCTGCTCTCTATGGAGATTAAGCTCCGCCTCCTGGACCTGGAGAACGTTACCATCCCCGAGAGCGCGCCGGCCGTCCCCAAACCGCCGAGCAACTACAACTTCTGCTACGACTTCAGCCAGACGGAGCAGTAGAGTGTGTGCATTTGGCTGTAGTGCAACCAAGACGTGTGAAAGTGTAAAAAAAAAATTGTGTGTGTGTGAAAAAATGGTGCACGTGTGTTGAGCTCCGCCCTGTGCCTCCATGCACTTATTCCTATAACACCGGTTTATTTCGTTTTGTAATGATCAATCAATAATTCTCAATACATCTTAACTAAACCGTGTCTTTTTTTTCTTTTCAATGGGCAGAACATAGAAGCCGGTGCTTTCTCAACACACGGTACATGTCATTCATTTCCAACATATGAAGGACAAATACAGTGGGTTTTATTTTCATGTTGGGCAGTGTTTTACTTAAATATACCTAATACAGGTACTGGCCTTGGTATGGATCCCAGTGGCTCAATATGGTTACTATGAAGTTAAGCTCTGTTTAACGTCTGGTTATATTACAGTGATGCACAGCTACACTCTTAAACAAGCCAACCTTTTTGGTTTTTTTTTTAGTTATTATCAACAGGAGAACGGTACCTTTGCTGTGATCAACAGTTTTCTAATGAGCAGAATTTGTGACAAATTGTGCATCCAGCCAGCAATCATCTGCGTATCTCTGTATGACGCAGAATGCAATCAACGTTTTTTCCTCAACTGTTGGATCTGAAACTGATTGATTTTACTAAATGGACAATAATATGATGATGATGATGATGATATGAGGCAGCGCGCTGCGGCACAGTTTGCTACACTCTGACTCTCAAAGCAAGTAGTGACTAACTGACCCAACGGTCTGCGCTGTATCACGCGCTGGGCTTTTGGCACAAGGTTATTTCATTGATTCCCAGTGTAAAGTGTTCTCTGCAGTGCTTCCCTGACACACAACTCGATACGCGATATTATCCACTCTGAATCACGCACTTTTGATGACTTTTCAATAATAAACAGTTTGAATATACCGAAAAACTAGAACGTGTGGGTTTTTCTTATGGCACGTGAACCAACTCATCAAAGAGATGAAGCCATTTGAGGCATCGGCCTGTAATGACCATTCAAGCAACCTCCTTTTTCTAACATTGTTATAACTTAACATGTAATTCCATGAAATGCCATGACTGTACTTTTGACATTACCTTACATTTTAGAACTACATGTTATATAATTGGTTTGCAACATGCTTTGACATGACTTTTTTAAAAATACTATACTTTTATTTTTGAAATACCGCAGAGTGGTGGTGTCTGTGGACGTCAGGGTTTGATCCAGATGAAAAGCAGCTGTTGATCATTATTTGGTCAGCGCAGCTCTACATAACCATGCTCCCTTTTATACCTTTATGTAGTTAGATATTTATAGCTTGTTATTTTTGTTTTTACTTTTGATATGACCACTGCAAGAGTTGTATGTATTGTAATACATAAGTTTATTTTATCAATTACCATCAAGGAAGAAGAAATTTCAAAAGCCCAATCTGTTCTATGTGATTTAAATAAATATCGAAGATTCAGATTCTGTTTCTGTTTTCCTTTTGTGTTTATGTTGATATAATTAGTTGTAGCATACAGTTTGTCCCGGGAAAATAAAAGGTCATGAACATGATTGTGCATTAGTGTTGAGTTTATACATTTATTATTAAAAAAGGAGACCAGGCGGACAGAAAATTGGAAAAATTGCAATCACAGGATTAAAAAAAACAAACATGAAATGTCTTTGGATGGAGTCACTCTTGCCCAATAAATACTTTTGGTTTTATTTTCAAACATAGTTCTAGAAGTTTCAGGAAATTAAACAAATAATAGATTGAATAGAAACATTTGAAAACCACAAAAGGACCTACATTCTGTTGAAAGTCTTTAAAAGTGGTGATGGTATCTGCTACAGAAGATATATTAACTTTAAAAATTCCTTTTCTTAATGAATGGGATCAGTGCTGACATAACATCATACATGTCATCATCATCATCGCAAGGCTTCTTGAACCGTGCTGGCTGCCTTGGACACATGTGAACCTGCTCCACAATGTACATAAAAAAGGTAACAAAAACATCACAATTCTTACTTTCAAGTCATTATAAAATACTGAAAACAGAATTCTGAATATTATATTCGATTTCCTCCAATAAATCTCCCTAAATCTATGAAGTAGTTTATTTCAAAAGGTTGCCTGTATTAGCATTGTATTTAAAATCGATTTTGAAATTGCTTTCAAGTAGAGCAAAGAACTAACCCAATCAAAAGGTTAAGAACTACGAGATATGCAGCTTGGTCTAAAGGTTGATTGTTGACTTCATATCCATCTTCACTTGTACTACTAAGTCTTACCTTCCTTTATCGCTGAAAACCAGACATTTACTCATGTTAAGCACTAAAAAAAGGAAAAGCAAGAACAAAGTCAGCAGCTCATTTAGCAAATGTGGTCAGAAAAAGATTAGTCAGAAATAATTAAATAAATTACATGATCATATATATTTAAAAAAACGAACTTTTCATCCCAACATAATTATTTGGTAAGGAAGAGGGTCTTTCATTTTTCTCTTACCGTTTACCTTGAAGCAGCTTGTTATTTCATTTAAATTAAAACAATGAGCAAATCTGTCTCATTAAAACAAATTCCATTCTCACTGTACTGAGATGTTGTGGTATTTACTTATTTACTTCCATGGTTTTGTTTTGGTTTCAAGGTAATTGTGCACGTACTCATATGAAAACTATATGAAAGCCCTCTGTGATGATGCGCCACATAAAATATAACCATTCCGGTCAAAGCTTTTTTGGGGTTATATAATTTGTCTGTGCAGTCTTTTCGTTTGAATCCAAGCATACGCAAACGTGTGCAACCTTGACCGCGCGGGCAGCAGAAGCACCTTCCACATTAGTGCCACACACGTGGCCTCGGCCTCACAGACATGTGGGTGACAGGCGGCTGCCGGCGGTCATCCAGCAGAGGACATTCAATCAGTCAGCGCAAGGGACGGATCAGCGCCACCTATATATTTGCAGTGGACATTTTCGAAGAAAGGCAGCTGAGACTGAAGGACGTCAACAGCCGTTACCGATATGTTTTTGCACCTCGAGATGTCGAGTGTTCGCAGGCGGCCACAGTGCTGCACCAGGAGGAACAAAGACCTGCAAGGGGTTTGGAGGGGAGGGGGGGGGGTGCAAAAGGTCAACAGTTCCATCCTTCCAGTCTGGGGCTGCAGACGTATGGAGCCGCACGCCACTCACCTGTCAGTGATGTTATTGCAGCAGGAGAGGTAGAGGTGCTGCAGCCTGTGCAGGTGCGGCGCGGCTTGTGCCACGCCGCAGTCACTGATGCCCGGGCAGTGGCTGAGAGCCAGGCTGGTGAGGCTGCGGCAGTGCCGAGCCACAGAGGCCAAGCTGGCGTCGGAGATCTCCGGCAGCATGGAGAGCGACAGGCGGCGAAGGTCCGGGTAACGCACCACCTGGAGAGAGAGAGAGAGAGAAGCGATACGCTGTCACCTTGTTGTTCCACACGGCGGCGGATACGTTAACTCTTTCGTCTCCCCCTACCTGCGTGATGCTGCTGTCGGTGAGCTTGGGGCAGGCCGAGAGGTCCAGCTCCTGCAGCCTGCACAGAGCCAAGAGTGAAGCTCCGGCCTGCTGTTTGAACTGCTGCAGGTCGGTCTGGGTCACCAGCTTGGGCCGCTCCTCAAACGGCAAACGAGGGGGCTTGAAGAAGCCCATGTTGCCAAAGGTCCGGGTGAACCTCGGACCCTTGTCTCCCTGTTAAATGACACCGTCAGTACACCGCTACGAAAAGCACAGGCCCTGTGAACTCCTCCGACCAGCCCTCACACGTCCTCACAGGTCCGTTGAGCTCACCGTCTCCTGGTCGGGATCACATTTGGTCGTTTCCACGATCCCCAGCAGACCCCAGTCTGTGACTTCTTTACACCAGCCGAGCCGCAGGACCACCAGCTTCAGCAGGTACGTGGCTATGGCGCGCACGGACAGGTCAGTCACGTTGACACATGACGTCAGGTCGAGCTCGCGGAGGGAATCCCCCAGAAGCTGGGTGAGAGAGAAAACTGCAAGATCCTGAAGAGAGGACGGAGAAGAATGTCTTTTCCTACGTGTTGTTCCACGCGCACACACACAAACATGCAAACACATGCAAAACCACATTAGCTGACGGACCCTGATGTAGGTGCAGCCCTTGAGGCTGAGTGTCTCCAGCTGTGCTCTGGCAGCACACGATCCCGTCAAGCCTTTCACGACCTCTGTCCCGCTGACATGCAGACACTCGGACAGATCGAGCCTCCTCAGGGACGACACGGACAGCAGCTCGGCGAGGCCTGTGGACGGCACGTGGATGCGTGAGGGCGCGAGTTGCATCGTCCCGGCCAGAGAAAGAGGCCAGGCTCGACTGATTGTTTAACGATATACATTCCAGGACGTAGATGAGTCCCAACAATTACCTCTTTAAGACACATGAGGGTTGTCAAATTTAATCAAATTACATTCAAATACTCATGTTGTGGATATTGATGGTCACCAGAATCCTCCATGAATCCTGATCTATTTATTAATCATCCGACTCACATTATTGCTAACAATTTCACTTATTTGATCCCAATGGAATACAACATCTGCTTTGTGATTTAGTTCTGACAAGGCTGTATATTGTTATTTACAAATAATTATTTACGTGTATGATACACAGGAAAACCGGATTACATCATCTGTACCTTTTTCAGTGATCCTCCAATTGCGCGACAAAGAGAGGTGAGTCATTGACTTGAGGCCGCGCGCTGTGGCCTCCACGGACCTGCTGGTCAGCTCCGTGCAGGCGCTGATGTCCAGCCGCTGGATGCTCGGCTGGTGCTGCACCAGAACCTCCACCGAGTAATCAGTGAGCTCCTTACAGCCGTGCAGACTCAGTTCCTCCAAGACCAAATCCTGAACCTGACACACAGTAAAAATGCAACGTAAAGGGGAATATGTGTTTTGTATGATCACAGGAAAGCAAAACTCTTATCTTTAGGAAAAGTTAAAGGCCGCACTGAAATCATGAGCAGAATGCAGTTATTTTGTCACTGAATAAACCAGCGCGTAGGTACCGGGGGACTGAAGGAAACCTGACCTGTGCTATCGTGCGTAGTGACTCGGGGGTAATAGAAGTCCTGCTGAGGTCCAGAGCAACAAGGGAGGATTTCTGCTCCGTCAACAGCCTCCGTACGTTCCTCAGCGACAGCAATGCCGAGGAATCCTTAACGTCCCCCACCGGGCAGCCTCGGTACGGGTCAAACTCGAAGGCGATGTGGCAGCCGGCCAGCGAGAGGCGGCGGAGGCGAGGGGTGCACCCGGTGAGCCGGTTGAAGGTGACGTCGGAGAGGTACCGCAGGTCGGACAGGTCCAGCTCCTCCAGCCCAGACAGAGCCGACCGGACCTGCAACCGCAAGATGGAGTTTGAGCTGAATCTGGAGCCACAGGTGGAAAAACTATAAAGTCGTGCAAACACAATGACATAAACATTTATTGAGGGGGATCAATATGAGCGGTGAGGCTACATTTAACTGTCGTAATAGTGTAGTGAACATAAGCGTGACACTTGACAGTAGGACACAAAAGGTTCTCAAGATTTACTCGGGAAAAGGTCCGAAAATAAGTTACAGTTCTTAAAGACAGACTGCTGCATAAAACATGAATAAATCTGTGCCAAATCACCAATTACCTCCCCTTTAAAAACAAAAAGATTGGTAACAGTGTTTCATTGGCACGATTGATTACTAGTAGGCACAGCTACGGTAACACAGGTTCACAGGTCTCTGTAAACTGCAGCTCGACCCCTCGCTAAGACCAAGAATGTGGGGTCGTTAATTGCCTTTAAAATCCTGCTGTTGGTTCATAAAGCACTAAAAGGTTTAGGGCCAACATTCCGAACCAAACATGGAGAAGCAGCGTTTAGCTTTTCTGTGCCGCATATCGGGAACAAACTCCCAGAAAGCTGCACTAAAGACGTAGAGACTGGGGACATGAAAACAGTCCAGTGAAGGAATTTTAAGCTTGTTTGTCTGTTTTTAATAAATCTTCTTAATCTATTTTCTTTTTCCTTGTTTCTTTGATGGTTTTATGTGAAGCACTTTAAATTGCCTTGTCTTTTTTAGATGTGCTATACAAATAAACGTGCCTTGCCTAGGAAATCATTATTACTTTATTACTTCATAATCTTACCATTACATAAAATGTTTGTGTCCCCTCAAAAAATGCACGGCACAATCTCCCCAAATTCTGGTCAACTTTTACATTAGTCACTTTAACTGTAATTTATCACTTTGTCGTCACTCGTCACTTTGTTACTTGTTCGCTAGTGCACTTTATGCTTAATATTTGTTTTACTTTTTTAATATTTTAAATTTTGAACTTTAACTTTATTCCCTTGTTTTATACTAACCCATTGCATTAGCATTTCAATTTACTTTATTTTATTACTTGTGCACTGCTGTCTTGTTGTCTATTGTCACACTGTCTACTGTCACGCACCAACCGCCAAGACAAATTACATTACATTACATGTCATTTAGCTGACGCTTTTATCCAAAGCGACGTACAATAAGTGCATTCAACCATTCCTTGTATGTTTGACATATTTTGGTAATAAATGTTTCCTGATTCCTGATTTTGTTGCATTTATTAGCACTTCACTCCAGTGTTCAAACACTCCTTGACGCATAACGCGACGTATAAAACCTGCTGTCTGTGCTCCTCCCTCGAGAGGAAAGCGCCGGACATGAAGAGGCTGTCCAGGCCCCTGAGGTCCAGCCTGCGGAGGGAGGTGAGACGGGGGAGGAGTGCAAGCAGAGAGGCTTCGGTGATACTGCTGCCAGGAAGGGACAAGCTCTCCAACTTGGAGCCCAGGCACAGACCCACCTAAAAGAAGACAAGGGAGAGCAATCTGCTTAATTTTGAGCAGGAAATTCAATGAAGCGCATACACACGCTATTGTTGAGTTGAGTGATAAGGGTTTGAATTTCGCAGAAACACCTGCAGCTGCTCTGAACTTTGGACCGCAACACGTCTGTGACTGTATCCTGGTCAGTTTGACGGAAATCCAAAATGATAAGAGTGCTGCCATGCAAATACTCAACGCCCTGAACTATCCTTGTTCCTGGTTGACTACAATGACGGCCTTTCAGGAGGGGAGACCTGAAGACAATGTGTCCCTTGACTTGGTTACTCCGATTGTTTTGTTTTTTAAAGGCTGTCAGAAGCCCGTCAGCTGGGGAAATTCCCTGGAGGAACAGGGAGATCATCTAAGGGGAGATTACAACGCTAATTTAAATCACAGTTCACATGACAGCAGCGATCAATTTCGTTCTCACAATAAATGCTACCGTTTCAGTCCAGAGTGGAAACATATGGACACACAGACGATCAATAATGCTCCCCATTTAGATTTTTCCCCCATTCACCTCTACATCCAATTTGTCTTGTTTGGCCTCGTAAAGCAGGATTCATTTGGGGTTCGAGGGGGAGCTTCAGGGGCTCTTCACAAATTTGTGTGATAAATATTCAGTTTGAAATATTCTTAAGTTGCAGCTTGGACAAATAAAACAACTTATAATAATCATATAATAATCGCGTAGTCTCTTCGGATGTGAAAACACCGGAGAATATTGATATGTACAAGGCATCTGAAATCATGTTAACCCAAGTTGGTATACGTTTGAATCATAACAGCATACTGCACCTCCAGAAGCAGTGATCTGGACATACTGAACCCATCGAGCTGGCTGATAATAAGACTGCAGCGTGACTTTCTGCTCAGACCCTTGATCAGCTCCAGCGACGAGGCTGAAGCCGGGAAGCAGAAGGTGACATTTTTCTGCACAAACAGGAACAAAGAAAGAGGTGGCATGCGGTTGAATTGACCCCATAGCATATAAAGCAGATCCTTAAAGCAGATCCTTCCACGGTCGCCTTTCGGCACTGTGGGTCTACAGCCAATGAAGCACCTCGAAATCATGATGCGAGGCAATCACCTGAAAGCTAAGGTCCTGGCTGGCATAGTACCAACTGCGGCTGACCAGCGAAGCTTCCTTCCTGTCCGATGTGTGAAGAAAGCGAAGGATGTAAACTAGGATCTGCGGCAAGGGATCAAAATACAGCATTAGGTTACATGAAAGTGTAAACAACCTGTACCTGTGTATCATATTGTAAAAACAATGTAGTTTATTTTATTTTTAATATACTCAATTAGATCATATTACAATTTTTTTTTCAGAAAATACTTTTGATAAAATACATATACTGTACATTTGTGATGTGTCTCTTACATCCCAGTGTGTTAAATTATTTCGTATTACATAAAAGTTACTCTAAATAACTTTAGTCTCTAGTTATGGACAAACTCACCTCCAGGGGAAGATCAGGTGTCTCCGTGTCCTCCCCATCGCAGTCCTCCATCGCAGCTTCTCCTTCGTCACGATGAAGACCTCCGGACCTTCATCCCCAGCGGCTCGCTGGCTCGTTAAAAGATGCAGCTAGCTGCCGTTAGCCTCACAGCTAATAGCTTGTGCGTGAGGGGAGGCCGCTGGTAAGTTCCATTATTTACGGTGAACCAATCGATGCGAAAACCGATACCAGATCGATGGAAGCCCGCGAGGTGGCTCGTCGACTGCTGTCAACTCACCGAGCGACTTCGCTGCGCACACTTCACCGCAAGCACGCAGCCTGTACGTTTCCGTCTGACTTCGGTTGGATCAGCTGACGCCTGCGAAAACACCGACGTCACGGCGCGGAGCATTGTGGGAAATGTAGTTTCCCCACTGCGTCTCCCTCATAGTGGTTCATCACCTCCAACGAGTCAGTTAGCGCACTCTGACGTCACTTAAAGCAACGACAGCGAGGTCGTTATGACATTACCTCTTCAACAACAACGGTTGCAAATAACTTCCTTCCTTTAGTTGTTGTTGCTGTTGTTGTTGTTGTTGTTTGTTAACTTGCGGCCATGTTGGGTCGGCAGAGGACAGATACATTACATTACATTACATTACAGGTCATTTAGCAGACGCTTTTATCCAAAGCGACTTACATTACACTTTAAACCCATGGCTTTTTCACATTTTTCCCAGCACACCTTCTTCCACGACGACCCCTGGGAGATAAACAACTCACGACTGCTTATGCTGATACAGATCATTTATTCACTCACAAGTTTTAAGGGCACTATATTACATACACATTCACTGTGTTCATTATGCGAAAATCCCTCCCCTCTCACCACACACTAACACATATACACAGACACACAAACACACACACAAACATATAACCATAAAGGAGAAAAACATTGCAGATCTTCTCTATAGATGGTCTGGCAGTGTGGTTAGCTGGTCTACGGCCCTTTTTCAGAGGCTGTATCGATAAAACCATCTATAGAAAAACATCATGCTGTGTCTGTAACATTATAACATATAACTATAACTATAACATTTTACAGCACACTTTATATATTAAGCACTATTAGAATGTACAGTATGTACATGTCACAGCACTACAAGCAGGAAAGTGATCTTACATGAACAGGAGAGTGAAATTCATCTAACTTTCAAAATATAAATGTATTTACATTACTGTACATAAGAAAACATGACAATTAAAATGTTGACTATAGTTATAAAATATGTAAATCAATGCTATTACATGTGTTGATGGCTATATATATACATGATTGATTATTAATATGTATATAATATATACTGCTTAGATTAGCATGTTAAATCAGTTAAAAAGGTGATGTTTTAACTCGCAATTCATAAAGCTATCATTGCCAAAGAGAGCCTGGAAATCCATGCAGAATAATCTGGGATGACGTTACAATGACCTGACAATGTCAACATTTTTGGTAACATTTCTCATGATGGAGGTACAGAAGATCATTTTATTACATTAAACATTAACATTAAAAACAGGTTTTCTAGGTCGGTGCTGTTCTTCAGAACCACTTTTAAATACATCAGCACTGCAAACTACTCACACCCTAAATTACACAACGTGTAAGGCAAATTGTTAATTCAAGTTACAAAAGAAACCTACTGTCAGCAGACAACAACAGCAAAAACCTTTTGGTGTGATTTGGAAAGATAAGAAGTTCGGTTCCGTTGAAAGGACTCGTCCAAGTTCACAGTTATGGCCTGACATTGTCACCTCGGTGTAGATGATGATGTGGTTGAATAGTGGAGAGTTAAATGGCTTGCTTTTATCTTGCTTTTTACCTATATTTAGTCTAATGGTTAACTCAGCTCATCCTACAACAGCTAATGTCATGGTAGTGATATTTGGTTAGTGGACATCGGTCAGTGAGGATTACAGTACTGCCTTTATATTTTTGCAATGATGCTGTCCTACAAAACGCCCACTTGCAGATCAGGTATAGCAGTTTTGTACGTGTTCATCAGCAACACCTCGTCACTTCTGCGTTGCAAAATTCAGCCGGCCTTCTCTTCCGTTGTTTATTCCTCCACATTCCTTTCAAAAAGAGCATTTCTTCATTCCCCAGTGATCCCTCCTATTTCCCTTCTCCTTAAATATCTTTTGTCCTTATCCTCTAATGAACTATCACAACTTCTTTTCTTTCCTCTTTCCACCCTCGCTCCCTTCGACCTCGCCGACGCCCGCCTCTCTTCGGTCCACGTCACGCTCCTGGTCTGCGTCACCGCAGCCCCTGGATGCAGAGGGAGGCACCGCGGAGTCGCTGTTGTCGGGGCGATGGGAGGCGGAGCGGAGCGCTGCAGAGCAGGTGGAGACGGGCGATGGCGAGTCGACATCTCTGTCGGATCCGGAACTGAAGGTGGGGGACGGAGGAGGCAGGGAGGAGGAGAGGGAGGGCTGGAGGAGAAAGGAAGACGTTAATCCACCACACAGTGGACATTCTCTTCCTTGTCGCTGTCACGCGTCCATACTGTATTTGCGGTACCTGTAGGGAGACGCTGGACTTGCTGTACTTCTCTTTGAATTTAGACAGAGCTCCTTTCAGTCCAGAGGATTTCTCTGCCATCTCCAAGGCTGCTCTCAGCAGTTTGGGAGTTTCTGGTCTGAGAGGGGCTGCCGGGACGTGAGCCGGGTTCACCTCTTCTTTGGGTTCAGGTTTCTTTCCCTTGTTGAGCATCTTCCTGTAAGACAGTAACTGTAGTTACTGTAACTGAACAATTACACAAGATTCACGAGAGCTGATTTTTGATCTGGTGGCCCCACTTCATCTGCACAGGACGTCTACAAAGCAGAGAGTTACAGTGTAACAGGTAACTGTTGTTGTGGATGCATTGATGTTTGACCTGGCCTTCTTGCGGAGCAGTTTCTTGGACTCGGGGTAGTGGACCAGGATCTCGTTCAGGTCTTTCTTGTCGAGGATGAAGAGGTTGGCAAATCCGTGGGCGATTACATTTGCTGTTCGCCTGTTACCGCCGCCTACCGCAAGCAAACTGCAAATCACACACATTATGGTGCGAAAGGTTATGTTCTACCTCGTTGGACCTATTAGCATGAGAAAAGCTCTGGTCTGCTAGACTTTTCTATACAAGGTTTATGGTACTTCACACAAAAAGACTGAAAACCCCACGTCCTGTTCTAAGGTATTTGTCAGAACGGCAGCTTAGATACGTATATAATAAACCTTTCCATTGTTTGCCATTTGTGAGCATCTTCAAAGACAAAGTTTTCATTGATCGGCATCTTTGAAAATGTCTTCACCTGATTTCTCCAAAGACCGATCCCGCCCTGAGAGTGACAAACACTGTCCTGCCGTCCGGTCCCCCGACCACCTGCACCTCGCCAGCCTTTATGATGTACATCTCCCGACCCACTTCGCCCTGAGCAGAAGAAAAGAGGGAGGCAGAGAGCAATACAAAAAAAACTGCTACATACAGTTGTCTTCTACAAACAAAACCAAAGCCAGTCGGGTTTTTTACCTTTCTGCAGACGTAATCCCCGGGCAGGTAGACAACGGAGCGGAGGCTTTTCAGCATGTCAAAGATCATCTGACGGTCACAACCCTGTTCAGGGGAAAGGACAGAAAACCGAAGACCAAACAGTGATCTCATTTGATCTCTATGACAACGCAACAGATGTCCTGCTTTGTCTCTTACACTGTGCAATTTGTTCGGGTGTCTTTTAGGAATTTCTACCTGAAAAAGAGGGACTTTGCTGACAATGGAGTAGTTGACGTCTATAGCAATGTCCAGGCGCATCTTATCTGGCAACTGAGTCAGCAGTTCCTGCTCATCTGGTAGGAGGACAGTGAAAGGACTGTACGGCTTAAAGGTCAGACGTATGACATGCATATGACTGTGCATGACAGTGTTTTCCTTACCCAGCATGCCTTGTGATTGCCAGGTGTAGTTGTACCAGGTTTTGACGCGGTTCTGCACGTCTTTGGGTATGCGATAGGAGGACATATATTTGATCGTGTTGTCCATACATGTGCGGTAGTAGGTCTGACCTGCTGTAGCTGCACCCACCACGTCACGCATCTGAGAGACAAAAACACGCTTGCCGATTTAACTTCATCCTTCCACAAAGACATTTATGAAGTATGAGTCTTTGCTGCCTGAAGGGTGTAATAAAGACACTGGAGCGTTTAAGGTTAAATATGTGGAAGGCGGAGGGCACTAATATCTCAATTACACTCGTATGCCTACCTGTCCAATCATGATAGAGAAGGCAAAGACTCCAACAAAGTAGTTGATGAGTTGGAAGATGATCTCAAACAGGGTGGTGGGGTCCGGCAGACCACCGATGGTGATCAGGGTCTTCACCGCAAAGTAGTAACAGCGAATGTAACTGAGCAGAGAAAAAGAGATATTAGAAAGAGACAGAGAAGGAAAATGTTTAAAATGAACAGGACGGGTTTTCAAATGAATGAGATGTCAAATTATAATACCGCCAACCTGTTGCCTTCGCCATTGTACACCCATATGGTGGAGCCTATTCCCGTGAAGGCAGAGCTCCAGTAGTAGAGACAGGCATTACAGTGGAGACAGTAAAGGAGATAGGTGGTGGTGCGGATCACTCTGAGAGACAGAAAGCGAGAGAGCCAACACATACGCAACGGAACACCGGAAACCAGGGAATCTGTTCATCTGAGTCCTTCTAAATGAAGGCCGACAATGTGGGGATGCAGAGATGGAACCGCCAGTACGGTAAGGCTGCATTCACTCCTAATCAGGACAATTTTGGGTCGCTGCATCCGAGGGAACGTGAGCTAATCGTTCGTCTACCTGATGATGAAGTCGTTGATAAAAGCTGATTTATTTGGCGCAGTGATAATCAGCGCAAAGGCTGATTGGGTGTGAATGCAGTCAGAGATATTATAAGATACCATCGGGCGGCAGCTGACCTGTAGATGTAGGCTTTGGTCAAGATGGCCTCTAAACGCTCATTGAACTCAAAGAAGGAGTTGATCTAAGGAGGCATTGATTGAGAAGAAAAAAACCATTTAAGGAGTTTGGCTTAAAAAATGGCAATCAAACATTTTAAACAGTCAAATGTGACTAATTACAATTCTCAAAACGGATATATATGGTGAAATAACCCTTTCCTTTGTAAGAGGGGGAATCTGTGTAAAGTTTCTGTGTGCAGCAGCATTTTGGATTTATGTGGAAAGATTCTCAGAGTTTGCCAGAATGTGGGAACTGGAACACACTGGTTTGTTTAGAAAACACAATAAAGCGTGTTAAATTTCACCTTGAGCAGCCTGGGCAAGCGAAGGAGAGGGTTGATGCCAGTTTTAAAATAGAAGAGCTCCAGGGGAACAAGACTGGCAACATCAAACTAAAAAAAAAGAGAAGGTACCACCTGGCTCACTGAATCGCATTGATGATTGAGTCAACACATAATACGAGAAGCAAAGGCGAATAGAGTCGGTTTATTCAGCTCTGGTAACTTACTTTGAATCGCCTGGTTGTCATGTAATTCTTTCTCATGTCTTTTTTCTCACACTGTAACAAAAACATAAGAACTGCAGATTTAATTATGATTCTTGTAAGAAGACAATTACATTATTTAATTATCGAAACACACATAACCTTGAGATTTTTCACTAACCTTGATAATGTATAAATATCATGTACACTCGTGAATAAATATGACGATAACAACAGAGATTATTTTGCTGTGAAACAGTGTTTCCTGTGATTCTGGCTGCGTGTGTCCCCACTGACCACTATGTCACCTCCGCGAACAAACTGTAGGCGCGGCTGGAAGACGGTGATGTCCAGGATGTAAATGAGGTCGCACAGGTAGTCGGTCAGCAGCCAGTAGTAAATGTTGTCTGGGGTTTGGTAGGGGAAAGAGCAGCGCACCGGGATGAACCACGCGTTCCAGTTCCACGCCAGAGAAACCAAAAGCATCCACAGCACGTACATTAGGTCTGAGGACGCGGCAAAAGATGAGATGGTGAAGGAGAAGTTGAAGGAAAAACAGACAGCAGGAGAATTGAGAGTGAGGAAAGACTGGAAACACTCTTGCTATGCAAGCAGCGATTACCTTTAATTGCTGTTAATTACAATAAGAGCGAGACAAAAAGAAGCACAAATAAGCTAAAGGAGCTAATCTGTAACCAAACGTTACAGTTTGGAAGTTGTCTTTGTCAAAAGGAGACAGAGTGGTGAAATGAAACTGACTTTCACAAATGGTGAGGTGCCCTCATAGCAAGAAGAGAGTGCAGCTCATTCTCCTTTACCCCAAACCCATAATGTTTAATCATTTAACTCAGTTGCATTTTGGACGAGCATCAAGCAGCTCAGTGCATTTCAATCAATGTGTTGATCATCTGTGAGGCATAGGAATTAGGGTTTGCCAGATCAAACTGAAGGTGAAGAGTAAAGGAGAAGCTACTGAAAAGGGGCAGCGCGTGGCGTTCGGCTGGGTTCTCACTGGTGAAAGGGTCGATGCTGGCAGGGAAGCGGTAGTGCATACAAGCTCGTATCCACCGAGGAGTTTTCACCTTGCAGCAACGGCCGGCCTGCTCCTCGACCACCCCGCTCTCCACTCCTCCTCCTCCTCCTGCTCCTCCTGATGGACCTGCCTGTGCCTCCTTCTCTACACCGTCCAGTGGCTGAGCACCGGGAGCAGGCTGAGGAGGAGCTGGAGGGAGACAGGCGGGAGGGGAAGGAGCAAAACGTTTTTTTTGAAAGGATCCAAAGAAGAAGGTTTACCATCTCAAACCGGATCACAGTGCTTTAAATCCATTGAAGGGCCTAAAATGCATCATGTGATGTAGGTCCTCTAAAGGGCTTTTCAATGCCACAAATGAATTACACCGCAGAAACATCTGAAGAGACAAACTGCATCATTTATGTTTATTTATGTGTTTGTAGATGGAAAAGACAGAGAAGGAAAAAGATTCTAACTCACAGGGGATGATGCTGTCTTCGTCTGAGCTGTCGGGGTCAATGAGTTTCTCCTTCGCCTTCTCTGTTCTCTCCTTAAACATGCGGACCAGCTCCTGAAGGCGGTCGTTGACCACCGTACTGGTCTGACTGGCTGCAGACGCTGGCCGCTCTCTCAGTCTGGGAAAAAAATCAAGTTAAATGATCATTTGCAAGATCACGAAATGTCCATATTGCCACACATCAGCAGTATTTAGTGTGTGTGTGTGTGTGTGTGTGTGTGTGTGCACAGCGCTCACATTTCATCTGAATAGGGCAGGCTGGACTGGCTGGGCCAGGCTCTGACAGGCATTCTTCCTTCATCATCATCATCTTCACTTTGAGAGTGAAGGGTCCTACTGATTAAGTCAAGTGGAGACAGCGTTGGGACGAGACAAAGTGAAACCCACTGCGATGTGGCTTCACTGCTCATTCTCTGAAGCCGCACGCGTGCATTTTAACACACAGAATCTAATTATTAGCTAAATATTCTGTACTGATGATTGTGAGGTAAACGGAACAATGCGAACTTAAAAGGATTAGTAAACGAGTGAATGAGCAAAGACTTGATTAATGAGAGACTATGGAGTTCATACCACTATACATCTATGACAGGGCAGCATGAGATGGATGGAAACTACAGCGGTCAACACAGTACAGTACAAGTGGGATATCTTACATCTTTGTCCAGATAGTCCTACGATTCCTTCCACTACTGTCGGGGATGGTCGGAGCGGGGATTAAAGTCATCAAGTGTTCAAGAAAAGGGGATCAGAAGAGAGAGAGAGAGAGAGAGAGAGAGAGAGAGAGAGAGAGAGAGAGAGAGAGAGAGAGAGAGAGAGAGAGAGAGAGAGAGAGAGAGAGAGAGAGAGAGAGAGGGATTGTGTGCCGAGTGTGTGCCAACGGAAGGCATGATATTAGTCCAAGAAACAGATGACAAGTGAAGATAATACATTACAATATTCCACAGGCATGGATGGATTATGAGTAGGGGGGGCACCAGCATATAAGAGGCCGCCTGCCCTCTCTGCATAGAAACAACACATACAATCTACTACTGAGAGTCGACTTTCACTCTTTTCACTCCACACTTCATTTGAGTAATTCTGCATATCTGTGATTGATTTGCATCTCTCTGATTGTTTTGCATGTTTTTGGGGTGTTTTACACTCTTTTTTTCTGTTAGGGCCCCTCCCTTCGGGTCCCTACTTGGTAAACCCTTTCAGTAATCCATCCATGTGACAGGCAGGTGACAGAGTGGTTGATACAAGTGGAAGATTATGATGCATCCATTTATTGACTTTCTTCTGACAACATGCTTACACCAATCAAATGACCAAAAAACGGTTAAAATCACACAAACATGAACAGAACAGAACATCACAACACAATACAACACAAACAATGACGCTCCACAACGATACTGATGACTGAGTGTGTTCTGCATAAACACAACAGTGTGTGCTGGTTTGCTTTATTTGTGTGAATCCGACAGTTCACACTGTTTTTCTTTTACGTCCAAACAGATTTCCCAACCTTAGAAAGACCTTTCCGATAATCCTAAAGAACACACCAGGTTTCTGCAGGACACTGAAATCCAGACTGTACAGCAGAGGGCAGTAGATCCTTTATAAACAGCACTAAGCAGAGGCAAAACATGAAGAATCTCAACCCAAAATGATACCTTTAATGATTCCTCAATACCATAAACGATAGACACAATTCTCTGTCACTAGAATCATTTACATTTCAAAAGGAATGTTGATTTCGATGACATTCTTGCGTTATGCCACAGATACCAATATTCTATAAAATCTCATTTTGGTTGAAAACTCTCCCCTTTGCCCACAGAGAAGATTGCACCTTGACATACTTCAAATAACATGCTTATGTGTGGTTTTACTGGAGCAAAACAATAATGACTGTTGAAAGAAGATTACACGCACTACAACTCAACCGATCCATGCAGTTTTCTTACTCTTTATCTCCTTTACTGTAGATGAACGCATGAGGGGAGAGGAAAAGATTGAAAGTGGTGTAATGTACAGCCTAAATGAACTGTCGATGCTTAAACTCAGCCCCTGAATGTATTTACAGCATGATCCCCGGCTAGTGTTCACTAAATAAACAACGTAAACCTCTCGGTAAAACAGAAGAAGTATTTCATACCTTTGACGACCTCCGGACGGGGTCACAGGGACGGTGAGGGTTGTAAGTTTGGGGTCCTGAGGGGGGAGGATTTTGGGGAGATTGCTCTGTTCCTCCCCCGCTGCCCCTCCTTCTCCTCCTTTCTCATGTTCCGAGTCAACATCCTCTACGTTGACAGCTGGACGAAGGCTGAGGCTAGAGCTCTCTGGCGAGGAAACACATTTTGTAGATGGATATATCATATACTATACGATACTGTTGCAAAGTAAGCGTGTGTTGCATTTAGAACAAACAGGACCGTTAGCACTGCCAGCAGCAAAGCACGTCACAGACAACAAGCAGAGGGGGGCAGGAGAGTGTGAGAGGGCCTACATCGGGCTAATGCCAGAGGATCCACCTGTGAACTAGGCCACGTATAAAAGTCTCCTCAGCGCCGAGAGGACGAGCTTACTCTTCCGGCGAGGAAGTGAGTCCAGCTAATCAGGCTCATGGTGCACTGGCACAGTTCTGTCGTCTTCGTGTGGCAACACCGCCAACAGCCAGTAAGCTGCCTCGTCCGTTTTTTACCCTTTGTCACAGACTTTAACAAAACAATGGAAGAGTTTTAGGGACGTTGCGTGTTTCCCACCCTGCCTCAGCTTATTTGAGGGCTGACTGAACCCTCAAATAAGCAACACATAAACAACTCCACCACAACACTAAACAGCTAGAGTGTGCTCATGATCAGAAACACTCTCACAGTGAATTTGCAATGACATCTGAACTCAGTTGATCCTTTCCTTTGTTAGGGTTTGAGGGCAATCAGCTGTACTTTTCATTTTAGAGCTATTTTACCCGGATGCCACATATATCACTGGTTATGGCTGAGTTCAGGTATCCGCAAAGAATACCACAAATGAACACATTGAGCTTCACACTCCTGCGGAGTCACCTGTGGCTCCTATCGCTGAAACGTCTGAGTCGTCTTCAATGAAGAACGCCGGGTTTGAGAGACCCGCCAGCTGGTGAGGCGGCGAGAGGAGCTGCTTTGACGGGGGGCTGACAATGGGCGGCAGGCGTGGGTAGGACGGGACATTGGGCAGTTCGAGGGCGCTACCATTCTGGGAAGACGGAGACGGGGAGCGGGACCGGAGCTGCGGATGGTGAGGGTGAGGCAGGGGGGAGTGTCGGGCGAGCTGGTTCAGCTCAACGTGTTGCCGGTCCTTGTCTTGCTTCTGTTTTTGCTGTTGTTGTTGTTGTTGTTGTTGTTTCTTAGGCATCTTGAGGCATAAGGCTGTTGAGGCGGTTCTGGACGTTGAGGAAGTACTGCTGCGTTCGGCTGGGAAACTGGGAGAGTTTCTGTGGGATGTTTGAAAGGCTCTCGGGAAGACCGAGGCCTACTGAACCGTCTGAGGTTTTGGGCAAAAGCTCCGTCACAGTCTGAACGATACTTCGGGGGATCTGTGTGAGTCGGATCTGGGAGAACTCTTGGCGCAATTCGGGAGGGAGGGTGGGCAAGAGCTTGGTAACATCGGAGAGCTGGGTGGGAAGCGTAGGCATGGAGGGTATTTTGGGAGCGGAGATGCCGTTCTCTTTGAAGAACGCGTTGATGTTGCCGAGGCACTCAGAGGTGTGAGGAATGCGCATCAGGCAGTTCTTAAATGCATCGCAGCTGATGGGAGCTACAGAGGAGACAGGCAGACAGGCAGATGTGCAGTCAGGCAGGATGCAGGCAGGAGATGTCTTCAGCAGCAAAGGCAGTCCGACTTCTTTTAGACAAGAAGATATTAATGACCGTGGCCAACAGTAGTAAAATCAAGTGGTCTGCATGCAGACATGCGTGTGTAAAAGCAGTCAGTCAAGCAGCTTGTGAGTTAAACGCAACAGTATGAAATACAGGGATGAGGCTGGTAATTAGAGCAGGAATATGGCAGCTCTAATTACCGTCAGATACAGAATATCAACAAAAAATACAACAAATTAGAAAGGTACACACCACCACAGTCGTCTCCAGGAGCTTCCTCCTCCTACAATGAACACAAAGCATTGAAATGAATGTCAGTGGAAGGGTGAGGATTAGCTGGGATCGGATGTGAGATATGTGAATATCCTCTGAAAGAATGACTCGTACGTATGAATTTGAATGAGCCTGAAGCTATTCAATTACATGAATTGGTTTCTCCCTTCGGTCCTGCATGGGCTAAACATGTCAGAGTCCCATGGCTAGATCATTTGATAAGATAAGATAATGATTATAGGTATAACTGGTGGAAAGGGTTGTACGGCAGAAGATGTTATCTGCCATGTTGATGCTGGTCAAGGATGTAGGGTAAAGTAAAACTGGAAAGGATCGACAGGGAAGGAAAGTAAACAGAAAAAGGTCAGGAGGGACAAAAACACTACAAAGAAAATGAAATTCCTCAATAAGGTCAGGCAGTGCAGGAGGTCGAGTGAAATGTGACATGTGTATTTCAGTCAGAGGAGAAACAATCATCTTCCTGCATGTTAAACCTGTGGACATTACTTTTTCACCAGCTTTGTCCGCCTCAGTGCTTTGACCGCCTTCCTCTGCTCTCTGTGGCTGCTGGGTCACAGGCTCGGCTTCTGAGTGCGCTTCCTGGGGCTCGACCTCTGGCTCTGGTTCTGGTTCTGGTTCTGGTTCTGGTTCTGGTTCCGGCGCAGCAATCTGAACTGGTTCAGGACTTGGAGGTGGAGAGGCGGTGGTCTGCTGCGACTTTTCTTCCTCTTTTGGCTCTAGATTTTGGTTTTAATTATAGATTACATGATATTCTATCATTGGAATACACAGCAGTCACAGTAGTACATCTGGCTGATGTAAACACTACAGAAACATACATATAAGATGTAGCTGCTTTTAAAGAAATCAGAGATATTACTAAATAAGAAAGCCGGTACTTGGAATGTGGCACGCTACTTGACTTTGCTCTTTTCTACAATTATTGGCGGTATTGTTAACAAAAATACAAACAAAAATCAAATAAAAACTGTACAGGTAGACGTGTTTGGATTCTCTACCTAGTTCCTCCGTCTCCACAGCCGGGCTTTGCTCTGTTCTGCAGTACAAAGTTAAACAAATCATGTTACAGTGTGTCTGGTAGTGAGGTTTCCACATTGAGTGCTGTTTAGTCATTTGGTCCAAATGACGGTTGTGTTAAAAGATTAAAAAAAGATGAAACCTAAATGTACATGTTGCACTTTTAGCTATTTTGCAAACATGAAACATAAAGTCTGATGTTTGCAGCTAAAATGTTTGGCTGTATTCTGAGAGGTTAAATATTGTGGTTTTGCAGATGGAAACATCAAAATGGAACATGACCTTTCCTTTTAAAACCATGAGCAATGCAATACTATACAATCGGCGTTCTAGACCTGCGTGGAGGCACAATACAGAAATAACATACTATATTATTATTATTACTGTTAATTTTTTGTATTTGTTTACTATTCTTTATTTATATTCCCTTTAGGATAGACTTTCTTTCTTTTTTCCATATCTGCAGCACTAGCACACATTGAAATACCATGTGATATGTTGAATCTGTGTCTATAAGTCCAACTATAGACACACAAATTACTACTTAAATGGCTGCTTACGATGGTTTTAAAAGGCAGAATGTCAATATATATATATATATATATATATATATATATATATATATATATATATATATATATATATATTTTTTTTTTTTTTATCACTTATTCTTAACTGAATAGCAGTGCAAAGTAGAAGAGACCAATACCCCAAAGCACAGCTTACATCCTGACTCATATTTCATGCAAAATGTGCATTCAGTTCAGTAAATGTTAGCCAACCGTGTGTGTTACTACAACGCGGCCTGACTTGGTTACAAATGGCCCCGTGACGCTTATTGCATCACAAAGCTAGTGTAAAACAACAACGTTGTTTATTTAATTACCCATGTTAGCCTAAAACATAAACACGACGTCATCGCGAGGTATACTCACTTTCTCTGTCAGTATTCACGCGCGTTTATCGTTAGCAGCCGAGACACAAAATGTCCACGAGCGTCGAGACGCAATAAGCGGCACAAACTCGGCTGTGAGGTCGTTAAAACCTCACCGGGAGATTTCGGAACATTTTAGAAAAACAACATCGTAGACAAATGTCCCAATACATTTCCGACCATCGTTTTGTCTGCGTGCGTCTCCAGAAGTGAAACAGCAGCAGCAGGTGCGCGCTGTTACCGGGGTAACCGTTTCGTTTCCAAGGGAAGCTGCGGTTGCTATGACACGGCAGTGCGATGCCGAGGCAGAGCGCGGCAAAGATCACATAACGAGAACCCACGGGATTTGGGCGCTGACAGGCAAATGACTGCTGGATCGGACTGGGACCAGGATCCATGCGGCAGCCGGAGACAGCAGGTCTACCTGCACGCCTTAGGGGCACGATTCAGGATCATGTCATGCAGCTGCTTGCACTCATGCTTGCACCAACTTCACTCATCTTAATTCATCTGATAGTCTGAGCTATGCACATTTAAACAAAAGATGCATTGTTATTGTTTGAACTACCCGACAGTATACAAAGTCATTTAAATCAGCTCTACCGGCAGTTGTCCATCAAACAACAAGGGAGTTGATTCTTTTACCTAAATATAGGATCTGAATACTTCATCCAACACTGAGTCACTTGCTAAAGTTTCATCATCTGCTCAACAAGTTACTCGAGACAGTGATGTTTCCTCTTCCAATAAAGTCATCAGGATAGTTTTTAAGTTTAGAACTTTGTTAATACATAATTACAATGATATAAAAACTATTTCAAGGCACAAAAGCACTATTACAAGGGAAAGACAAAGTAAGTCAAGGGTCCTACAAAGGATTTTAAGGCTGCATATAAGTATTCTTACTCTGTGACTTTGTCCACTTCGCTCTCCTCTTCTTGTTCCACTGGCAGCCTGGTCACAGTGAACACGCAGCGCCACGTCACTACACGGGGCGACTCGGCAAAATACAGAAATGCTGAAACAAACTTTCTCTTTCTCTCTGTCTAATTTGAACACAAGTTCTCACTCGACTTCAGGCTCCTCTTGCAGCAGCTCTTTACTCCCCAGTGATAAATTAATGGAGTGCCCCTCACTGGTCATCTGTCTGATGGCCGTCTCAGCCGTCTCTCTGGCCACCTCCTCAGCAATCCGTGCCACGTCCACGCGCTCCTGCAGCAGACTGTGTTATAAATGTAAAATGGTAAATGAAAAAAGGGAATGGGAAAATTGTCTTCTCTCATATTGCAGTGACTTCCGGTCACACAGCAAAAACTCAGTCAGTCAAAAATCACAGAGGTTCATCGCCATGTGTATATTTATTTTATGTTTAGGTTAGGTTAGTTTATGGTTAAGAGATATATGGGCAGGAAGACTATAAGACCATAAAGCAAAGGAATCCACTAAAAAGTAGCGGCTTGTTTTATTGCAACCCAGTCTCACAGCAAAATGTGTAATAGCTACACTTTGGAACGTGGTATTCTCACGCTTTCTCCCCAAAATCGTGTCAATACTACATTTTATTTTGGCCTATTCATTTACATTGCCTTGTAACTATGTCACTAGAAACTAATAAACGGAAGGTCTTCTACATTCTCTGATAGAAGATTATAAAAATATAACGCTAGAATAGCCATCGAAATGCATACAAATGCTGATGCTTTCTTAAAATATTGTGTTTTTCACAGATAATAGACCGACAGTCCGCCATTTTCTTTTTTTAGCTGAGGGGAAGTTGATAGTCATGTGACCTAGTTGCAAATAAAACGTGGTATTCTCTACATGGTATTCTCTATATGAGAATACCACGTTCCACAACGTAGCTATTACACATTTTGCTGTGAGACTGGGTTGTTAATTGTTTCTGTTTTGCAGAAGACTTGAGCAGTGGTCTCCTCATTCCTCTGAGCTCACCAGGGTGAACATCATTAATAACGCACGCTATGAGCTCCTAAACGATGGTTGTTGGATATTGACATTTTTGAAGGTTTGCAAGATGTTTTGCAGAAAGGCTGCATTTCGGCTAAACTGGAAATACTGGTATTATTGACTTGACAGGGTGTGCAGCACTGTGACCACCCGGTAAGAGATTAATACTTCTCACTTACCTTTTATTATTATTTTCATTTTTTCATTTGCAAGAAAGAGGGGATTTACATTCGGTGGAAGTGACATGAAAATTGTCTGATCACCTCCACCCGTCTTACCGTTCCTCCATGTTAGCAAAAGCAGCACCTTCGGCCTCCTTCTTGATGTTTTCGATGAAGGGCGTCCAGCGGCCCGTCTGGGTCTCGGCGTCTTCTTGAGACCTTCCCGCACTGTCTGGGGATTCTGGCTGCGGGTCGGCCTGTGCCGGCTGTGTCGCTTCCCGAGTCAGCGCCGCAGCTCTGGACTGATCTTGGAGTTTATGCTGGTCCTCGTTGTCCGAGTCCACGTCTTCGAGGACCAGGTCAGGTTTGAGTTTGGATGAAGCTGCAAGAGGGTGACGAGCACCGGCGTGTGAGGAAGAGGGGACGTGCCGGTGACATTGTAGATGTCATAGATGGATTCGGTTTTTGTTTGGACTTGTGGAAAGAAATGGGCGCACAGTACAATGCTGGATTTGAGATTTAGATTTATACATCTGCTGAATATACTAAAACGGATTGCAAGCAGGACTGTTTATAACACAGGTGCATTAAGCTGCATTCACATTTCAAAATGCTCACTTGTGAAGGAGTTTAGTTCATGCTGGGGTTTTTTTGAAAGGCAGAAACTATATAGATATTTTCTTATTGAATTCAACTTGATATGTAGAATATTCATGAGGCAATGAAAGGTGTTATTGATAAGGCAACCACATGATATGATTGAACATTGCATCTTTATTAGTCCTGTAGTATCCTAACATTACAGTGTCTAATTACACAAATTTGTTGACTGTCTTGTCTTGAAGACGGTCAACAAATTTCAATGTGTGCAAATGTGGTTCATTTAAATGAAGTCAAACCTTTTGAAACAACAACTCAACAAGTCCCCAGGCCACATTTCACAGTTCAAAAAGTTCAACATGAAAACCAATCAAATAGGCTTATTTGTATGTCTGTGTCTGGTTGTTCAATCAAAGCTGTTACAAAGCTAAGTCAAACTCCTACATGATTAAGAACCAAACTGGAGCACAATGATTAGCAGACTGTTAATGAGCAGGAATATAATTTCAAGTAATTGTCAAATATAAATTTTAATTAATTAATTTTGTACTTTGTCAAAAAATAACACAATGATAAATGAACATAGCTGCCATTTTATTAGTAAATCCAGATTTCTGTTAATGGAATGTGGAAGATTGGACGTCTCATAATTATTCTTGTATCTAAATCAATAACCAGTAAATTATATTTTTTTATCTCCTGTTGCTGTATCATGTAAAGAGACAGAGAGACATATGAAAATGGCAACATGAATTTAAAGTGTACATTGCCACAGCTTAAAGCACAATAAAGTCACATAAAATGTTCTTTCTGCAATTTTTTGCGAATGAAACCTGCGGTAGTTTCAATTAAATGGCAAATGTGCAAAATCCCAATCACAAAGACAAAACCTCATCTAATTTTTCTACATAAAAGTATACTTTTTACATTAATGCACGCATTTCAGTTATCATACATTCATTTGAAACTGTACAAAGTACAGTAAGGTGAGTTGAATATATCTCAATATTCTTGTGTTATTTTACAGCTGCCTATCTGTGCAGAGCTGCAGGCGTCACAGCACCTGCACCTCTCCCAGCAGTGCAATATCTATATTAATATATATCTGTGTGGGAATCAGAGCGTCCCCCAGACGTCTCCTCCTGCTGTTTAAGGGGCTCGCAGCGCCTTCCCCCCTGAAACAGAAGGAGAAGAGGGACTGAGTTAGGCTCCGACCGTCCGACCAAAACACCTCTTCAAAAGCTATGGGGGGAAAAGCCGCAGGGTGCGGCAAAAGGTCCCAAATATTACACAGATCCACAGGAGACAAAAAAAACCCGCTCCATGTTATTGAGGAGATGTTTTTTTTTAATTGCAGCGCTGCTCTGCAGAGACTTAAACACATCGTCCTGACAACAGTATGTGAGATCTACCTGATTGAACTGTGAATTGTGGCATTTGGGAGCAGTGATACTGACAATAAAATTGCAATCATCGTTTTATTTTGCAGACTTTGGGAAAGTATTATTGAGTGAATAGACGTACCTTTCTGTAGAACTTCAGTCGCACTCTAGGGGTAAAAAAGTAAAAGAAATATAATGTATAAGTGGATTTGTTTTCAATGTAGTGGCAGCACAACTCACAAAAGATCGGTGAAAGGTTGAAGGGTTTGAAAGACAAGAAGAGGAGAAGGAAAATAGAAGAAGTTATTTATTCCCCAAAAGTTACCTCAGCATTATCTCTGGATGGAAGTGCAGGCTGAGGCATCTTCAGGCCGAGTCCTGACACAAACCAGCCAACCACACTGTCAAGAGACCAACGACTTTACGGCATGTACTTTTACACACTTACACACAAACTGTTACTTTTAGGATTTTCCAACATCACAGTGTTTAATCTCAATATATTTTTCCAGAAAAAGACCAGTAGAGCCAGTCGACATCTCAGCCGTCCATGTGCCGTCGTTGTAAGATGGATGGATGGATGACGTGTTAATCCAATTAAAGCCTTCAGCGTCTAAAGCTTCCTTTGCTCCAGCTGGCCGAGCTCTGCAAGCTAATTAACCATTTTCTTTTCTCCATGCGAGCGTTATTTTATCTTGCATGTTGTCTTGGGTGAAGTCTGATAAAATAAGACAGTGATGGATGAAACCTACGCTGAGGCCTTGCTGTCAGTATCCAGTGAGATTCCACTGAGGGACTCGGGTGGTGGAGACAAAACTGGAAAGAGGGGAAGGACAAACATTTCAGTGCACAAAGCAATAATCCTTCCAGTTAAGTTAGAATAAAACAGTGAAGTGCATCACGGTGTGTTTAAGTAATGTGTTGTATGACCCACAACGCCACAGAGTGTATGTACTTTTGTCCAGTGAGGAATGGGATGCCCTGCTTGATGGCTCAATGGGTACGGCACCAGGGGGCAGTAAAATTGGTTGAGGGACCATCCGCTTTATCCACGTCACCACGCTGTCGCAGAAAAAAAAAAAAAGTCAGCCTATTATGCTTATCGTTTTTTTAACTACCTGTATTTATGTGTGTTCGTGTGTTTGATTCAGATTGTCCATTAAAATCCAGCCGAGGTACTTTGGACTCCAGTGGACAAAGGAACCCATCAAACATCAGGCGCTGTTTGATATGTGTTGGTGTGTGAGGGTCCATGTGGAGCGAAAGGCGTTTTGTACTCACTTTGGAGGGAACTGAGGCGTCTCCACCTCCGACTCGTCCTCCGACAAAATCTCCACCACTGGGATGTGGGGGAGGGGATCAAAATCTTAAAGGCAGACAGACCGATCAGAGAGCAGAACTCAGTAATCGGGATTGAATATTATGAATATTCCATTTTTTTTTAAAGGATTAAAAAATCATTTAAACTTTCTATTATTCTTTTGTTCTATTATTTTATTATTTCTTTTAACTAATAATTATTTTAACTTTCAAACATCGCTTTTGTTCAATGTGAAAAAATGTTTTGATAAATGATCAAGAAACCTACCTGGCATCGTTTCGACTTCATAGATCTGGGACAGAAGAGGTACAAAATTCTGTTAAAATCAATCCGAATGAGACTGGTTATGTTTTCTTTACTTTCTTATATTATCCTTGAGGTACGTGGCAGAATTCGTATATATATTTCATTCATAAATAATGAAGATGAATGCTGTTGTACTCTAAATCCATTGTGAATGTGAGGCGGTTGTCTGCTGTGCTCCCTCACTGCCTTTAGAGTGGACTACATGTGGTGCTTGTGAGCCTCACACACCCTTTTATGAGCATACCTCGTTTTAGCATGTGGAGGGGAAGTAGGGCCAAACAGACGGGCCCTTGACGGGATCGTCTCCACGATCCATCCTTAATATAAATATTTCTATTTCTTGGTTTCTGTCCTGGTGTACTACATGTAGATTATTAGTAGATGTTTGGATGTTACAGCACTATTTATATTACAAATGTTGTTAAGATATTGATTTGGTGGAAATTTAACTCTGTCTCACCTCGGTGGGTTCGTCATTGTTTTCCGCCTCCTTGTACTTTTCCTCAGGCTGAGGCAACACCTTGGTCAGACCCTGAGTCACCCAACCTATCACTCCAGACCTGGAAGAATAAACGAACGTAGTTTACCTTTGCAGAATGTATTTGGTAATATGTACGGTAATCTGCGCCCTCCGTACCTCTCTCCATCCTCTCCTGGCTGCCATTGTGATCCAAAGAAAGAGAATGACAAAAATGTTGAATTTACTGCAAATAAAATGGCTTTTCCAAAGAAATTCACATGGCTTTATGACCAATGAAACAGGCATGGTTGTATTTTGAATGTTTTAAAGTCAATTGTGTGTGTTTTTCTCCATTTTTTTTGTCTAAATTTCCCTTTTAGGTAGGTATGTTTAGGGAGAGCCTGACTTTCTGACACATCATACATCATAAAAGCTAAACATGGGCCATTTTGGCCCCATCAACTTACCAGTGTAGGCCTTGACGAGTAAACATACGTGTTACTGGATACTCAAACACCTTTACACTCACCTTGGCATCAGAGGTGGACCTGCTGAGTCGAGGGGAACCCGAAGGTTGAGGCAAGGCGCTGACGAACCCATTGGACAGCCAGCCTAAAACTCCCGCCTGGGCCTGGCTGCAGAGCAGGTAGCGAAAAGTCAGTATGTTTACACACACACACTCATCGAGGCATTCGGAGAAGCCAGCGGAGAGACGCGTTTACCTGTCCTCTGAATTCTCATCCGAGTTTTTCTGTGGAGGTTGCTTCCCTGTTGAACCACCGGCGGGGGTCTTGGCGGCGTCGTCTGTTCCAGGAGCTTCAGGGGGTTGTGGGACCACTTTCACCACCCAGTTAAACATCCTGTTGAATACACACACACACACACACACACACACACAAAACACAAACAGTCAGCTTTCACAAAGCAAACATGGTCAATGGTGATTGTAGTGATGATGAATTCATAATAACTCTTTCCTCGTGTCTTAACCAGGCCCAGTGAGCAGAGCTGAAGGACGTTTGTCGGCATCACCTAAGCTTTCATCCCACGTAACATAGTTTCCAACTGGAAGTGTCTCTCTACGGTCACGGAAAGCTGGGTTTTTATATGACTGAATGATAAATTAGTTTGCAATTTGTTATGTAGACTTTTTCAAAGTCAGAGAATTATCAGGGAAGAGACAGAGATCAAGTCGAAGGAGACCAGGAGGCAGAGGGACAGTGGGGGGGACACAAACTATACTTTACCAACAGCGTCCACATGTGACAGACGGTCAACAAATGTTCAGGGGAAAAAGGGCTAACTGGTGCAGTAAACAGATTCAAGATAAGGGATGAATTACAAAGATGATTTACAAAGCAGTTTATTGAACTGTTGAGATGATCAACTTCAGCAAATGAGCCGCTGAACCGGTAACGTTTCACATCACAAGCTACTTCCCCAGGGCAACAAGTGAGGTCTACGTCAATCCAATCCAAGACACACTGTCCACTATACAACTTATTTTATATTAAATTCATCTAAAAAACGAACCCAAAACATCATAGTGAATTCTGTCCAATAATCCACAGCTTAGTACATATCATGGATTTGAACATATCTGTTGCAGTCTAGACAAAGTGAAGCTACAGCTTGGAGGGTAGAAAATGAGGATCTCAAGGGTCTCAGGAGTGATCCCATGTTTCAGCCGTGCGACTGGTTTTGGAATATTTTACCAGAAAATATACAGGCAGCGGCTTACAAGGCGGTTTGAGCTGTTGTGGTGATCAAAGTGTGTGACAAACAGTCCCAATCAGCAGAGATCAGCGGGGCCTCTTCACCGTCCCATCGGATTAAATACTGCAGCTCTGTCCCCCAACTAATCTACAGCTTTCTTCTCTGCTTAAGGGCTGGATCAACTACTGACGTCTTCATCTCACTAGATCATTTTCAGTGATCTACAGAGCATAAATCAGAGGAAGACCCCCCCCAACTCCCTTAGGATATTATGTGTTTTTAGTTCAGCAATGACTTGAGTGATGAGTGCATGTCAGCCTCTCGCCAATGCAAAGCAAAGCTGGAAGACAACATCTAATCACATCAACATTTACGGCCATTTACCCACTAAAGCAACTTCCTCCACCGTCTCTTTCCCTAGACGCGGGTCATCACAAGCAACTCCAATCCGCTGTGTTTATTTACATCCGTCCTCTGTACGGGGTTAACAAAGACTTTGTTTTTGCTTACCTGCGTGTCTACAGGGGGTTCTGCATGCCGCCGGCGTAGAGGTCCAGAGTGCGGCGCAGCCGGCACAGGTCTGCTGAGATCTCCACACCGGCCGCCCGCGGCTAACGGGATTACTGTACAGCCTGAAGGTCAAGGCACAATCCTGGACTCTGAGCCATCGCAGATTAACGGCAGCGAAACGTATCGCCAGGACATCTTTCATTTAACCTATAAAAACGTTACCCTCCCCTGACCCCATCCTGACATCCACCAACCAACAAGTGCTGACTATGAGCACAGAGCACAGACAACAACGTGTAACCTGGGCCCTGATTTGTCATTTGTAATCAACACGTTGCCTTTTTTTACCAAAGATGGGAACTTTTTGGGATGCGTACTGTTTATAAAGGGAGGTCACTGGTTTTACTGCGTGCACAGTGCGTCCCCTCCACCCTCCCCCACCCGGTGACCTCCGCACCCTATCATCTCCCACCGCATCCTGATTACAGTTTTATCCCCGAGCGACTGACGCAAGGCCACTTGCCGACTGACCAGCAATAAGCTTTAGAAACCTTTTCACTCAGTATCGGTGTGGAGTCGTTCAAAGGAAGGTAAAGCTTATTAGGAAGGCTCAGGGTCTGACCGGGGGCCTGATGAGAGACTTCCTCGCATGTCTGCCCCATGAAGACTGAAGGCTAAGCAAAGCTTTTCTTCTATTTTTGAAAATGAAGCCAACCACATCTCCCATGTGGCTTTTAGACATTTAACAGCAGGTCAAAAGGCATTAACCATTAACTCTGCTACCTTACCCTTCGAAGACTTTTAAAAACTGAACTTTTTTGTTATTTTTATTGAAATAAGAATTTTAATGCAGGTCGCAAGGTGACACAATGAGGAGTACAAATCAAGATAAAGAGGGAAGAGGATGGGGACAAATTGCATGATGCTTAATGGTGATTAACAAGGATCCACGCCTGTCATTGCTCATTAACCGACGGTCTGGTAACGAGGACGTGGCACATTTGACGTCAAAGGCATTACCGTGAAAGAATAGCTGCCGTGATGGAAAAGTTAGTGCCGTTCCAAACAGGCAACTTGTGCAAGCATCAGTCAGGCTAAAGTATACACGTGACATATGTTTGACGGGTAAACAAAAAGCCACAGACAGGTATAAAGAAACCCTGTTTGACAGGCGGACGGATCTCATCTCGTCTCCTCTGCGGCCCGGGGTTTGAGAAAAGAACCTTCATGGTCACCACAATTCATGGTGCTGATGATGCAGCGGGCAGATCCCATTATCAGCTCAGCAGGGGTTAAGCCGGGAGAGCAGGTCGATCACACAGACCCACGGCTGGAATATGGCAGCACCTATGGGCGCCACCAATGTGGCCTCAATCCTAATTGAGCATCTGGATGAGACAGGAGACCGGGGCAGTTGGGACACAGTCAGGGAAATGGACACAGTGAAGCTAAATGTGTGCAAACGATTTCTAATTATGGGGAACCCTTTCAGCAAACCAATTTAATTTGCACTATTCATTTTTCGTCTATATATGTTGATGTTTAATTTACTGTACAACTGATTAAAACTAACAACAAACTGCAATGTAAGGAGAGAATTGCCATCAGGGACGTAACGCAGAGAAGAGACAAAAGAGAAAGCGAAGGTAAAGCTGTAGCGGATGATCTGTGAAGGAAGCTAATCCTGATCACCTTTGACATAAAGACATTCAGGAAGGTGCTCTCACATACACTAACACACTATTACAGACACCGTGTCTGTTTCAGGCAATTTATTATTTTCCATCAATAAAAGTTCTTGGCTCCAGTCGAACATTAAAACCACAACAATCATTCGAGCCGGAGGGGGGCCAATTGCATAAAGTAAAAAAATATATGAACTGCTTTTAAAAACAATTTAGATGGAGTATCAAGTAGCATTAAATGGAAATTGCTCAACAAGTACAATTACCTCCAAATTGTAATTAGTTGTTCATGGACTGGGTGAATTCTGCATTCCAGCATGTTTTAACTTTAATTAGTCATCATTGTGTTTTTGTGTTGTGCTGAACTTTATTACGATTTTGTTTTCAACGTGTTTGAAGCAGACACCCCCTCTTGTGGCCAAGAGTAGAATTAACACCTTTTACTGGCCGTTTACACAGCTCACTGAAGGTGTACAGTTACAATAACAAAAGACCAAACACTGCAGCAAAGACGACTTGTGTTGCTTTTACTTGTACGTTTTATTGGGAAAACTTGAATGTACTCTACACAGGAGTGCACAGGCCTTACAGAACATGCACTGCATGGATCAACGTTGCGATTATCTAAGATACTGTCCATACAGAAAACCAGAGCAAAAATACAATTTACAAAACTACAAGTAATACGATTTAAAAAAGAAAAAGAAACACATTTTTTTTAAATGTCCCCTCGTGATTTTTATAGTAAAAAAAAAAAAAAAAAGCCATCTCATAATTCACAGAAAAAAGGCACAATAATGGTAAAAAGCAAACATGGGCACAATTGGAAGACACAAGTAAAAGGTAATGGTTAGTATGTCAATAGTGACTTTACAACAAGACAAACAAATTGATAAAGGGAGACTAAATGAACCCTTTCTGTAGATGTTTCTGTGCATTATAAAGTGGATACATCTGAGTGAATTACTGCAGAGAGCTACAGCAACGAGACAAAGCCAGAAGCAGAACGGTGACACGAGAGAATAATGAGAGAGAAGGAGAGATAATGGAGGGCGAAGGGGGTCGCAGAGGACGTTGATTACAGCTCATGACAAACAAACCCAGCAAAAACAAGAACATTTGAAAGGCAGGCGTGGATTTAGTGTCCTAATCTAGGTCAAGAGGCGCAACGCCAGCGCTATTCCTCCCAAACATCCGTCCTCCCTTTTTCCCTTGCTCCTCCTCTTCCAGAAAAAAAAAAAAACTGGCAAGGAAATTTTGGCACAGCTCTCCGTCTCCCCTTCCTCACTCACCGCCTCCACCGGCTTCTTTCTTTCTCTCGTCATCTCATTCTCTCTCATTTCCCCTTTTTCCCCCCACCGTTATATTTTATACCTCCTTCTTCTTGCATTTTCCACAACGCCCCTCTCTCCCCTCATGCCTGACACTAATAAATCAGCGGCATGTGGGCTTAATGGAAACCAGAGCCGGACCCGCTGCTCTACGGCCTGCAGGCTTCTCCCAAGTTCATTTAATTTGCTGCTACGCTCTTTTGCTTCAACGCGAAAAAAAAAACAGAAAAGAGGAGATAAGAGCAAAGACCGGAGGAGATACTGCTGCAAAGCAAGAAAGCTGAGAGATCATTTGTAAAACATCACAGCACTTTTCAAATCTTCTGGTTAAGTGTGTACAAATGCCCCTCTGTTGTATTTCATCCAAGCCGTGGCCCCGGGCGTCTCCACTGGGATGCTGTTTTAGTGGTGCTCACATCAGGCTGTGGTGGGAGGGGGGTTTTGGGGGGCTGGAGCCTTTGTGTCTGTGTGCAAAAACTATGTGCCTTTGTTTGGGTAAGTGGTCTCTATGTCTTAGTGTGTGCGTGTGCGTGTGCGTGTGTGTGTGTGTGTCTGCACATGTGCAGGGAGAGTTGGGAGTTGAGATCATGTGATGCTGGTGCGTGTCCGACATAATGGGCTCAGTGGGAGGTGGGCGGTCACGGACGCACACAGCTGTCTGACATTCCTGCGCCGGCCTTCTTCTGCTGGTGTCAGTGTGCTTCAAACACACGGGCACAGTGTGCTTCAAACACACGGACACACAAGCGCATCTGCAATAACGCACACTCAGCAAAACTGAATCAAAAGAGCAAATGATGTGATCCAAACAAAGAATCAAGTTAGAATTTGTTGAGGCACCGTAGTCGAGCGTATGGAAGACTTGTTCATATCAATGAGTGTATTTCAATAATTCATTCTCTAACCGTAAGTTTGTGTCTATGTACAGTGCGTGTGCTTCTGTGTAACATATGTGCATTACTGACTTGGTCTGCATTCATACAACGACTAAATTACTGGTCCCTCCCCTCTGAATAGAAAAAGTGTCGTGAGTCTTCTTCAGTAAACATCTGGTGGCTGCTACATCTTTTGTTTTTTAAAGCTGTGATTGATTTTTTTTTTTCTTTAAAGAAATATATAAGTACCCTTTCAGACATTTTCAAGGCACAAAGCACAAGAACTTCAAGAGCCAGTAGAAGGAAACGTATGCTGCCGCTCCACAGGCACCTCTATCTTTCACATGAGCGATAAAAGCTCTGACAATAAACGGGGCCCCAAACGGTGACTCATCCACTGCTTTTGTAGACATAAACTACCGCGTCAGAGCCATTAGTACAAATTTAGACGCCTGTAACGACTGCGAATGATTAATACCGCGCTCTCTCTCTCTCTCTCTCTCTCCCCCCCGTTCTGCGCTTCACACCCAGTCCTGCAACGAACGTTTGCAGTGCACCAAGGCCCGCGGGGTCTCTTTGTTCTGGAGAGTCCTGAGGATGGTGTAGATCAGGACGAGGACGCACAGGATGAGGACCAGAGGCACAATCACCATGATCAGAGTCATGACCTTCGATCCGTCGTCAGCCACCGTCACCACCACGTTCAGCTCTTTGTCCTCCTCCTCTTCCTCCGCGCCGTCAGGTCGGGAGGACTGGTCTTCCTCCGGGTTCTCGTCCTTGTCTCCGGCCCCGTCGGGCTCTCCGTGCTCGCCGTTGCCTCGGTCTGACGGGTCGACTGGTTTGTATTTGGGTCCCTGCTCGGTGTCCGTATCAGGCTGCGGGTGGGCGGCTCCCACACATCCCACAAAATCCCTCAGGAAGGAGCGAGGGTAGCCTTTCTCCGCTTCCGTCCTGCGGTTGTCAAACCTCCAATAATTGGTGCCTTTGTAGAAGTAGGTGTGAGCTGCATGAGAGGAGGATTCAAAGAAAAGAAAGAATGAAAGTTATTAAACTAAAGTACGATGGATTATGTTGTATACTGTAGAATTTATACAGTTTTGATATTTGGTGTCTCGGCTCTCCACTTATAGGGAGGTTTAGATGGGATATTTAGATTCAGGCCGACCCAAGCTGGCGGCTTCGCTTTCTTTCCAGTCTTTATGCTAAGGCGTCGCCTGCCTGTACCTTTGTATTTACTGTACTGTCTCATTCCAACACCCTTCATATTGATAGGCTACATCTCAATAAAAGGTCAGTTTTGTCAAGGACTAGTTTAGTAACACCTAAAAGTGTTATCAGAAAACTAAATCAATGGCATGCGTTACGATTTGGCAACACGGTGCAAAAATAAGTAAAATCACTCCTCTTGGGTCCATTTGCAGGAGTAAGTGCAGCTTTGTAGTGCAAACCAGACTTGCAGAGACATTCAGGGTGGAGAGGAGACGTTACTTGTTGCAGAGTGCATTCAGAGCAGCTCTGCCACAAATCTAATTTCCAAAGGAGCGACGTGCCAACCCTCAAACCAGAGCTCTCATTCCTCTCTTCATCCCCTCACCCTTCTCTCTGCTGCAGCCTAAAATGTCATCTTTTCCCTCTCAGTCATCTTACACACACCAATTTCCCCGCTCTAAACGATCCCCCCCTCCTCACTCACTGGTGTTACTCCCCTGCTGTCAACGCGGTGACATGTGACACGGTAAACGTTTGGCGTCTGATTTGATTCAAATAAACAGAAGCGGCCTTTTTACTCCAAATGAAGGACGCATTCGCTTAATCGAAAGTCGATATGTACCGCCGTCATCGCTGAGGAACACCCCCTTGGGTGACGAAGGGATCCTGCCCCATCTGTTGATTGGCTTGGGAAAGTCCCGGTCCGTGGTGCGGGTCTCCTCGTTGTATCGCCAGTATCTGCAGACAGACAGTGAGATGTGAGTTTCATACATTGATCAAACCCCCTTTTTAGATATAGTGAGCAATAGAAAGTTGTAGAGGTGATGGTGACAAAAGAGATTCCTCTAGCGATTGTCTTTCATTCGTTGTGTAGCATAGTGTACCTGTCTCCGCTGAAGAAGTATGTGTACTCGTTGGGCTCCCACCAGATTGCTGTGTCGATCTTATGAGCGGGAACTCCTTGTCCGTACTGGTGTAATGGCTGCGGGTATCCGGGCAGCACGTCGGCCTCCCTGAACACCCAGAATCTATCATCTGCAGGGGCAAGAAGATGAAATGTTTCTTACCTGGACACAAGCGGTAGAAACGGGTGGCATAACACTTCCAAGTGAACTCTACTAGCTTCGTCTAGGAGGAGCACAGAGCACACTTTTTTAATGTGTTAAGTTATAACAGTAGTTCTCCTATTTTGGATGTATATGAGGGTATATTTCTGCAGGATTTTGATGCAAAAATGTGTCCTCAAAAGCAGCTTGTGCAGCTCTCTAAAACCTGTCAAGAACGTGACAAAAAAAAAAGGATGGACGACATCGGAAACACACACGAGAGAGGTTAGTTTATATCAACCCTCAATTGAATTTACAAAATAAACTCCCCGAAAACTCCTTTAATGGGGAATAAAAAAATAATCTGCGAGGAGGACAAATCACTGTTAGACCTGATTCTGAAGGCTCAGCTCAGCTGCTGTGAACATCTGGAGCAGTGAGCTGTGAAGGCTGATGTAATCCTCCACCACTCTCTTGAGGCCTTCTGGCACTCAGCTGGAGTGAGAGACACATTCTGGACTTTCGACAGCCGCCACGCTGCACAAGCCCCATTCAACACAGATGCAAAACACTAAAATACGATTCGGAACTCTGCAGTTAAACAAAGATGCAAAGACACGCAGACTCATCAGTCTCCATCTGCGGCCCGTTTTTCCCAAATGTTTAAACAGGAAATCACAGTTTTCTTGTTAACATAACCTCCACCGTTTCAGTGGGTTGTTCTGCCAGATACCGAGAGTTATAGCTGTGCTGAGTTATTAATTATTAACAGCTATTAAAACTCATAGTCTTCTAAGAAGGTTTTGATGCTGTGTTTGGAAGGCGACACGTTTTATTGGGATTTAACGGTTTTCGCATACCTTTAAAGAAGACGAATTTGCCATCGTGGCGCTCGTAGGCCGCGTCGATGTCACTAGGCAGGCCGTTCCAGAACACAGATATCGGCATGGGGTAGTTATCCAGGACACGGTTCCTCCGCACGCGCCAGAACCAGCGACCCTGTGCAGGCAAAAATAACCGTATTTTTTGTCAGAATGTTCTGCTTGCATGACTGGAACGCTGTTTTGACCCTGAGCAGGGTGGTGTTTCAGCAGGTCAGAGGGGTTAAAAACACCAGTGACACTCAACATGATCCACATCATGTGGCACCAAGCATGAGCAATAACTCCTCACTTCTCACCTTGAAGACAAACATCTCCCCTCTCAACACGGTCACCGTATCAAAGTCCCCGTCACAGATGTCGGGGGCCTGGTTGTCCGGCAGCTTGGGGGGTCGGGGAGGGGCAGGGGGCCGAGGAGGAGGCGGAGGAGGAGGCGGGAGGGGGACGTCCTTTCTAATAGGTGGGGTTACGGGTTGGGGCTGTGAGTCGGTGGGGGAGGGCGTGGGAGGTGCGTTGGGTGAGGTAGAACTGGGACTCGGCTCCGGGGGATCCGGAATGCCGTCGGTCGGGCCGGGGGAATCGGGTGGGGGGAGCCTGGGAGGAGTTGGGTCGGGTCCATCTTCAGGAGGAGAAGGGGAGCTGGGGGAGTCGTGTCTGGGTTCGTCGTCGAGGACCGGAGGAGAAGTCGGTGGAACCTCGCCGAGCAAGGGGGGGCCTGGGAAAGAAAAGATGGAGAGGCGGCTAACAAACGTCAACATTTAAAAGGCTATTTCCCCCCTCCTCATACTTTAAAGTAAAATGCAAAAACAAGTTCCCTTTGAAATGACATAATTCCCCCAGCCTGTCTGTGTGGCAATAAACCACAGTGGTATATTTCACGCCCTCCTCCGTTGTCCTCACAATGTCAAAGAAAACCTAATTTTCCATCATGGCGAGCAGCTATGAGCACACTCGATTGACTGCGACTTGTGCTGCTGTTCTTTGGAAAAAAAAAATCAACCCAGCTGGTTGCTAAGGGAGGAAAACACACAGATACAGAGCGTTATGTAATATGTAGGGACAGCTGATGGACTTGAAGACATATTGAATTACACAGAGCCAAAAATACTGCTAGGAATATATGAGGGACGATGTTGGCCAGCGACGCGGCGCGTGCAGAAATACACCACCTGCTGCGTTTTAAACTGCAATAGAATCTGTGAAGTGTTTTTTTGTGTCTTAAAAGCAGCATTCAACATGGCGAAGGAGTGTTTACCAACCCGTCGGCCCAGTGCCTCTGAGCGGGTCCCTTCTTAGTCTACCGGCCGAGTAATTGGTGGTTTTAGTCTTCGTCAACAAAGAATGATTTTGTCAATTCAAGTCTTTGGACTTTTTTGTTGCTAGAGTACCAGACTGTACATGGAGATAATCGTCTTGTCTCCCGCTTGGTGCTCTGCAGGTAGCGTCGGTAGTTGGTTGTTAAAGTTGATTAGCTAAAACAGCTGCTTACTACAGTCAAAAAATGGGAGATTACAGTGAAGCCAAAAAGCCAAAAAAGAAAGATATAAAAAAGTTGTACAGCTGATCATTTCAAATGTTCCTTTTGGGAAATGCTTCATGCTGGACATCAAGACACAGACCTAAAGCAACATTGTTCTCCTAAAATGTAAAGCCGTTAAACACTTGGAATTACTTACTTATTACTTATTCCCAAGTTGATTTGTAGATAAGTAAGTGTGTTTTACTGTTGAGACTTTATGTCTCTCAGCTCAATAGTTTAGGCATAGAAACCTCTACAAAGAACTTGTATGTTTATTCCTGCCAACAAAGTGGATTCTGTGTTCTTCTCTCTAAAACAGTCATTTAGATCTGTTTCATAAAAGGATCACTATGTAATTTCAGTCCAAACATTTAAGATTTTTCCTGTTTGTAAAAACTCAACTCGCCAATTCATTTTCAATTTTTTGTTCTGCTGATTGTTTTTCAGTCATTCAGTGTAAACAATGTCTGTAATAAATCTTCGATGTAAGACAAAAATTTGAGTTTTTCGCCTTTAATTACATCTCTTAAGGCCAAAGCGGAAAGAGACCGACACCTACACACAAGGCCTTTCTCTAACCAACATGTGCACACGCACACAAAGATGTCATCTGTCAATAAACAATGCCCTCTATTCACACAGGAAACGCATGAGAACATCATCCCGGCATGCTTTACATGCTGTTCATCCATGTTTCGCGGATGACTACGTTGAGTGTCTCGATGTGATAGTCTGATATACTGACAAATTACAACAGACATTCTGCACTTCAACCCTCACAGTGGTTTTACACATGTGTATTGTGTCCCTGCTGGTTGGGTCAGTGCTACGTCTCTAGGAAATGAAATAAGTATCTGGTGTAGAACACTAAATGAAATGACTCACTGGGTCTCAAGTGGTTCAGTGCAAATTCTGCTGGTGTTGGCTTTAAAGAAAATAAATATTGTGGGTTTGAACTTCAGCAGAGTGAGTGCTCCTTACCGTATAGGTACTGTATTCCTCTGATGTCATCGTCGTGGAGGGTGAAGTTGTGTGTGTGAATCCACTGGTAGAATGGAGCCATTATGGCATTGGGGTTATCGGAGTGCTCCAGGCCCAAAGCATGGCCGAGCTCATGGACCGCGACCAGGAACAGGTCTATACCTGCAGACACACACACAGTGGGTCCACACTTGTCAGAGGTATGTGTGTAAATAACAGGCAACAGAGGAGTGAATGCAACCCATAGAACATAGAAGATGCATGTAGATCGGAGTTGTGTTGCACACAACATGCAAAAAAAAACGTCACTTACTGTGCAAATTTCATTAATCTGTTGCTTTTGTGAAACTACCAGCATCAATTCACTAACAAAAAGAAGCCCCTTTCCTCAGAAAAACATTACAGGGGATCAAACGTTCGCTATGCAGTGTTTCCTCTTATATCAGGGCCCCCAGAGGAAACACTGATACTCACTAGAATAAATAAACAGAACTGAACCAAAGAGGAATAACTTATCATTAATGCATGTTGCTGTTAAACCTGCTACATTTCTGAATCTCACAATATGAGCTGTTTCAACACATTGTTTCATATCAACGCTTTGACGATGGTGTTCACCTAGAACCCAAGAAACATTCAAATTAACAGAATAGTCAGTGGTTATATGTTGTTATTATGGCATTAAATCCAGCCCAGTGGACCAGACCACACATGAGAAGATAACGGCTAGAGAGACAATGCGGCTACCAGAACGCCACAGGTTCAATTCCCACAAGAAATCCGCCCCACTGACCTTGTGGGTTTTGGTTTTCCAGCGTCCAAGGCTCATCGGCATCAAAGTGCGTATCCCCACCGATCCCTGGTCCGGGGTAGTAGGCGTGGGCCAGCGACCCTCCTTCGCCATCAAACAAAGACATGTCACCATGGAAACCAGACGCAAACAACAACAGGACGTCAGCGAGCTCTGCCTGGCTGCTGTTGATGCTGATGCGGTTTTCAGCAGGTAACTCCTCAAAGGTGAGCGGTGTGACCCGCCTCCACGCGTCAAAGGCCTTGCGGATGGCATTGTAGGTCCGCTCCTCGCCCAGAGAGGAGGGGATTTGCTGGTTCATGATGCTGGAGCCGGAAGGAAAAAGCACGTTAGAGTTGGTCGGTTAAACGTTCTTCTTTGCTGTTTCTCAATGCTATGAACCTGTAGGTGATGTGATCTTTGCCCCACTGCTGTCCAGTGAGAGCGTAGCGTTTTTTCCTCGCGCCACCATCCATCCTCTCCAGATTTCTGTCTGGGAGGCCACAGCGAGGCCGACGCATGGCCCTACACACACACACACACACACACACACACACACACACACACACACACGTTACAAACAGCTGGCAGCAAAACCACTCTGCAGCATTAGTCTCATATCTATCGGCCTATTCAAAGTAGGCTATAAGGCTCCAGCGCGTTAGCTTAGCTTAGTGAGAAGGCTGGAAAGAAAGGGAAACAGCCAAAGGAAAAATAAAGGTTGTACAGATTAAACCAATGAAATATTATGTGTTGATTTGTGAGGTGTTGATTTAGTAACATTTTTCAAAAGCATCAAAGAATGTCTTTATGCTAAGCTAAGCTAACCCGCTCCTGCTGTTGTAGTTTCAGTTACACAGTAACTCATCTAGTTCTCTAAAAAAAGACTCTCTCTTCACACACAGTCAGCGTGGTTACATGGATTTGAATAACTGGCTTAGTCGGAAAGAAATCGAATTATCCGTTTCATGTAAACGCCTTTGTCCGATTATGTGCGGTCCGACTACGATCCGATTAATACCCCTGGATAACTCGATCCGATCCAGTTGATAGTTCGACTATTGCGTTCGCCATCTTTCTCGTAATGTTGTTGTTGGTAGTGGTGAAGCGGTCAAGCGGAAATGGCTGTATCACAACTAGTTGTAATGAAAACAGCGCCACCTATCATATCGGATATGACATGCTTTCGGCCAATGATTCGATTTATTCACTGCCATGTATATTGGGATAATAACACCTCCCCCCGAAAGATAGCATAGTCCGACTAAGCAAAGATTCCAATTATACCATCATGTAAACACACTCAGTGTGTTTACAGCGTCTTCACCACTACCAACAACAACAACATTACGAGAAAGATGGCGAACGGAGAGCAAGGTGAAGCTACATCCCTCTACTATGTTTGCATGATGTTAATAGGAGTACAGCGAATGCAAATGGCGCTATTGGCTGATTTGATAACGGAGAGAAGACGCCGTCGGGATCTCAAGCATCCGCAAAGACGCAAAGTCCACTTCCTTATCCGATTCACCGTTACATGCCGCAATAGTCGAACTATCAACTGGATCGGATCGAGGTATCCAGGGGTGTTAGTCAGATCGGAGTCAGACCGCACATAGTCGGACAAAGGTGTTTACATGAAACGGATCATTTGATTTCAGTCCGACTAAGCCAGTTATTCGAATCCATGTAATCACGCTGACTGAGTGACTGCTCTGAGAGCAGAGATCAAATAACCCTAACCCTAACCCAGAGGTCTGATAATATCTTGAATCTGGTTCTCAGCTGAATGCGAACATACGAAACAATAGTCTCATTGGTCAAGACGTGATATATGCAAAATTAAACTGTAATCCAAACCTTCTGGGCAAAGAAAAACAATTCAACCTGGCATTGTTTCAGAAGGCCCTGGTTATACAAACACATTAATCGGACAATGTTATTATGTGATGGGAAAAATTTGCTCTGAAACAAATTGCTTCACGAAGCTTGGTTTGTCGAGTTGAGGTCTGTTGGCCCAGAATTCACAGAGGACAAATGGAAATGTGTGGTCATCTATGATTACAAGTATAATGCGTGGAAAATTAGAAACTTTATTCATAAAAATGCAAATGAGTCAGCTTGTGCTGATAGTGTGCCGAAACAATAAAATGCTTACGCAACAGTAGCAGGGTCCATCTGCCCAGTCACATCTAGGCCGTAGACGCGCTGCATGTCGCTGATGGCTTTGGACAGAATCTGAGCCGACTGCATGGTGGACATCTGACCGCTCGCCTGAGACAGGTAGCCGAACTGACGAAGCCAAGCCTGCGACGAAGAAAAGCCAGGGGTCAGCTCCGCCTTGTGCGTCCCACGCGTCTGATTTTGAGTGTGTGAGTTGGATGGTGTATTAAAACGAATGACAGTTACAGCTGTTGTGATATCCCCCCCCCTATAATGACGGGAAAGAGACCATCTGAGGAGTTAAAAGGAAAGAGAAAGGAGAGATAGAAACCAGATGGCTTTCATTAACATTACAAATTCCTGCTCTCTCATTCCTCTCGCCTTCTCCTGACCGACAGCCAAGTTGAGGAGAGGAGACTAGAGGAAGGACGGGAAACAGGAGAACAAAAAAGGGCAATAATCAAACCCAGTGTCACCACTGTAGCAACACGAGATAAACACGAAACCCTACATGTGTGACCATTGAAATGATGGTAAAAGGGCAACAGCCTAGTGACACTTTGTTTCGAGTTTGTTGCGTGCGGAGCAACGTAACCAGGGAAACAGGATGACGACTCCGGGGTGGGGGGGGGGGGGGGGTTTGACCTTTAAATAAGCCTCCTCGGTGGAGCTCAATAACAACCCTGCAGCCCCTCTCACACAGCTGGATCATGGGACTCGCATGTTCATACATGTACAGGATGAACGCAGGCCGGGAGAAAAAAACACACACACACAAGACCCAACATGTGCGCACTTATAAAAGGCAGAGAAAATCCAGACCAGACCATTTCTGCATAGAAAGGAAAGTCCCAACCAACACAGTGAAAGAAGAGCAGCAGTGCGTCGGTAGGGGACAGCTTCAAATCAATATGGTGACCGTCAGACATCATCATATCCATCACAGTATGGCAAATATAGAAAAATTACAAATAAAAGAATAAAATTGGTATTCACCAAAACCAACAGTGTTCGACCATTACATGTAGGAACTGAAAAGCTCATCATTTGGTTTGTTTATTTAATAATCTTTCCTCAGAATAATGATTTATTCTATTTTCTAAGCATTTACCATCTGGGCATAGACGCTTAATAAAATACTGAAATGTAATTTGGAATAGTAATAAATAAATAAAAAGTATTAATGCTACAATCAAAACGTTCCTGCCTCTGTTATTGGTGTACAAACAGTTTGTGAATGATTGAAGGGACAGTATAGAATAAAATTGTATGATATTTACATAAACATATCCCAACCATGTGTTAACTAGTTATACACATTGAAATATTTAGAGGTTTATTTAAAAGTTTTTTCATGAGGACATCAATAACTCAACAAATTCAAAGATTTCTTCCAAATCTCAATTGCAAAAGTGAAAACTAGAACTCACATTGATATAAACAATAAAGACATATTTCATATTCACCCACATTGTATCATATCGTTCATCAGTTTATAGCTCAGTTTTGTAAGCTTCTTACATGTTATAATTTGTGAATACATGAACAAACTCTAAAAATCTTTAAGCGAGACATTTGGTTATTGCGACATGATATTAGCTTTAAATGTGATTCCAACTTAAATGTGATATTGGGAATACAAAAGTAGATAATATTGTGTTATTCCCAGGTGTCCTACATGTACTGATGTTTTTTTCGAAAAGGGTCAAAAGGTCAAAGGACATCCCCGCAGTGCAACAGCCCACCTGATGCTTTGATGTTTTACCAAAACAAACACGAAGATTTGGACTAATAACCGACGAAACCATTTATTTCTCTAATGAATTTCCTCAATAGGAGGAAAAAAAGTGACAGTCATCATGAATTGATCAACTTTTGACAAATAGCAAAACCGAAAAAATGTCGACCATCTGCCGGGAGAACGTGGTCCTACCTCCGCATTGAGGGCCTCCTCCTCCTGCGGGGCGTTCGCCGCCGCCGCGCTGCACACGGCCACGGAGAACAAGGACGAGATCGTGATCAGGATCCGGGTCCACGGTTGTTTGGGTGCCATCTTCTTCCCGATGCGCAGCCCGAAAACAGCCGAACTACTTCCTACAAGCAAGAGAGCAGTAAAGGGACGCGGTGCAGCTGCTCCTCCTCCTCCTCCTCTCACGTGTGATCACGCAAGCCCCGCAACAAGTGTGCTCTCCGCTCGCTCCCGCGGCTCGCTCATCAGAAGGAAGGAACGCGTTGCGCGGATGAAGGGGCATGAACGTGGGGCTGCAGCCTCATGGCTCATCCGAGGAGGTCCGTGCTAAACCCGAGCGCGGCCCCTTCCCGACGTCCCGACGCGCAACCTCGCAGGTCGCATGCGAAAAGTGGAATGAAGCGGTTTCTGAACTTGCTGCTGAATCTTGCACATGAACAAAAAAAAAAAATTGGAAGTCAGTGCCAGCGATCAAATTTCAACCTCCACCGTTCCGCAACAACAAACGTCATCGACTTTCATCTCGCAGCGGAAACGCGTTGTCTAAATATTTGAGAGACCGCCATCTAACAGCTGTGCGGTGGTCGATCTGATGGAAGATCTGAAGCGGTTTTAAAGTGAGAGAGAGATAGAGAGGGAGAGAAGGCCCTCCTCCCTCCTAACGCTGCAGACCACTGGGACATCTGCTGCCGTTGTAGGAAACTGCAGGCTGGTCCACGGGAGACTATCATCATGGACATCATGGAAAAGATGGATGAGTGCCTAAATAGTCAAAAACTGAGATTTGTTCAGGTACGTCTTCAGCATTGAGAGCATGTGGTGTAAATAATAAATGCACCGGAAAACTAGAGGGAATAATGAGATTTGTCCAATAGATTTTTACATTACGTGTCATTTAGCTAACGCTTTCATCCAAAACCCAGAAGAATACGAAACAAGAAAGCGCAATTTCAGCAAATAAGCCGATAGAAAAGAGCCATTATAAGTACAATTAAAGTGCTTTTTAGCCTCGTGTTTTTTAGTCAAGGTAAAGTCTGAAGATACACAGAGCAACCATGACAACCTGAATACCTTCACACAAAAAAAAGTTTCATTTTTTGCTCTCTGGCCCGAGCATTAAGCATGACTGCTTTCCAAAGCTCTGCAATCAGTCTTAACGGCATTTGAGCTTGAACAACCGAATAGCAGATAGTAGGTAGAAAACCCTGTTGCCTCACTGCGTGTGCAATTGTATGCATGCACCATTTTCTCCAGGGAGTTCTTCCAGTCAGCTTTCTTTGTGTCAGTCAAGGTACGCAACATGGACAGGGTGGTTTCATAAAAACGTTCCGTCTTCCCATCTCCGGGGGGATGGTAACACCTTGTATGAGAGCCTCGCACCACAGCGCACTTCAGCTGATCCTTTAAACAGTTCTCAAATTCTCCCAAATCATTATAGAATTGGGCCTATTCTGGTTGACACACGGCAGCCGGGTTTATCGGCCAGCAGCTCTGAAGCCGGTTCTGGCCCGTTGATGGCTGCCGAACATGGGCCAAATCTGGCATTATAGAATTGGGCCTATTCTGGTTGACACATGGCAGCCGGGTCTCTGTGAGTCCAGAGTGGACCTTATTTTAGTTCAGACGTTAAATGTATTTTTTAGTTCTTTTCTTTTCTTTTTTTTGCTATGAGTTCATTTGGTTTCAGAAGACTGAATGTATATAATATAATAATAAAAAGATCACCCTGACTGGGCTGATGGAGAGAAATGTTTGTTAATATCTGACTGCTTAGAGAAGAATGAGGATGTACTTTATTATAATCATTTCTTTCAGGTAAAATAACGTTATTAAGAGATTTAAAGTGGTTCCTCTTTCTGTTCAGGCTGCAGAACTTGTTTTATTTCATTTTTAGGGAACGTTGCTGTTTTTGAAAGGCAGGTAGGAACGAGAGACGTCCAGGGCGATTGACAATGACGCGACAAGTGACACAAGAGACACACGCAGCTTAAATACACTAGGGAGGTGCAGGTGATTGGACACAGGTGGAAACAATCAGACAATCACAGACGATGACAGGACAAGGCAGGAAGTGAAGTTACCCAGGGAGACAAGAAAACTACAAAATAAGACAGGAAATAAAACCACACCGTGACAGAGGTGGGGTCAGAGCAGCATGGAGACATGGACATTACATCACTCTCATACACACAGCGTTGTCCTTCATGTTCACATGGACCACTTCTTCTTCTTCTACCACTAGTTACAGACGACCACAGGCTGTCAGTCAGGCGTCACACAGCGACGCTCGTTCAGCACCGACAAGGTGGTGGAATATATTCATGAAATAAGGTAGATGTAAATGTAGAATAAATAATAAATGTACCTGTGGCTGTACTTTCACTAGATGTGAATTAAAATGTGAGAAATGACGTCATGCTACAGATCAAGCTTCATGGGACGTGTAACATTAACATTAAACTGTTAATAACCAAATATTTACTAAATATAAAACAAAGCAGATAAAGACCATTGAGTATTTACACAATGTGCATGTTTTTATGTTTCAAAATGAAAAATGAACAAATAACACATGTACTATTGCCCACAAGCAAAACAGAAGAAACACACTAGTTAGTTTATTTAGTTCACTGTTTGGTTTTTCACACCACAGAGGCACCGACTGCTGACATCACATTCAGCTTACGTCACGTTCTGCACAATTGCTGTGATGCTACACAACAAGGTTATGTACTGTACATGTAAATACACTCAACCATCTTCCAATGGATCCCTATTGTTTTCATCCCCCTCTTCATCACATGAATCTAATCCATGAAGCTCTGAAGCTCCGTGATCCTCATCGCTGCTCTCACAACTCGCTCAGACTCAAACGACTGGCGACTTACAGCCAGCTGCCACTAAGGTGCCACTAAGGTGCCACCGAGGTGCCAAAGACCTGCCGTTGCGTGCCAGTGTCACGAGGAGGATCTCGGGCCTTCACAGATAACGTTCCATGCGAGCGAGCCTACCTAACGTTAGCTAGCTAAATGTCCAATATTGAGACCGTAGTGATCTGGTCAAAAATTAAACTGGCCTTGTCATAGTCATGGAGATGATCTAATTCAACATGTCAGCCGTGGTCACTTGCTGACAACCGACAACCACGTATACATGGTGGAAGCTGTAAAGAGGGCAATCTAGCATGCAGGCAAAGCTTTATCAGGAATCAGGAACATTTATTGCCAAAATGTGTCAAACATACAAGGAATTTGTCTTGGCGGATGGTGCATGACAGTAAACAGTGTAACAATAGACAACAAGACAGCAGTGCACAAGTAATAAAATAAAGTAAAATGAAATGCTATTGCAATGAGTTAGTAGAATAAGGCTATGGGTTAGTATAAAACAAGGGAATAAAGTTAAAAATTTAAAATATTAAAAAAGTTAAAAAATATTAAGCATAAAGTGCACTAGCGAACAAGTAACAAAGTGACGAATGACGACAAAGTGATAAATTACAGTTAAAGTGACATGTGCAGTGTGAAGGGGAGTGACCGGTGGAATGTTATAGTCAGACAGTGGGGGACCGGGCTCTGTTGATGAGCCCGACTGCCGACGGGAAGAAACTGTTCGTGTGGCGGGAGGTCTTAGTCCTGATGGACCTCAGCCTCCTGCCAGATGGAAGGGGCACAAATATTTTTTGTCCGGGGTGAGAGGGACCCGGAGAGAACCCACACAGACACGGGGAGAACATGCAGACTCCACACAGAAAGGCCACTGGGTAGTCGAACCCAGGACCTTCTTGCGGTGAGGCGACCTGTGCATCCTGCACCAATAAGATTCACCCAAAACTCCAACTACCAAGATTCTCACAATATTTACCACCGAAATGAGAACAAACCATGAGATGATTCTTCCTAAAAGCTCAGATTTAACTTATTTAGGTTGTTAATGTCTTTTTTGGCAGCTTAGATTGTTTTTGCGCTTCAAATTCTGGTTTCATTGTGATGCAAGATGAAGGCCTTGGTAGGCTTCACTGGTTTATGGTCAGCCCATTAAAAGATTAGATCGTTTGGACGCTGACATTCGATAAATATTTTATATATTTGAATGGATTTAGTTTCCTCAGACTGCAAATAGGGTTGAATAACAATTGTTAATGTTGCCTCAAACTCAAATATACTTTAACCTAAAATATTCCTCAAATATAAAGGATCCTGTTATGCAGCAGACTGGGCCCTGGTCCTCTTACGTGGCTAACTGAGTTAGCCGGATCATTTTCAGGATGAGATGACATAGATCAGGCTTTTCGGTTCCCCGAAGCAGGTTTGTCTAAATCACCATAGAAACACATAGAAAAACTTGAACCTGCTCCGGTGCAGGTTCATTTGAGCTTCTGGATAGTTGATCACTCCCCCATAAAAAAAGGGCAGCGCTCTTCCTCATTGATGAAGGATCAATTTCAGTTCGATTAACGTCTTACAGGGAGAGACTTCTCAGAGATCACAAAGACCCGCCCGGTTCCTCGTACGTGGTTCAACTAAGTCGATCAAATGTCCCATTATACAGGTCAAATTACAGAGATGATTGACATCAGGCTATTTCAGTTCCTCGAAGGCGGATCGGCGCTCAAACCGTCTCATTAGTTTGAACCAGATGTCAGTCATCAGGATAATCGTGCATGGAGGAATTGGACTTTGTACAATAATATAAAAAAAAAGGGCAAGAATTAATATAAACAGATGGACATGCATAAGTGTTTTAACACTTATTTTTCCATGGTGTGAATCCACAGTGCAATGTTCAGAGGGTGAAGTATTTGAGTCAATGGGGGACTCTTGGTTCAAGAGACCAACTGCTGACGGGGAAGAAACTGGCAGGAGATCTTGTTCCTGGACTGAAACCTCCTGCAGAGGGAAGATTCTGACTGGCGTGAGGGGTCAGCTACAGTCTTTCCTGCCGATGTTCAGCTGCCACTTGAGGTCCTGGAGCCCAGAAAACTGAATGAATCCACGGCAGGGACTGGGAAGTGCCGTTCAAAGAGAAGGAACAGGGATGATGGTGGAGGCCTTGAAGCAGGCTGGTACGTGGCATGTCTCCAGGGAGGTGTTGAAGATGTCTGAACACCAGAGACCGCTGACCAGACATTGCTTCAGGGTGCGAGTGGAGACGGAGTCCCGACCAGCTGCTTTGTGAGTGGTGTCTTTTAAAGAGTCTGTGGCTGATGGTCAGAGTACAGACGTTGAACATCTCTCACCACCTGGCCAAACCGGTGTTTTGACAAGACTTTGTCCCCACTCCTAAATGCCCGATTCTTCTGCAGTCGTAGTTGCGTTTCGCTGTAAACCAGAGTTTGACTCAAACTGGGGACAATGCAAGAAGTCACAGCCTTTGAACTCATCCAGACTGTTAGTAGCAGTCTGGAAAACAGTGGTTTTGGCTGCACTGCAGGTGAAAGTAAAAAATGTCACAAGACCTGCAAATCGATTATTAACCTTAATGACACTTATCAGAACAAAGAAAAAAAATGGATACAAATGTGAGTTTTAAGGTTTATTCAAGCTGCCAACAGCAGAAACATTGTTGTCACTGTTCCCCAGTTAGTTTGAACCTCCTGTTGCCTGCCTTGATCACAGTGATGAGGATGATGATGAAGAAGCCCAAAATCCAGACACCTGCAACCGGCAGCACCACAGTCGCCAGTATGCCTGAAACCAAAACAGATCATTGCAGTATCCCCGAAGGAAAGTTTGTCTTCAAATGACTCCTGCAGCGAGAACAAAGAGGTGGAGCATCGAACAGAGCAAGGAGCTCCTGGTCGTACGAGGACACAAGTGATCGAGAAACTTACTGGATTGATGTCTGTCCGGCATCTCGATCCGGATGGGTCCATACGATAGGAGGCCCAGAGAGGGGTCAGACCGCATCGCTTCCCTCTTACTCATTGAATTACAGTTCTGTGAAGTACAAAATAAAAGACATGACTGAAGTGAACAAGAACACTGAAGACACTGATCCTTTGGTCATTTTAAGTTAATCTATAAAAAAAAGGCCGATTCAGATGACTGATTCAAGAGTACAAAGCAAGCGAGCAGAGCGCACTGACCGGCGTGCAGGAGTTGTGCTCTTCTGGCGTGCACAGTTCAACGGTGCAGTGCAGATAGAGGTCGTGAGGTTCTGCTGTGAAACGAAACATGTCGAAGCTGTAGTGAATGGTGGAACTTTCTCCGTTGCCGCCAGACTCCCCGGCGCTCTTCAGAAAGGAGACGGTCTCGTCATCCACGCACCTGCATAATGAGACGAAAAGCGGGTAGGGGAGGAAATGGGTTTGACTATAGTTGGTAGACCGTGACGACTTAAGGTACGTGAGCAGTGGACGGAGAGCTCCGCTGACCCGTTCAGAAGCAGAGTGTAGACCAATCCCGCCGTGGCGTTCGGCTGGGGAAACTGCGTGGCCCAGCACTCATTGAGCCGGAGCAGGAAGTAGTCCGCAGGTTCCGTGACTTTCACCTCCACGTACACCTGGACACAGAAACACGCTGCAAAACAGTTGCTGGAAATGGGGCTTAACATGCGGTTAGCTGACGATTGTTCGCTACCTTGTCTCGGAGTCCAATGGTGGGGGCACTACTGTAGGCTTTAGAATAGGACTGGTCCGTGTACAGCATCATCTGTATGTTGGCGTCAAGTTCGTCAAGATGCATCACCAGCTCACTGTATGCATGTAGAGGTGGGAGGGGAAGAAATAAGGGCACTTTTGATTACCAATGTTCAGATTGTAGTGCACAGTACAACCAGATTTGGGACAAATTAGCTTGAAATACTTAATGCCCGTGTTGAATGTTGCAAGTAAGCCAGGCTTTGCCAAGGTATCAATAAGATTGATTAGATTCAACGTCCCTCCTTACCTGGAAAAGTGGATGACTGGGAAAGGCAGGCTGACGGTTCTGATGGACGGATAGACGCAGGTGTAGTTCATCTTGATAACTGGATTTCTGACGATGTTTCCAATCACCTGAGGCTCTGACTGGAGACTCAGGGAATAGGAGATTTGATTTTTTCTCTTGAACAAACAAAAAACAAGAACTTCAGGGTTTTGACAGAGAGAAGTTTTTTTTTTTTTTTAATTTTTTTTTTACACCCAATAGTGACATTTGTGCTCCAGTCATACCGTCAGCGCCTTGCCTCCACACATTTGATATTCATCTTTAGAAATCTTGGACACGAAGTACGGCACACCGTCAATGACCTCCCTCTGAGGACGGCAAGATTTGTTGGGCAAGTGCAGCGACTGGAGCGGTACGCTGTGAAACGTGAAGTAATCTTCCATCGCTCGGATTGCAATGAAGTCCTTGCCACACACGACTTTGATGTGTGCATCTGTTCAAAAATAAAAATAAAATAAAAATAAAGTCATTCAAACATGGTAAACGAAGATGGAAATGCATAAGTAGTGCTTAGATTCCTTGTTTTTTGAGCTTAAAATAAACACCTTAAGTAGGACGTGATAACGTTTTACAAACTAAGCAAATATTAACCAGTTGCAGACAAAATACATAAATGTGTCAACCACGATGACAACTACTGATGCATCTTTTTTTAAATTGTCAATAGCGAACAGGGTTTTTTTTCCCCCTCCTTGGAAAGAAAACAAATTGATATCCAACACAGAACGACCACTTATGGAAAATTGTTGATCAGGTAAGAAAAAGTGCCCACTTTTGTCACATTGGTCCGAATAATATCCGTTGGCACATTTGCATCTTCTTTGGTCTTCAGACAGAAGACACCTGGTGCTGTTGGTGCAATGCTCCACACTGCAAACTCCTAACCAGCAGACAAATAACCATCAATGGTTTTGACAAACTGCAGCAAGTTTACGGGGTTTTTGTATGTATATTGTATTTTTTTTTTAAAAAGGTAGACACGCTTACCTCTTACACATTGGCGCATGAAGCCAAAGAGGAGGACGAGGACCAGGCTCAGCTGACGAGTGGCCGCAGAGTTCATGTTAGTGACGGATCGTACCGGTGGCCTGTGCTGCATTAGCAGCGTGCAACAACGCGCACTAAACTGCACGCACGCATATTCATTTCCTAACATGCAGGATCAACAATACCAACGATAATTTCATCGGCACTCACCTTTAAGCCGATTGGCATCATGGTCGTGGAGTGTTTCGTGAGGACGAAGTTAACAGAATCCTGCTCTTTGTTAAAGGTGATGTCGTCACACGCACGCGCTCCTCCGCTGAGCCCGTTTTCTTATCAGGTGCTGCTCTTCAATCACAAACACCTGTCACTTTGCGCTTCAGCGCGTTACACTTATCATTGGTAATTGATTAAACATGTCGTGGAGTTGGTGGGTTTCTATTTGTAAAACAGAACACACGCATATAATGAAAGTGTCACCCACGTCATGTGACTTTAATATTGATGTGTTGGAATTGAAAGAACATCAGTGTTTGGTTCTGATCATGACATAATTAATAACATGAAACGGGTGGTTTGGTTTTTAGCTGACTTCAGTGACCATCTTCAAATCTTACTTTGAAGGTTGGGTTGGGTCAGGAAGCCTTCCTGTAAATTGGTGAAAACATTTGAGAGAATTGAGGCATTAAAGATGGAACTTACAATGAACAGCTGGTAGAAATTGTATGTTAATGATTCTAATCAGGCCTTTTGCCTTCATCCATAACATTGTCTTATTAGGACGTTTTGGATAAAGGAAAACCATGGATGACTAAAGGTCAGCAAAAGGCATGAAGAAAGAAACAACAAGGATGCATTAAAAGTGGAGGAAAACATTTGTAAAAGAACTGGCTTGTGAAATGACAGAAAATGGACATTTTTGAGTATAAAAAATAGAACCACTCATACTGTTATGCAGATACTGCGAGGTGCGTCCGCTCCCGCCGCCCCCCTCGCCATCCACGACTTAAATCTTCGGCTGCTCTCCATCCACGCCGCATACCAAGGGCTCCTTTTAGAATAACTTATTTCCCTGTTAAGATGGTTCAGCTACTGTAAAGAAAAGGGCACCGTCTCTCGCTCTTTAATCTCATGAAGTGCTCGGCGAGAACGACAGCTTTGTTTCTCCGACGCGCCCTGAAACAAGCTCCATATCTCACGCGCTTGAGCGCCCGCTCAGCATCTCGCCGTCACAGACCGAGCTTTGGCATGTTTGGCAGAGCGCCTTGTACAACCAGTATGGATCAACCGATTAACAAATCTGTTCGTTTACATTGTTTGTGCTTCATCAATTAATGTTTCACATAACTAATGTGCCGCATCATACATATTTTTATATTCATTTAAAACTTTTCAAAATTTAAAATTTAAAACTTTTTATTTATTTATTGTAAATGACCTCTCGCGGCCCACCTGCCGTACCTTCGCGGCCCACACTTTGGGAATCGCTGCTTTAGACTATTGAGAAATGTGGAGACTGGATAGAAACTAGATGCCAGGTACCTCCACTAGATGTCCTTATCGTCTGCACAAAATGATTCAGCGCTGTAGAAAGTTCCCCTGCACCATTTCAAACAACACTAGAATAAAAAAGAAAAGCAATTAAAATGCACGTGGGAAATCTCTAAGACGATTTATTTCCGATTCTACATTTACTTATGTAAATACTAAAAGGTGACTAGAGAAATATTGTGTGAACAGAAGGAAAATAAATTAGTTTTTTAAAGTGTGCAGGTCAAAACAGTGAGCGGCTCAGCGGTGTCTTGAGGGAAAGACATAAGTGGGTCACACCCGCAGGCCACACTCCATATTCCCAGACAACAGGCAGACCATCTGTCTTTGGTGGGAAAGATCACAGAGAGGATAAGTTGCTGAAGAGGGACGAGCCGCGATGGATGCTGCAGGTTTGAATCCGCTCTGGTCTGCAACAACACCGGGTTGTGTTCTCCGCTCTGCATCTGCAAAACTACTCGTCCCTCCCTCACTGAGAGCAAAACACTCGACTAGGTCTCGACTCTTCGCTGTCCTTGCGCCGAAATGGTGGAACGAGCTCTCTGAAGACATCAGGACCGCAGAGAGCCTTCACATCTTCCGCCGCAAACTAAAGACACACCTCTTCAGACTCTACCTCGACTAAAGACTAACAAATTGTGCACTTAAATTGTACTTGTAACGTCACTCATCTATAGCAAATTGTAAATTGCCTTATTTGAGGAAATTGCACTTTCTTGTTTCTTGTTCTCCTGAGTTTGTACCCTATGGTTGAATGCACTTATTGTACGTCGCTTTGGATAAAAGCGTCAGCTAAATGACATGTAATGTAATGTAATGTTTGTTTCTTGAGTATTAACAATGGCTGCAATCGTAATAAGTCCTCTTTCTCTGCCCAACCCTGCCCAAGTAATAATCTGGTCTACAAATAACCAGATGGGAAAGATTGACTGCCCAAAGGATGGAGAAATTCAACTGATTGAACAGCAACAGTGGAAATATTGGTAATGTTATTTATTTACAGAGCAAAGGGGGTAAGAAAGACAACCGTGTCTCAATACAGAGAATCTTCACGTGAATCCTTAAATGGTTATAAATCGGTACGCATATGTGGTTCTCGTATCTGAGTGAAGGTGAATAACTCTGAATCATTATACGGGGCAAAAAAAGATTTCAGTTTATGATCAGGTGTGATTGACAGAACCTGCACAACAAACACACCAGTTTTACAGCCCACTGAAATGACTCCGCTCTGTGTGTGTTCATCTTGCATCTCCTCCCTTGGCGGCGCCGGGCGGTGGTTCTTGGTCTGGTCGGTAGCGGTGCGGTGCCACCCTGGTGTTGTGAAATAGCCGGGTTATAGGAGGTGTCTGTCATCGGCCTGATTCACAACACCAGCTGCAGCACACACACCTGAGAGGCCGGTCTTCTGCTGCTGGATGTGTGGAAACACACACAAACACATGGCAGGTTGTACTAAAACCCTAAGAAGAGAAGAGCTGAAGTCAGGACTCTATGCAGCAGCCTTTGCGCTCTCAAACGTGACGGGTTGGACAGCTACTCTGATGTCATCCGTACGGCAGGTGATTTCCAGATCGTCCGGCGGACGGAGTGCAGGAGCAGCACCGGTGCGTCCCCGCTCACCACTCCGGGCAGAAGGACAGCATGGGCCCCGTAGTACTTGGCTCAGCTTTGTCTCATACATATCAACTTGGATATGAAGAGGAGCCAAGACAGAATGAGCCGCCATCTGCGTTCTCTCAGGCCAGAGAGTGTTGGCCACCCATTCAACAGAGGGGATGACGGGTGATGGGATCCTTTTTTTTTTTTTGCATGTGGCTTAAAAGCATCAACACGAGTTAGTTTTTTCTGCTAAACGTACCAGCAGGCCGGCGCCTAATGCTTTTGTGTCGTTGTTACTATGGCGTTCCGGATGGTTGCTATGGCGTCTCCCTGTGGTTGCTGAAGTGTTATAGTGGGCAACACCATCCGAGACGCCGTGATGAGGCTTTATACTTTGGGAAATCCCGGTTAAAGATGAAATTGCTGAAACAGCAGGGACCTGATTTAAGTGGAGCGCAATGATGAGCACTTGAACCATTAAGTCAAAAAGCAATCACATCGGAGTGTGTGTGTGTGAGCATTTGCATAGTTTTCAACAGGAAAAACATGTAGCGTCAAAACAGAAACTTCAGCATTATATTAACTCAGTGTCTAAAATGTCTATTCCAGTTACCCCGGAAACCCCCCTTCTGATACTGCGACAAAGCAGAAATATCCCTCCAGTCCGCCTCAAGCCAACCAACCATCTGCCAGAGGACGGGACAGAGACACGGCAGCGCAGCCTGTGAGGACAATGCGGCGTCTGTCTGCGACACTTAGGACCAAGAATGGTAACTTGCTCATAAAGGGAGATGAAATGTTTGAAACTGGACAATCACCACTTTCCTCTGAGGGCTCAGTCAGTCTGCAGTATATGTTAAATTAAGCCCAATTTTGATTCATCATTGTTTGTTATAAACTCAAGTTCAAAAAGGTAAATTCATTGAACAGTATTGGTTGTCTTGTCTCATTTTGCAAACGAAAAATTGAGAAAACTGACTGTTTTCACAGTAATTGTTGCACGTGCAGAGCAATCATGATTTTAAAAAAGTGAGGCTAGATGGGTAAAAAGTGAAATGGACATGTAGAAAATAAAGGCAACTGAAAAGCATACTTATTTTTTATTCCAAATCATCAAAAGAGACAAATACCAAACAAAAATGAAAAAAGAGACTACTGACAACAAAGAGGAACTCAAATGGATGATGCAAGACGATGTATCTGATAAAACAACGACAAATATTGTATTCTATAAAACAGAAATGGTCGACAAGAGGGTTTGTATGAATACGATTGGTGGAAGTCTTGTATAGCCAAAAGGTTTCTGCTTGTCGCTCTCTGTCCGTGTGTGCGTGCGTGCGTGCGCGCGTGTGTGTCAGTTCATCAGTAATTCCATTTGCACCAGTCTTGCGTTGGTGTCTCCGGCCATGTTGTAGGGAATCATACCAGCAAAGGTGATCAGGGCTCTGGCCTGACTGCGGAGTTGCTGTTCACAGAACAAAAAGAAAAGAGGAAGCAGAAGAAATGTACAAAGAAATTAAAACACTGTAATAAGAAACTTCTTCCGTACATCTCATTAGACGCTGTCCGCATATTAATGGAAATACGTGGCAGTAGACATTTTCTCCTACAGACAGTAGGTTTTGCGAGTGTCCGTTACGGACTTAGTCTCCAAAGGTTTCATCCCGCCACAACAATTTGCAATGCCTCCCTTTGTCCCTCTGCTCGACCAGAGCCCTTCTTCTCACCATGTCCCTGTCCTCTACGGTCCTCTGGGGTCGTCCCGGCGTGCCCGCTGGCGCCGCCTTCAGGCGCTTGTGCTGAGTGAGGAGGATGTTCATGGTGGCCAACAGCACTTCGGACAGGTTGTGGCGCACCTGGAGACACAGAGAGCACTTTAAGAACCGAGCGAAAGAACAACGCTGTTTGTTGTGAGACAAAGTCTCCCACCTCGTCACTGAAGTTCCTAAAAGCAGCCACTCTCTCCTCCACGCTGTCCTGACTGAGAGGAAGGAGCTTCAGACGCTCCATCACCTGGTGGAGAAGCATAAAGAGGAATGTCATGAACAGAGGCGATTGGATTCACTGCTGAGACGGACAGATGATGCGATATAAAAAAGGAGCATAGCGTCGAACACACAAGCGTACCGTATTTTCCGCACTATACGGCGCACCGGACTAAAAGGCGCACCTTCAATGAATGACCTATTTTAGAACATTTTTCATACATAGGTCACACCGGATTATAAGACGCATAAGGGCGGAATAACTAGTTTGTGAAAGAGAGAAACACAAATATCCGACGAAGCAAAATCCCAGACGTTTTTGGAATCCCTGCCGGACGCATTTTTTAGGTCTCACAAAGAGGACATGTCTGGGGAAAAGAGGACGTCTGGTCACCCTAACTGTAAGTAAGCACAGTATCGGTGGTTACTGACTATGGTAGCCGTAATGCTGCAAGCCGTGCGGCTTTGTAGTTTACCAGTCGTACCGAAACATATTATTATTGGTTTTTCATACTGAAACATTTTGACAGAGCGCCTTGAGCGCCGTGTACAACCAGTGAGGATCAACCAATTGATCCATATATAAGGCGCTCCGGATTATAAGACGCACTGTCGTTTTTTGAGAAAATTAAAGGCTTTTAAGTGCGCCTTATAGTGCGGAAAATAAGGTACTCACGTCGTAGGCTCTGTCCACGTGACCTGCGTGGTACTCGTCAAAGAAGGTGGTCAGGTCCAGCAGCAGGTAGAAAGTACTATCGATGGACTTGTCTCCTGCGACGCCCTGAGAACGATACCTGCGGCGGAAAGAGGGAATGATGCGTTTCATTTGTTTGGCTTCGAATTTGACTCAGAGTGCACGGCGCGTGCGTCCTACCTCTCGGCGATGGCCACTGCGGTGTTCTTTAGCCTCTCCTTGTTGGACTGAGGGGCGCTGACCTGAGCAACGACTGGACTCAGCAGCCTGTTCATCAGCTCCAACACCTTATCTGGGTTCTAGATAGAAACAAATGGAAAAACAGACGGTCAGACGACTCGGAAAACAAAAAAGAAACGTCCGCACGTGGCGGCAGCAGCTTTGCAGAAACTTTTGGTTCGGTCCACGCAGGGAGAGACGCACGGACCGCTCCGCTCACCTTGGCCAGTTCGAAGAGTTTGACCGCCTCTTCAAACAAGCCCTTGTTCTCGGCCTCCAGAGCCACTTTACTGATGATGGCTCTGGTGTCCCCGGCGAACTTATCTATGACTCCAGGCTGCAGGGAGGAGGAGAGAAGAACCGAGTGAGACTGGGAGTACTGAGGTTCTGCTAGCTAAGCAGATGGAACCGTGCTTGAGTGGTTGGTTTGCTTCCAGCAACCAGAACACGAGATCAAACTAAAGCAAAGCAAGCCAGTTTAGAACAATCTGATAAAAGTCAATTTAGATGAGGATTCTTTTCTTCGTTACATCTGACATCCGATAGCTGCGCCGGAACAGCTTGTTTAAATTCAATAACTAATCAAGGTCTTTAACGGTCGCGATAACTTGCTCTTGAGTGATGATATTTTGAAAATTACCAGATTTGACCTATAAAGGTCGTACTATACGGGTCGTTGTGGCGCAGGGGTTAGAGAAGGTGTGCTGGGAAGCACAAGGTTGTTGGTTCGATTCCAGGCTGCCCCATGTTCCATGTCGAAGTGTCCCTGAGCAAGACACCTACCCCTAATTGCTCCCCAGGCAAAAATGTGAAAAAAGCCATGGGGTTAAAGTGTAATGTAAGTCGCTTTGGATAAAAGCGTCTGCTAAATGACCTGTAATGTAATGTAATGTAATAAAGAACATCCATAAATATGCTCTATTAAAATGTTCAACCAATTTTAAACATGAGCAAAATCTAATTCCTTAGAAAAATTTCAACATGTTTTTTTAAACAAATTGTTGTTGTTAAACCTTCACAGCTCAGAGATGTTTAATATCAAAGTGCTTCTTTTGCTAAACACGGTATCTGACTTAATTGGTCTGCTTATCGATCTGATTGATCACACGTCACAGTAGTTTCAAGTACACGATACATGACCGTTAGATCGCTCTAAGGCATAAACATATGGAACGGTCTCAAGTCAGATGTCTGTCGATGGAATGCACAACATTAAGGACGTTGCCTCAACAATGATTCAATCCAGCAAACAACGATCTTACAATCACTTGCTGTTAAATATAACGTCACCTAAAAGGTCTATTGGTGTAGAGGACTAGAAAGTTCCATTTAGCATCCAATTCACTCGCATCCTATTGCCTGATTCATTAATAGGTAGTTATCAGATTCATAAATAAGTTAACCAGTGTGTTTGTCATCGGGTGGAAGGAAACATACAAAATAAAATACTGTGAAAACACCTCATTTCTTTGTAGAGTTCTGCAGGCATGGTGAGCAATGTGAAGAACATTTGAAAGCAAAAGCTTTAAAGAAACATCGTGAAGATCTTTTGGATCCATGACAGCAGAACAAAGTGCCGCTGAACGTCAAAGAGTCAGAAGAGGAGCAACGGACAAAGAACGTGGAGCAGAGAGAAGTCGATGATGAAAGAAACACGGATCAGACGAGATGGAGAGACACAGACCAAAGACACTCTGCGTACCTTCCTACTGCCGTCCTTCTCTAGTCTCCCCAACAGCATGTCAAACTGTGAACAAGAAACATACCAAGTACCGACCTTAGAAATCACATTATTTTTACTTACTTTGGTTTTGTTCAGTCTTAAAAAATGATCAAAAGGTCTCTTCAAACCTCTGTTATTATAGATGTTATTATCTCCAAATCTAAAAAAAAAGTCCAAACAGGGTTCTACAGTGTTAAAAATTTGAATTATTGTATGTTTTTTGAAAATATTGAAATATAAAAAAAATGAATCAATAAAAAAATCTATTCATTGGCTTAATTCAACCGTTTCACAAGTCTAGACGCATTGGACGAGCTGCTCTCTGTAAACGTGGGTCACTCACCTCACGACTCTCAATCACGAGTTCACTGACACAACGCATGAACATGTTTTCTCCCTGGCTGTCTTTCTCGTTGCTGCGGGACAAACAAATGGAGGAGGAATTAGAAACGGAGGCGTTGCGGTGAACATCGGTGGACCAGAACAAAAGCTGAATTCATGACATCTGTCCCTCACACACTGTTTGGTAAATGTCCATAATCTCCCAGTAGGCGGCGTTCACCTGACTGTTGGACTGAGGTCACTCACCGTAGGAAGTAGAAGTACTGCAGGGCTTCCCGTGGATCGGTGGACTCAAACTTGCGAGTGTAGAGCATGAGCAGGCGGATGAAGTTGAGGCGGCGTACCATGGGGGGGTCGCCGGGTCCCTGGCTCACTACGGACAACAGGTCAACGCATTTGGTTTCACTCACGCGTCCTTTCGAATTCCCTCTCCAAAGTAAAAAGAAAAGGGGGGGGGGGGGGGGGGGGTCACACTCACACAGCTGGGCGCTTTGTCCCGACGACTTCAGCAACAGCTGCAGCTCGTACAGGACCAACGCCACGTGCACCGCGTGGCTCCGGAGTCGCTCCACGCGAAACAAGAACGCCACCGCCGCCTCAAACTGAGCCGTCAGGAACAGCACCTGGAAATACAGGAAGGGCTGCTGGCTCGCTGAGAAGTGGGACTCTCCTGCAGGACGGCAGATGAGAGGGAGGCAGTTGGTTCCGATGAGTCAAAGTATCTCTGCCTCAATTAAACCAGCACATTATTTCAATGTCAGATGCGTTTCGGCACATTTTATTCTTGAGAGTCGTTTGTAACTGTTTGTACTCTGGTAGTAACCAATTTGTTTATTCAGATGACTAACTTAAAGAAAAAAGAAATAGCAGCATTGAAAAATGACAACGTGAGGCGACAGAGCGGACATTGGTCTGATTCAGTGATGACGTTGTCGTGACAGTTCAGCCGAGAAGCCTCCGCTGAGGAGGAACCAAGGGCAGTAGGAAAGGAAACAGGAAAATGACTTGCTAACAAAAGCAAATCCAGCAGAACCAAGCAGTTGAAGTGAGGCATAAGACGACAGAGTGCATCCGTTATGGAAGGACCGGTCAATGAAGATCCCGGTCTAATCCAGGGAAACGAATTGATTGAATGTCCTGTGTGGGTTTTTCAGCGCTTACCTGCGGTCGTTATGTACTTAAATGTATTAAGTGAGAATCATCATTTGGGAGGACAGGTGAACTCGTGCTCTACATGTGCCAAGTTAACTTTTGGCAGTCGCTATGGCAACAAACATGCAGGGATTTGAAAATAGGCCGTCAAGTGCAGGTATTTAGTCATCAAGTTTACTTTTTTAATTATAATCCTTAATCCTCTAGCTGGCTGAGGAGAACAGGGTGGACCACGTCAGCAATTTCTCAGCCTTATCTCAGACTGACAGCACTTCAGTTCAAAAAGGGAAAGCGTATGAGAGAGGAAGAGAGCGATGAAGAGGAAGAACAGGACGAAGGCAAGATAAGAGCGGGTGGTGGTGGTGGCTGCAGCAAATTATACAAACAAGAAATGACACATGACACAGGAACACATGGAAGGAGTGAAACGGGGATGTAAATCGGTGGGAGGAAAGGAGAGGAAACTGCAGTGCGGGTGTGAGGAGAAACAGGGATAAAGGATGAAAGGAGGAGAGGACGCAGCGAGCAGAGGAGAGGAACAGACGGGGCTTCGCGCCCTGCTGTGAAGCAAGATGGAGTTCCGCGAGGAACGCGGAGCCAGACAAACGGAGAAGCAGAGCAGCTTGAGAGAGAACAGAATGTGGCCTCGGGCTGTACTTCCCAATGAGCGGGGGGGGGGGGGGGGGGGGGGGGTTGGGGGCTGAGGGTACCCATTGAGAAGATCGGCCCGTTTTGAAGACAACTCAAAAAAGTGCCCTCTCAATCTGTGGGAGGAAAAGGCCCAGTGCCCTCATGCTCCCATTTTGATTTATTCTTGGACTGTCGGGGCTTGTGGCTGTTTGGGGGCCTCATCAGTCAGAGGGCATTTCAGCAGCTGGGGGGCCGCTTCTGACAATTGTTTCGATTAGAGTGAAGCTTTTTGCCTCGCTGAGTGCGTTACGTTTTAACACTCTTACTCCAAGCTAGCTGAAACAACTTCCAAACCAAAAAGGGCCAAAAGTCAGTTTTTACCAAAATTGACATACTGGATTAATTAAGAAGTGAGGAGATTTATTTCTTTGCCGAGCCAAAAGGAAATTAATAAAAACGGAAAATGAAAGACTGTCATATATGAGAGTCTCAAAATCCTTGTTGTATGCATTTCCTTATAATAAGTGATTCTGCTTATCGGTGCGTCGGTGATCGCTGCAAAATGTGTTACCTGATACACTTCTGTTCAAGAAACTACCAAAGAGGACGTTCAGGAGTTCTTTTCCCGATTTTACGTCTCTGGACAGATTTTTTTTTTGTCACTGATTATATTGTTGTGTATTTTGTATTAACACAACACAACGATTTCCAAAAGTGTGCCTCTTGTCCTCTCTTGTGAAATTAATTGTTTTCTTGAAGAGCAGTCAGGCTGCACAGTGCGACGCAGCCGGGGGGAGTAGCGGGCGAATGAGAGTTTAAGCTGCAGCATTTGATAAAGCCGGAGGGAGATAAGGGCGTAGTCGAGTTCTCTGGACAGGCAGCAGTTGACTGGCAGCTGTAGTTCTTTAAAACAAGGAACTCCCCGTGCAGAAACATAAGCACAAAAGATGAGAAACCGCGTTGCTATTTCTACATTTGCCAGTTTGAATCGAATGCACTTTTGCTCCTTCTAACACAAGTCATACTGTCCACAGAAACGGCTGCTGAGGCTCATGGGTATTGTAGTGTTCAAAGCTGTTTGACAGATAAGCCATAGAAGTGTACTTTAGTCTAGTTAAATCATCCATGCACCACTTTTGCTTCCAGACTCTCAAGTTGCCGAGCAAATCTCAGTTTGCTCATTTTTTTCGTTGTTAATGTAATGTTAATGTATGTGCATTCACAGATCTTTTGTCTGCGGCATCTTTTGGAGGATAGAGGTTAAAGAGAAGAGAACAACAAGGCAAAGAAAACCACGGCAGGAATTAATGAGCACAGTTTAGAACAGTGATTCTCAACTGGTGGGTCGCGGGCCTTTGCCTGGGAAAATTAAAATTAGAATAAAAAAATAAAAAAATAAAAAATTCATCCTGTGATTTTATTTTGAAGGGACTTTCTTTAATGCACCGGAGTGATTGGAGGACGACCGTGCTCCCCACTCACCCACAGTCGCCCACACACGCCCCGTCATTTGTGTCTTTTTTCGACTATTTTGTTTGTGCATGAAAGCTGTTGAGTTTGTTCGAAATGGCTGAAGATTCTTAATTGTTATGTATGTTGGAATACCTCGTGTCCTTAAGATACACTTTGGGGTTTTTTAGCTAATTGACTGTAAAAGGGAATAGTTCCCTCTCTAGCATCGCTACCAGCTGGCTGTTTTGTTTTTGTGTTAGTATGGAGACAGAATACGTATGCTATCTCAGGTTCAAACTGCACCATATTTTCATTAAATAAATTTGAGAAGTTGAGAATGTTCCTCGATTTGGGTCGCGGCTTGTCATTAAGGGGTGATGGCGGGTCCCGGAGCCAGACCAGTTGCGAACCACTGGTTTAGAATGTAGAAATTTAAAAAAAAAAGACGAAAACAGGATGCAAATGGAGAAATGATAACGATGACTTCAGATACAGTCTTAGTCGCTCCGTACCGTAGTCCTCCAGCAGCTGTTTCTGCAGCTGCGGCAGGGTCAGTCGGTCCTGAGGAGAGCTGCTGCCGTCGTCATCAAAACACACCTGGTTCAACTGCAGGGACGACAACGCGGTACCGACTTTGTTAAACAAGTCGTGGAACTTTTAGTGACGATCAGTATCTGGGCCAGCGTTCTCCTCTGGCCACACATGTTCAAATAAACCCAGAAGAGCTTAATGAGGTGCACCGTACCTTAAGCCAGAGGTAGTCTTCAGTCTTGTCTGCCACCTCTCCGTGGTTATCGCTGATGTCACACTTCCCGATCAGGCAGTAGACGGCTCTCTTGTAAGGGTCGGCGCTGTTCCTCAGCACCCTGCGGTAGTGGAGGCGGAGCTTGTTCTCTAAAGTTGGAGAAAGGCTGAAAGGAGAAGATCCGGAGGGATAAACAATGAAACGGTTTGACCTCCTTTGACCGCCGCTCGAGTCTCATCATTCAAAGACAAGGGGAGCTCACCGTCTGTCGGGGCTGTTCATGTACTCCTGAAACCAGGTCTTAAAGTCTCCCACCTGATGCTGCACTCGGTTCACGACCTGCATGGCTGCGTTCAGGTCCCCACAGCGCAGACAGTAGTAGATCACCGCCCACACTGGGTGGCCCTCTATCTCACCATCCTGAGAGGACACACGTTTAATACAGGGCTGGAAATACTCCACTGACTCCACTGTGTCCCCATGTTGGTTTGCAAACTGGACATTAATTAAGCTCGCTCTCCAAAAACTTATTGTGTAGAGTTGCTGGTTGCAAACACCAGTGAAGATCAGGTCACAATCTGACTGTTAGTCTTGAAAGGTGCTCAAGCACGTTCTGGATATTCAGCCCTTATATTATTATTATTATTCCAAATACATGTGTGTTACCTGCATGCCAGGCAGAGGCCCCGGTAGTTTGATGTTGAGGAAGCTGCGGACTAGTTGGTACGTTCCTGGCACTCCCCCTAGTTGGGCCTGATGGAGGTTCCCAAACACCGTCACCAAGGTGTAGTTTTTATAACTAGGAGAGGAGACACAAACATCATTATCAGCCTAAATTTAAACCACTGTATCACCACTGATAACCTACGGAAAACAGCGACAAAAACAAGTCACCTGTTCTCTAGGAAGCTGAGCGCCTGGCGTACAAAAGCCATCTGCATTTCAACAGAGGTGCGACTTTTCAGAGTGTCTTTGGCCGGAACGAGCAACACATCAGTCATCTGCTTCACCATCAGCCACATGTCCGATACATTCTGCAGGGGAGAGAGGGGCCCGCAGCCGGTTACTTGAGGAACAGGGGGCATGTCCTCTGGCAGAGTAGAAGTAAGCGGTGTCTTTGTAGAGGACAAGATATTTAGGTCTGAAAAACAACACTTTACACAGATTACCTTGTCGTCCAGGCTCTCTGCGACTGAAGCACACAAGTCTCCCAGATTCGGCTGAATGTGACCATTCACAATCTTCTCATTGAAAACGTAAATCTGGAGGAGGAAGACGTGGTTATAATAATGGAGAGGAAAAAAAATTGACAGGTTTTCCGGTTAAACGAGAAAATAAGTCACTTTTTGATGTTTTAAAAAAAAATCGGCGTACAGCTCCATCCGTAACTTCAAAAGGTAAAAGACGATATTAAGGCCATCGAGTGAAATGGTTCACGACAAAAAACAAGAAGAAAAGAATCAAAATGTTCAGAAGGTCATCGAAGAGTATTAAAAAAACGAGACAAATGACGCCGCATGCAATGTGTCGACACATCGTCAGAGGAAAAGAAATAGTGCGTCATGCAGCAGAGACAGAGACAGAAGGTCAGACGGGATGATGAGGGAGGAGGGACGGGGGAGACACACAGACACAGGGTGGGGGAGAGAATTACCCAGAGTCCCCTTCGACCGCCCAATCAATCGATACGTTTGATCTCTGGCTGTGACCCAATTTTAACTGAACTAGCAGAGGGAACCACAAACACGTATTCAATTCAACTAGAGCGGATTAAATATTTAAATAAGTTATTTTATTTATCGTGTGAACATTTCTCTGTTCTACAGCAAAATGATTTAATAGTTGCTCATAATGCTCATATCTATTAATATATAAATGGTGACATGTTTTTTTGTTGATTCACACATTTTGTTGAAACGCATCACATATTTAGTCAAACAATAGCCTTGTAATTGTAAAAAAAAAAAAAAAATTTAAAAGAGTGCCTCTGAGTTTTCTTGGGATGTTTTTCTCTCCATTAGTCTTCATCCAAAGACTATTCCATGTTCAACAAATAGATCCTTCTGACATCAACTCACCTGCCGTCCGTAGGCGACCTCCACGCTGTCCAGAGCGCTTCTTCCTGCAGCTGGTACTTGACTCACAAAGCTCGGCTACAATAAAAAGAGAGGCAGCAGATTGCTTGATAAATACGCTGCACAAGAAGCTTTCTTAATGAACTCTGATAAGAAACTGTTAATCTCATCTAATGTGTCGGCATCTTAACTGACTCTTTCTTCATGCTTAATATTCTGCATTTTAAAGACCGTATTCAGGGCCTGTTGCCCCAGTGCATGATGGGATTGGTTTCAGCGGGATGAAAAGGATGTTACGTTATTCAGAAGCAAGATAAAAATAGTATCTATGAATCTCAGACGACATTGCTCGAGTTTGTTTAGATGAATGGGTAACTTTCTTTTAAGTACACATATTTGGCCCAGGAAGTTAATATAGATGTGAATAAATGAATTTCAAACAAAATTACACTGCCGCTCAATGATTGTTGCACAGAATATCTGCACATTAATATACTAACATAGCAATCTTCCACACGGTTCACAACTTAAGTCACTAAAACATGGTCACTTATATTTGCACCATGTTGTAGTTTGATTGTAAAATACAAGAAAGTAATAAATTCAATCTTCAATAAATTCAACTTCAAAAGTAAAATATCTTCTTTTAACTAGGAATCAGCTTAAACAGCGCCCCCATGAGGTAAAGAGAGCACGTCTCAGCAAGCAGAGTTTCTGTCTCTCTCTCTGCGGCGAAGACATTGTCCCAGAGTCTCAGTCTCCCGTACCTCCACATCTTGACTGAAGTCCAGCGCGTCCTCTCCTGCTCCCAGTAGCGTGTGCAGCACTCTCTGCTTCACCTGCTCCCACTGCACCAGCATGGACTCCCGGTGGTACTCCTCAGCCAACAGGAACGTCTGCAACGGGAGCACGGCAGTAAATTAACTCTTTTGTGCAGTAAATTAACGGTTTCGCACAGTAAAGCCAACGTAATGCCGTCACTTGCAGGCTAGGAGCTATTATAGCATGATACCAATTTTCCATGTGCTTAATGTCCCTTTTAACCTTTATTAGTATTGATTAGAACTATTATTGATCACACATCAGCAAACTATGTTAAAATAAATTTGCTTTCTTTTCTCAAATAAATAGTTTCCCCTCCTTGTCCTTTTCTTTTTAGATAACTGCTCTGCTCGACATACATGTGGATGATTAGGGTCTAAACTAGACATTACACACCTCAGCAGGCCCATCTCTGCTGGTTTAAAAACAAGATTTTAATCTCAGAGACATTTACCGTATTAAATACAGTGTGTATATGGCACACACACACACACCTGATTCAGCAACTGACCCGTCGCGATCCTCCTTTAGGACACGGTGTCGTCTATTTTAACTCTCCGCAGAGACTCAAGACGAGAAAATGGGAACGTGAGATAATTGAATCTTTCCAACCTCCAGCCAGGGAGACACATGTAGACCAGAGCAGCGTCTCCTTGGTTCACTTGTTCACTGCCTGAAGGGCGAAGTGTTTAAGTTGCCTCACTAAAGTCTGTCAAAAACTATGATGGAATCCACATATTTCAGAGCAGAAAGGAAAAGATACATTTGAGGTAATTAAAACGAGATTATACAAATAGTTTGTGGTCCACAGAACTAAACTACGTTTTAATTGTTAAACGGCCCACTCAGTAAATATCTCTTTTTACCAGCTGCCTTATAATCACATTTGAGCCATTCTCATAAAATATGCTTCAAGTAAGTTGAGTTTTTTTGTATTCGTCAAACATTTATGCCCGTTTAAATGAGATCACATTCACGTCAAGCTTCAGAGACACTTTGACTAAGCACGTCATTCAGCCAGCCAACATTTAATGTGAAACGCTACAGAAGTCGAGATGTAAATCTGCAAGAACAGCCGCTTTCTTCTTATATATAATAAGTGCATTCGAGTTTCGCTTGCCTCCTTTTCCCGTCTCTCAGGAAGAGGAGCGATAAGGGGAGCAGCAGCTAATTAAAAGGGAGGCCAATTAGCTGTGCACGTCAGGGAAGACATTTCAAACCATTCCCCCAAGGTCCACACCAGAAGGACTTCTAGACAAGGGGTTTTAACCGTCTTTATATTGTGCTGTTCACACACACAGCTGACAATTCATCCCATTGTGTTAAAACTAAATAGGAGGCAAAAACAGAACCACTGCTGTTTGTGATTGCGGAGTCTAATTATGGCATTGTATCCTTCCAGATTTATACAATTTGACCTGTGAAGAAAGACAAAAGGGCTCTGCTGCTCCGCGCTGTAGGATTCAGACCGTCGACACAGAGCAGATACTGACCCTGCGGCGAGACTCCTCGATGGCCGACAGCAAGGCGTTGTCCCGCTCGTTCTTCAGGAAGCCCTGTGGACAAAGCGGAGACGGGAGGGACAGAATGCAGGAGAATATTAGCTGCAAAATTAGGGACAAAATGAGGCGGAGATCAACTGTGCAGAGTTCTGGTTGGACGGATTAAGCTGCACCGTTATTTTCCGAAGCTGCTTCTTGAGTCGTTTTTTTTTCCACGACGTTCCTCGACATGCACAGTCAGGATTAAGGAACACACACACACACACACACACACACACACACACACACACACACACACACACACACACACACACACACACACACACACACACACACACACACACACACACACACACACACACACACACACACACTTTTGCTTTCAGACAGCAGTCGTCCTCCATTTTGAAGTTATCTCAAGATGGCTGCCATTGAACCCACATGAACCGCTTTCCTCTGGCCCATCCTACGAAGTTTGTATTGATTTACACCAGACACACTGAAACGACTTCTTATACACATGATCTGAGGCTGTTTGGCGAGTAAGTGGTACTCCCGTAACATCTGGAGTGGTCAGAAGGGAACACGTCACCGACATCTTGCGAAAGCACCAAAATGTCGTCTATGCTGCAAGTCATCTTGTTTCATGGCGAACCCTGAAGTGGGTCACAGGCAGCGTTGCACTGTTCAAAAACAACAACACGGGTCGATTTAGAAGTGTTTTTCCTGTGCGGAGCGTTTTAAACGCAGGAAGGACGGCGGCTTCGTAGCTGCGGATGAGTCAGAAAGCTACGGGAGGAAAACAAAAAGGAGCGGGGCGTCATCGCTCTATTCAGAGGTATCGACAAAAAAAAAAAACGCCTTTCCTGTCACCGAGCTGAGGGCACGGGAACGCGTTTGCTTCTTTATTTATTGCTTCATCTGGTTTGATAGCAGAAGAACACAGAGGAGCTCAAACATTCAGTAAGTTTTACTTCTTCAGAAGAGCAAAAATTCACAAGACGTGCTGCTGTTGAGTCACCAGCGATCACACAAAAATCTAACAAAATAATAACACCAAGAAATAGCACAACCTTCTTTTACTTCAGCGGTTTGAAATAGTTAGACAGTGAATTTAACAAGTACACTTTTATGTTTCACTTCTTCTAAAAGTACTTTTAAAAGAAAAGAAGAAGAATCAATTGCTGCTGTTGAACAATACTGAGCGTGTAGATAAATATGCATTTCTTTAATATGCAAGAAAGTCACACAATTATTTCTCATAATTTACATAAAGATCCTCTTCAGTTCGTAGAAAACATCGTTATCTCACTAAGATTCCGACATTTTATTTCACTTCTGACATTGTTGCACCGTATTATTTTAGCGTCCTAAGGACGCTGGAAGCTTTCAGCTCGCGCCTGGTGATCGTTCTTTCTCTCGTCACTCAGCGTATATTTTTATTTCCTTCCTTCAACAGCCTGTCGTTGCGTTCCCCTCTCCTGCTCTTCTTCTGGAAACAATGTCGATACCAAAGCAACCGATAATGACTTCGTTGAAAGCTGGTCGATGCCAGATACACGAGGCTGGAAGACCTTGAGCTCCATCTTGTCGGGTGCCGGTGGGCAGCAGTTCACTAGACTCCAAACGGACCGGTAATGCGTATTTAAAATGAAGGGAAAAGCACTCCGGTCACAGAGAAGCTCTAACAGAGAAAGATAGATCGCTTTATTGAACTGGGATCGGTTCTACTGGTTTCCTGACGCAATATTAAATCTGCAGAAATCAGAGGTGACTTCAAATTTGTGAGGGCGATTTCACCTTTAAAGTTGGCATCATTCATTATTTAAATAGGTGAAACTGAAAAGGTTCAAAGGCTTCGAACAATTATAGTCTATTTGAATCAATTAAGTTTCTCTCTCATCAACACTTTCTTTCCCCGGGAGACAGGTCTATTTCTGACCACTGCAACGAGAGAGCTCAGGTCAACGCTCACTGGGGAGCTGCACTGGGAAGAGAAGAAGAAGAATAGAGGCTTGTGGGATACGTGTCCTACAGGAGCACATTGGACGGCATTAGTCTTTGGTGACGACTGACTGACACAGTTCTGCTTCATCGTTGTTATTTAGTCGACAGATTCTAGCTGCACTGCAAACAGCGTTCATGCTGCAACATTTTTTGTCCTAAATGTGAATTAATAACTAATAATAAACAGCTGTGGCAGATGTCAAAAAAGTAAAGGATCTTCTCTTTTCACAAGAAAGTCCTTTTTGCCACGAAATATTTCTAACAATAACGGGAGAACTCTTTACGACAAGACGTTACTAAACAAATAAATTGACTTTTTTTCCCCCCCTTACTGTCACAAACCTGGATGAATCGTGTCAACTTTACTAAATTAAGAGAGGATCCATCAGAAAAGGCACAACATCGTCGTCGTTAAACGTCAAAACTGCTGCCTTTAGATCTTGATTTACATGCAACGGTTGAAAGAAATTGGCACTTTATTTATTCTCACACACGGTACCCAGAATTTCCCTGACTCCGATTTGATGGATGATTGGTTCTGGTTTCAGTTAACACCAATTTAAAAATAACATTACATTCCAGCATGTGGCACAACGGCACGCGTATCAGTTTCAAGCATCAATTCAGTGCGATAGGTGTACCTGAAGATGGATTTTCCCGTTGCCCCACCCCTGCATCGTGATCTGCAGCCCACTGTGAACGCCCACAGCCTGCCGGCCAGACGGCCCACGTCTCACAGCCACAAAAGAAATACAATATTGAGTGATAAATCAGGACAACATTTGTGTTAAATAACCAGGGGGGAAGAAGGTGGAATCGAGGACTAGTCTGCCTTTCATTTGAAAACATAAAATATGGAAATTAAACCATTTTTTAAAAGGATCTCTAATGAACATCCATGTCATTCCTGTAAAGTAGCTAATTCATGTGAGAGCGCGTCTTCAAATATGCACCTTCACATGCATGGGTGGATGTGCGCATTTTCCCTGCCGGCACTCACAGGCCTTCAGCCCGGTCAAGATAGTCTCTCACCACATGAAGAGAAACCAGCTACTACGATTTTTTCCACCGTTCTTGATCTATGAAATATGATTGGTCGCTAAATGGTCTCGAGGAATCAAAAGGCTACATGAGGACACAGCCAAAGAGCAGTTAAAGGGCAAATGGAGCCAGCGAGCCGTATTCTCTGTGCCAGTCATGGTGAGCGTACGAGACGGAGGCTTTCTCTCATTTGCAATGACACAACGATAGTGTGTGTGTGTGTGTGTGTGTGTTTGAGTGTTACGGTGTCTGAGTGACTGAGAAAACCACACCCTTCACTTTATGTGCAACATAAAACCTACACACGAAGTACTACGGCGCATACACACACGTGTGCGTCTATATACTGAAACAATCGTTGCCGTGTCCGTGCCTGACAGCGTAGCAGCAGAACCAGGGAAGAGACGGACAGATGTGCATGTACTTTGCCTGTGACAGGCAAAGCACATGCCTGTGTGTGAGTGGGTGCGCATGCATGTATGTATATGTGGATGGGCAATACTCACTCATGCTGAGCTCCTGTCAGCCTGGCGGCAAATGAGAAGACAGGATGAGGTGAGTCAAAAAAAAGAAAAGGTAGTTTTTTTTTGTTTCTCTGTCTGTGCCAAGGTATCTGCTCTTTGACAACATGGGAGACATCCGCTTGCCCCCCCCCCCCCCCTCCTCTGTCTCTCCATCCCTCCCTGTTGCTGCGCCAGGGCAGCGGCGGACGCCATGGTGGGGCGTGTTCTCTGCGCCCCCGTCGAGCCGGCATGTTGTAGCCTCCCCCGTTTAAGAGCAGGGCTGCTGACTCCGGAGCACCGAGCGAAAGTGCCACATTGAGACTCACCGGAGGTGGTTTTATTGTCGGAGGGGCGTACCAACTGAGCACTCAGACGCGGGGGGGGGACACCGAAGAAGAAACTATGGATTCATATAGAATATCACTCCTACCATCAGCTGGGACCCCCCCCCCCCTCCCACACCACTCTTCTCCATCCCTCCTCCACTTCATCCCAGCATCTCACAGCCTTCCGCGTCCCATTTTCCTCCCTCAATCCCTCTAATTTTCTTGTTTTATCCATCTATGCATCCGTTGTTTCTTCCCTCCCTTGCTCAGCTCAATGCAATTATAGTAATGGACCCCCTCCCAAACCCGCTTGGTTGATGGCTTCCGACATCCTGTCTGTGGAATGAGGCTAATCGTGCTTTTAAGGGTCATGTTTTGTTAATGAAGGCTTTGGGAGGCACATTTGGGGAAGTGGATGGTGGGGCCATTCCCATATGTGGGCCCACTATTACAGCACACAGAAAGCACGCATGGTTTATATTCACGGCTCTCTACTTGCAGACTTCTGCACATGACACATACTCCTTAGCCCACGTCATACAGCGCACACATGCAGCCCGACGCACGCACGCACGCACACGCGCACACACACACAGTGAAGCTATGTCAGCGTTGTTCGTCTATCCCAGCAGATGCTCTGGGCTTAGCCAACTGCACCCGCTGAATGCATGCCATCACTGCTGAGGGGTGTGTGTGGGTGTGTGTGTGCGCGCATAGCATTGGGAGGGCAGGAGAAAAGAAAGACAAAAGGATGTTAATGGAAAGGGGAAGACGGAGGACGGAAGGAAAAGCAAAAGAGAAAAGCAGAGTGATGTGCACCGGCTGATAGAGAGAGAGAGAGCGAGAGCTGGCAGAGAAAGATGGAAACAGTGAAAAGTGAGACGAGGACACGGAGACAGAAAAAAAAAATGCAGCCGGCCGCCATTTCTCTACCAGCTCTGCTGAGCCTTCCACTTCGACGGTTTATGTGTTTTTCATTTGACCCCTGGTTACCTCCTCTTTTCCCTCGGTTTCAGCCTCTTCATATGTTAGTCATCCTGCTTTGTTTAACATTGTACACAATATTTAATGACGCATAAAACAAATACCCAAGATTGCCAAATTCCATCTAAGACGACATCGACCATGACGACGACAGACACGGAGAACATACGACGCGAATGCCAAACCTGCTAGAGCATCAAACAAGGTTTCAGGAAGGATATAAACCGTTTACTAGGTGGTGCAGACAACCGCTGCTGGAACCTAGTGTGCATCCATCTAACTCCATGTTTACACATGCATGGCCTTGAACCATACATTAACGAACACAAATCTGTGAATATAATCACAGTCAATGCAAATGATCCCAAAGTCCAATAGCACTGTTGGACTGACAGGTTACACCGGAGACGTGTGTCTTTTTCTCTATGTTTTCTTGTCAAAATCATAAATGACCCACAGTAATGTGCTGCTTGTCCCCGATGGCGCAGTAGGAGATGTAGGTGTGTAATGATCATAGATGTCTGGGAACGTTCGTCCAAATCTTTTTTTTTCTCCCTTTAATCTAGTTACCTCCTTTCACATGGTATTATTTAGAATGAGACAGCATTTGCATTTTATTGGATGGCTAACATTCACTAGAACACAGTCTCTGAAAGTTGTGCCTGTTCCTTTTCAGATTTAGAATCAGAACTTGTTTTGACCAAGGAGTTAAACATCAATCCCGTAGCGAGTTGCCTTGTAATATCTCTGCTCTGTGTAGTTGGCTACTTGACGTGACTAAAACTCTCCTAGCGGGCTGTAAAGTGGAAGTGTGAAGGAGGAATCACAGTGGGCTGCATTGCTGCTCGGTGTCGATAAGAACAACAAATCAACACAAGCTGCTTGTGTTGTGCGACTTAGTGAGATTAGAGTCGCAATTGGTTACAATTTGCCACTAGGCGTGGACTGCTTGCTTATCACCTTACGATCTTAATTAGAAAAACAAATGCCCAAAGTATCAGTAGCCGGCTTATTAAATGTCCACTCACCTCTGTTTTGGTCCTCCAGTCAGATGCTGAGTGACCAGCGAAGTAGAAACCGTTCGTAACAGAACACATTCCAAATATTTCTACTGGAACTTCATTTTGTATATTTTTTATACACTGTCCCGATAAGATGTCCATTGTCTTTTTTTAGGACGTCATTTGTGGTGTTTCAAGTTGTTTTAACATAAAATATTGAAACTACATATCAGTGTACATTAGTCCAGTACAAAGTTTGACATCAGAATACTCTTAAACCACGGTGAAACGTATTGTCAGGGGGAAAAGGTTTATTTCGACACTGAAAGGCTGATGAAAGGTGACGAGGCTTTTCTTTTAAAGCCTCATTATGCATTTAGTCAATGGCCGTGGTTTTAGCAGAACTAGATCTTCTTACGGTGTTCGCTGCAACGATGTTTGTTTCGCAATCAGTCCCATAAAGTATTATTGGCTACATGAAGCCGAAGAGGATGAGTTTCAGATACAATGTAACGATCTAAAAAAATATATATAACTTGCTCGAATGGAGCCATATTTTTTTTTTCCTTCTGTAACACAGCAGAGCAATAGTCTACTGAAAGACACATTACGCATTTCTTCTAAAACGAAACTTGGTAATGTACGGTCCTTGTAAACCAATGAGGCCAAAAGATCAAGAGTAGAGAGTAAATGTCTGTCTGTCTCTGTGTCTGTGTGTGTGTGTGTGTGTGGTGCCAGACGCTAAGTGCTCTTCCAATCAGTCAGTCAAAACCACCCAAGCCAGCGTACATCCGGCTGACCAAGATAAATGTGCAATGAGTAAATTCCCATCTATGTGACACCATTGTGAATATTTTTTACTTTCCAATATCCAACTCTATTTCCCTTTAAACACTTCCACTCCATTTTACTAGAAATGTGAAAAGTCTTTATCAACACGATCAAAGCGTAGCCGTGACAGTCATGTATCGTGTGTCACGTATGGAAAGGAAAAGCCTCTCAGAAATACCTTACATGAAATATATAAAAAAATATAATCAAAAAAAGCCTATAAACCCTGAAGCTTATTTTCAGCCGGGAACAATGTACTCATTGAGGTTTGCAAACTTTCATATCTTATCATCTATAACTAATTGACATTAATACCGTGACTTGAAAACACGTTGTCTTCCCTTTTAATCTTGCGAACGCAATCTCCCCGCAAGCCAATGTTCCAACAATGCAAGCTGAGCCAAAGATGGTTCCTTCCTTATTCTCTGTTGTTGTGATATCTGAACCAAGCATTCTACCAAAAAGCCCTACACCTTGGTGAGTATCTCTTTGACGAAACAAGCTATAGCACAGGTGTTATAAGACCACAAAGCGAGAACCCAGTTGGACTCATGGCCTGTGAGGCTGTTCATACCTGTATGTCAGTGTCTTTTACGGGTTCCAGGGGCTCAAAGGTGGTGGCTGCACTAAGACTTTCCAACCTTTGAGAGATGTGGAAGATGTCTAAACCTCTGGAACCGAGGAGGATTGACCTGAGAGTAGGAAAGAGAGGTGGTGAGAATTCATTAATGTAATGAAAGGATAAAACTGAGCAACAGATTGACTGTAGTTTTGCTTGACAACCACTAGAGGTCACAATAAGCTTTGATAGGATTATAGCAGTACTCCAAATCACAATCAAGAGAGCATTATATCCAATGGTTTAGTATGTCACCGCTTATAAAAATTACAACCCATTATTGGAATAAAAAAGGTGAGTGGTAAAATGAAATGACTTTATTTTACAGAAGCAGATGGATTAGATCACATCCTCTATGTGTTTTGTGAACACTATGAATAGGTGCATTGGACATATTCCTTACGCTTTCACGTCGGCAGCATCTTGCGAGGTGCGGGTCAGGGTGCGGGATCGAAGCCGCTCTCCTGCCTGCTGGATCTCCTGGAGGTTCCTCTCGACATGCGGTAGCTCCGATACTGCTTCTGTCTCAGCAGCTAGCTGCTCTGCCTGCTGCAGAAGCTCCCCGAAACCCTCTGCATCCATTCCTCTAAAGAGAGAAGAGTGTGTGAGTAAAGACAGACATTATAGTAATCAAAATAAATCTGGGAGAAAAACAGTTGGACTCAGCTTTTCTTTCTTGATTAAATTCTGTGCTGCAGCATATTTGATTAGGCATGAACTACTTGACTTTGAGCAACACTTTGAACATTTACAGGAATACTGGAGGAATATTCTTCCTTGTTTATTGTTCTATTCATAAAACAACGTAATGTTCTATTCATAAAACAACAACAAACAAAAATTACCTAAATGAATACTGAATTAACCAAAAACATTTTGTGTGCTAGGACAGATGCAACAACAGACAGACCCCTAAAATTGGAAAACTGAAGACACGGCTTAAGGCAGAAAACCCTTAAACCAAAATAAGGCATAACTAAAGACGGCCTGGCAGAGCATCAGCAAGGAGGCTACAAAGTGTCTGCTGCCGTTTGTTGGTTGCAGATTTCAAGGACTCATTGGCTGAAAAAGTGACGTTACTAACTGTAACTAATCAGCTTCATGTTCAACCTGAAAAGGGTAGCACTTTAACCATGACCACAGCTGGATTTCAGATCCTACGGTGAACAAGGAAATTGTGTAAATTGAGACAAAATAAATATAAACGCAGATGGACACACAGAAATAAAAGGACTGATTCACATTACAACAAGGGTCCCTGATTAAGACACGTTATTTGGTGCTGCTCTATATATCTGGTCCCCATCACTCTTGTGGTCAATTCTGTGCTTCACCACCTGACACACAGAAGTCATGCAAATACATTAATATTTCAGTTTGAATGACGTTTGCTCGACACTCGATTATTTCAATACGAAGGTTTCCTGTAGTAATCTGGTCGATGACTGAACCAGTATGTTACATATACACAAACTTGACCATTGCTGTAAACCATGACATGTGGAACATCTAGAACAGATGTAGAGACACGCCAAAACAAACAGAAGATACTCCGTTTATCCCGGATACAAACCGATACCACAACCCCTTTTGACAGCTGACATAAACAACATCACAACTGCTGCGCGCGCTGCGGTGGTTGTTGAGAAGTTTAGCGTTAGCACAATGCTAACACTTCGGCTAGCACTTCGCTAACACTTCGGTTAGAGAAACTCGCCTTGACAACAGCAGCACAGAGTAGTCACAACTAAGACGACAGCGTCGTGCCCCGACGGTTTGCTACACCAGTTCGCTTTGTGTCAGAACGGATGGCGCTACATAGTTAGCTAGCAAGAGGCTACATGGCTAATGCTCTCTCGCACGCTCACAACTGGTTGGATTTTTAAAATATTTTAATTCGGTCGTACGCCGTTACAGGCTGGCACGCTTCATACCTGCTGTGTGGAACTGACGTAAATACGGTCCTGTCTGTGTCCCTCGAGTGAATGTGTTCACAGTTTACTCAGTTTTGCTCAGAAGTAGTAACGTTAACGTGCAACAAGCATGCAAGTGCATTATTTGCCCCGGCACTTCTGGAGCCGATGCTGATTGGACGACAGTTGGACCGGATGTTGTTCTTCTTCTGCATTTTTCGAGACGTGATAAACCGCGTTGCTCTGCCAGCTGGGCGGGAGGACAAACAGTCCGACCACAGACTGCATGCGCACTCAACAGTGAAGTGGTTTAAGACAACTTTCTCCTGAAATTAACATCTTTTATTTGTTTGTTTCCTTTTTAATGTTAATTACAATACTATCTAAACATGTACTTGGCAAAGTTGAGATATTCAAACTGTGTTTTTGCAATACAATCGAACACGTGAACCGTTCAACCATTGTACATGTTCTGTCTTTTTGTGAGAAAAATTAACAACCCTAAAATCGGCACATAGATTCCTCATGGATCCAACCTATCAGAGCTACGGCAAATTATTCAGGTCAACATGGCACCTCTACTTTGAGCTGAACAGAACATGTGAAATAAAAGGTTTGTATAAATGCAGGTTAAAGCACAACACGTTGTATTATAGGAGTTTCATGTAATATAAGTTGGTAAATGAGTAGTCAACACCGGTGTAAAATCATCAAAACAGGTTATTTAATGTTTGGAAACAGGAGACAGAGTTGACACACATACAACTCATGCGCCAAACCTGCTCAAAGGTTTTCATCTTTGGAGCAGGAACTTATACTGCAGGTATGGCATCAAATCATGGGGATGATTACGTACGTACAGAGGACTGATTGTTTACGAGGGTAATGACAGAATGTCCCAGCGCCCCTAATCTCAGCTGACAAGATGTCTGCCAGCTGAGGGTAGCAAAAACCTTGAGTAGTACAGCCTTATTGATATCATGACACACATTATTTGTAGTTTTTCCAACAGTAGTCTTTCTTTGTCTCAGTTGAACTGATCTGCTGGCAAACATATGAAGATTAAGATTCTTGTGTCCTCATCCCAACCCTTGTTTTGTGAGGGCTAAAGATTTACACCAACACAGCTCTGCAAAATGGTGAATTTACTCTTCCATGCAGCCCAAATGTAAAGAATCGTCACTCTTCCTCAAACATGCCCAATGCAGCCTTCCACGTGCTACATCACTCCTGTGAATGAAAGTGATATGTTAATGCTGAACAAGTGATGGGCCTCCACGTGCACAACGGCTTTTTCATAACACTAATTTACTTCAGCCCTTGCTGTGGTCAAATGAGAGCAATCCACCGACTGCAGCATGAATCACAAAGTCCAGATGATTGACGAATGATGCTTCTAGGCTGTTGCTTTGTGAGAACAGCAGTCATGTGGAGCCAAAGCGCCGGTGCTGCACTTCATAGAACAAAGGACATGCAACCGTTTTCTCAGCTAAACACAAGACTCACAGCCTTGCATATATTCACTTGTTTAAACACATCTTTGACCTAAGGTCCTAAAGGCCCTGTACCTTTGAAAGCCCCACACAAGATTAAAACTGGCTTTTTCCATGTTAATGAGTTAGAACCTTTGTACAGGTATTGTTGCATCTACCTTCAAGTTAAGAAAGTGTTCTTTGCCAAGAGAGCCTACATGTTCTTCAGCCTGTGGTTTACGTTCACATAAGTGGACAGCTGCAATATATTAACCTGATAGAGAATGAAGGTTTGCCCTGCTATAAAAATTCCACACACACACTTAAGAATTACAGGTTTTAGACCGTTTTGTTCCCTCTATCCTGAACAAATAGTCCAACCAGCGCTTGTACTTTGTTTCACGATAAGGCGATAAATTCTGCGGACACTGATAAAAAAATAAATAAAAAAAAACCAACAAGTCGTAGTTACTTCCTCAACATGACGTTACACCAAGTGAAGGAATGTCACCTTTGCTATGTATAATCCAGACTGGAGAAATCAACCTCAACTTGATCAGATGACTTTACACGGCATCAGCACATCGGAATTTCCACACTGCTTCTCACAGTGTGACCTTGATCAGATTACTTTGCACTGCAGCAGCACCTCAGTCATACGGGAGGACTCATACCCATGTTCATTTTGTAAGTTTAAAACCCCGACACAAGCTAAACAAATACAGCACATCCATGTTATAAGATATTTATTTCAACATCGAAGAAAAGTACGAAACAGTTATCTGTAGACATTCCCAATTAACAAGTTAATGTTGTTCAAACTGCCGCCATCTCATGTCAGAAGAGGGCTGATGCTGCAGTCTCCTCACTGACAGCAGCTGGTGTCACACGTCTTCCCTTTGCAGACGCAGCCAGAGGCGCATTTTGTGCAGCCAGTCGGGCAGCAGGGGCAGCAGCCTGGAAAAAGTCATGCATTATTCAATCAGGCAAATTTTAGATCAACTGATCTTCAATAACAATCAGATCAAAGCATGAATCAAAAAGTATATATGAAATGTAGCATGTTTAAATAGTGCAGTATGCTAGAAATACAAGGATGGATTAAGTGTTAGTTTTGTAGTGCACAGTCATGGCAATAGTGTCCCAATTGAAAGCCTCCAGCATGCAGACTGTCAGGACATCTGCAGAATGCAGGCTACTAAAAGTAAAAGGCTGTGATTTGGAATAAGCACTTCAGTACAAAAAAAAGGGTTGCAATAGAACATTTAAAAATTCGCTAGAATGTTCAACAGGATAGGATACACAAGTACATAAAGTAAATAGTGAAGTCCAATAATAACCTCCCGCCATGTACTCGATGTAACGAGCTCGCTTGACTCACTTTTCTTGCAGGTGGTGCACGAGCAGTTTGTGCACGAGCAGGATCCTCCGCAGTTGCAGGTTCCACCTGGAAAACAAACAAAATCAATCAATCAATCAAATCAATCAATCAGTCTGCTGGTGGCAAATAGCCACAGCGAACAGTAAGATGAGAAACATTGAGCGGACACTCACTCTTGGAGCAGTCGCACGGGTCCATTCTTCAGGTGCTGTCGCGTGTCTTCGTGTCGCGCTGCTGTGTCGGTGGATCAGACGAGTCTGCGTTGTGGGATCGAGAGGACGGGCGGCGGTTTTATAGCGTCCCGAGACAACAGAACCGGGTGCAGACCGAGCGCGTCACGCAGCGCGCGTGCACGCAGTAGATGATTACAAAGCGGGTTGTGCACACGACTCTATAGCACTGAGGGGCGCGTGAGGAGCCGACGATGTGTCGTGTTGTCTGAACATTACGTAATCGCCCCGCAGATGTGCGGTAGCAAATAGCGGGATTATTCCTTCTCTTAATGAGAAAATAAACTACTTTGATTTCTAAACTATGGTCACCTGTCAACCCGATCGCTTAAATGATATCCAGGTGATCCATGCCGCGGACTGCAGGGATCATTTTGGAAGCAATCAGTCTGATTGCACCTTTAGGGCCCTCTGATCAGCTGCCCGCCTCCATGAGTCAACATTCATGAGGTGCTTTGCTTTGGTCATTTATGGTTTGATGTGGGCTTGTAGAAGAAAACAGTTTACTTTTATAGAACGAAACGTTTACGGGATGATTTGGTTGTTGTAGAAGGACGCTGATCATCCAATGGCCCCATGACGTAATGTATACACGTCATACATATAAAACAAAGCATTCGTGTTTTAAGATCAAATGGGGAAACATGAAATGTACTTTAAGAAAAATTACATTATTAAAAGTACATTTAATCCAGTATATCGCCAGAAAAATATGCATTTAGCAGGATTATTTCTGAAAGTATAGATCTTTTAAAAAAAATAATTGATGCTAAACCTTTAAGAAGCCTCACAATTTCCTAATAGCCCACATGTTGCTGCTGTTTTACTGTTGATGTGAAAACATTAAGGATTTCTCTTTGCTATTTGGGCATTACCCAAAAACCATGATGATGTTCATCAGGAAACTGAAGGTGAATGAAATTCAGAGGATAAGCATTTCAATAGTTACACCTGTGCTTTCTGAAAAGCCCAAATGTCTCCTGTGACTAAAGGCTGTGATGCAAGTTTCTAATCCAGTCAACAAGGCTGCAACACATTCTGTGTTTTAAATAGTGTAATTATAGAATTGTTTTTCTTCTGTGCCAGAAATACATCTGTCCTCAGACAAGTCTGCAGATGTGTCACAATAACATTCTCCTCCCAATGATTCAAAATGCAGAGAGGATTTGGCCACTTCTTGAATTACTCAAAGAATTTTTCTTAAGTGTTTTTGTCCTTAATGTATTTATCATTCAGTGACTTATATTAAAGACATTCTAAACACTGCATATTTAATGTTTTTACAGATCAGCCACCTTGAACATAGAATGTCTTAACACCTGAACCTTTACCTGTTCCTCCAAACACCATAGTAAATATTACACACGGGACCAATGCTTGAACAATTCCAAACGGTTTAATCTGGTCTTTTAATTTTTGTACAAAATAACATTTGAAACCACATCAACAGTCCCAGATTAAAAATGTCCAAATATTGTCCTGTCCATGAACTGCAGTTCTGGCTGACAAACTCCCAGCCGGCACTTAACAGATCATATCCACTGTGGACGCCGGTCTCCAGAGGACAACTCTGTGTCCCCCCCCCCCCTCCTCCTCCTCCTCCTCCTCTGCTGAGCCTCCTCTACTTGAACTGATTATCTATCAGGGTGCCCTTCATCTTCGCCTTCTTGGCCTCCAGCTCGGCCAGCTCCTGCAGCCTCCTCTTGCTCATGCCCTTCCTCTCCAGCTGCTTCTCGATCACCTTGGCGTTTTGGGCGTACGAGTCCGCCACCTCCCTGGCCTCGATCTCCTCCTCCTCCTCGTCGATGGTGGACACAGTGACGGAGCTGAACTTGCCCATGTCCTTGGTCCGCTTGGTCATCATCACCCGCACTTTCTTGGGGGCCTCCGGCTGCTTCTGGCTGTACACGCTGGTGTTGCCGAAGCCCTGCCCGAACTTGACCACGGCCGCGTCCACGATGAAAGTGGCCGGGCTGTTCTTCGCCTGGTGCTGGTAGAAGAGCAGCAGGCCGCACTTGCCGCACTTCTTGCGGTACTGCCTCTCGATGCCCTCGGCCCGCTTGAGGTACGCGCTTTCGTCCTGCTCCACGTTGCAGAACTTGTGGGCGTGTTTGCCCGCGTCGATCACCCTGGCTCGGTCCCGGGGCCTCATGGGCAGCTTCTCCAGCTGGCAGTCCAGCACCAGCACCATCTGCCCGCACAGGCAGTAGTAGACGTGGAGGGGCTTTTCTCCGTCGTCGTACTCCTCTCGGTCTCTGGTGTCCGAGCAGACGACACTTCTGGACACGACTTTCGGCATGTTCGCTCAATTGAGTGGGGTTTTCCCGTCGCTAGTGTTGAGAAGAAACTCCGGTTGTAATGTTTTCTTCGTCGAAATTGCGGCAGGACTTCCGGTGTCCGTCCCCGTTACTGTTCCGTCCGGAAACAACAAAAAAGCTTATCGTTCCGCGGTGTCGCTACTGATTTCCTCCCGTTACTTGATAGCGGTTTAGTCCAATATATAAATGCAGTGTTATATTTCTGACCTACACGATGATACATACGTGTAAGTTATGAATTGAATTTATGCAAGCGTGAAAAGGCCTCCGAAGGAGTTGACTTCACTTGGGTTTTAAGATTAAATTTAAAATGACCCGAGTCTTATGCAAAATATGCCCTTTGACTTGGGATACTATAGGTTAAAATGTCTAGTAAAACAGCTTTACAGGCAAACCTCCGTGCACCAATGTGTAAGATTTGACAAAGTTGATACAAATTTACAGCACCATTTCGCCACAGTGAGGACCTTAGTTTAACAAAGCCTCATCCTTCCAACCGAAAGGAATTTGCCCTCGTTTAATGAAAAAAAAAAAACAGAATCTTGGTTTACTGCTTCTCACAGTGTGACCTTGATCAGATCCTTGCACTGCAGCAGCACCTCAGTCATACGGGAGGACTCATACCCATGTTCATTTTGTAAGTTTAAAACCCCGACACAAGCTAAACAAATACAGCACATCCACGTTAGGAAGAGATATTTAGTTCAACATTGAAGACGAGTACGAAACAGTTATCTGTAGACATTCACAATTAACAAGTTAATGTTGTTCAAACTGCCGCCATCTCATGTCAGAAGAGGGCTGATGCTGCAGGCTCCTCACTGACAGCAGCTGGTGTCGCACGTCTTCCCTTTGCAGACGCAGCCAGAGGCGCATTTTGTGCAGCCAGTCGGGCAGCAGGGGCAGCAGCCTGGAACAAGTCACGCATTATTCAATCAGGCAATTCATCGATCAACATGAGTTCCAGGGAAATTACACAATTACACACGGAATTGGGTTGTTTTAGGGGAGGGACGTTAAAACACACTTCATACAGTCACCCTGGATGGGAGTTAGATCCCAATAATGTACTCGAAGTAACGAGCTCGCTTGACTCACTTTTCTTGCAGGTGGTGCAGGAGCAGTTTGTGCACGAGCAGGATCCTCCGCAGTTGCAGGTTCCACCTGGAAAACAAACAAAATCAATCAATCAATCAAATCAATCAATCAGTCTGCTGATGGAAAATAGTCGAACAGTAAGATGAGAAACATTGAGCGGACACTCACTCTTGGAGCAGTCGCACGGGTCCATTCTTCAGGTGCTGTCGCGTGTCTTCGTGTCGCGCTGCTGTGTCGGTGGATCAGACGAGTCTGTGTTGTGGATCGAGAGGACGGGCGGCGCTTTTATAGCGTCCCGAGACAACAGAACCGGGTGCAGACCGAGCGCGTCACGCAGCGCGCGCGTGCACGTAGTAAATAATTACAAAGAGGGTTGTGCACACGACTCTTCACCACCGGGGGCGCGTGAGGAGACGACCATGTGTTGTATTGTCTGAACATTACGCAATAGTACACAAACGTAAACAAGTATTTATTCTTTTGCATTTTTCTTCTGTTAGCCTTCACAGGGGCATACAATACGTGTGTCTCCCACTAGTGTAGTTGTGTTGGTCGGTGTGTGTGTGGTCTACAGGCTTGTTGATCAACGTAAGGACGTTGCGTTACGCGGAGTCATCCTCCAAGTTTGCGCACGGATTTTCAAAATGAAATGCCAAGTTGCGTGTTCGGAATGGAAGAAGAGAAGAGAATTTGCGTCCCGGGTGCAATCAAGACTTCCGATACAGACCATGCGTGTGCACTTCCGGAAAAAAATGCGGATAAATATATTTAAAATGAGCTCATCTAATATGGATTTACTCATTAAATGAAAACTGATAAAGGGAATGCAATTAGACGCGATTCAAGTCGGTTAGTCTTTTTAAAAGTATTGTTATTAGGTACAATCCTTTTCAAACTACTTGTACCAATCGATAAGGAGTTACACAGTGGCTTATTTAAGGGAATTTAGTGCCTCTTATGATTGCACATACAACACCAGTTCCTACTTGAAATGAGTAATCTATTGAACATAGATGTTATTCGCGATATTGGAAATTGTCATTGTCATTGTGACGTTCAACAATCCAACGTGAACACATCAGTTTCATTCAGTCCTATCGACCCCGTGGAGTCGGAGGGATCCGCAATGTGTCTCAGTCGGTCTGTGCACACGGTCTGTTCCCCTTAGCCGCTCTGCACCCGGCAATTCCACCCATTGTCGCTGAGCAAACCAGTGTAAATAACCAGTTGCCGAAATGCTGCGTTTAAGTACATCGTTCTGTGGGAAATATGCCACTCACAAGATTTTAGTGTTAGAGCGCATCAAATTATAGGCACTGCAAAAAGATCAATGGGGTTTGTATCAATAACCACCACAACCATTTCGTAATCAACTCTTTGCATTTGATTTGCTCGCAGACATTGACGCAGGTGTGACTAGTTACCTTCAATGCTTTCGGGAATGTAGGAGCTCGCAGTGGGAGCCTGAAGGCAACGTTGTCCCTTGTTTTGCACTCGCCACTTTCCGCCTGTTGTGATTTTCCACCGAACGCGTGAGCAATGAGATGACAATGCGGGATGAAGCAAGTGATGTGAATCACAGATTTAGAGCTTAGTGCAACGTTCATGCCAATGAATAAAAAATAACCACAACACACAAATTATAGTCTACATGGCCTTATGAGAAACGTGCTTCTTTGGAAGAATAGATAAATGTTTAAAAACATTATGTAAATATAACACAAACATTAAAAAATGTACTTTTGGGTTTTAATCATGTTCTCAACTTGAGAGAATTCATCTATTTTCAAAGGAAATATAAAATATGTCATGTGGTGATTTTGTAACTTCCGGGGTGCATAAGGAGAAAACTATACTTAAACATACAACAACATAATGTGATTCCGTCATTTCGTTGGAACTGGCATAATTACAGATGTCACAGTGACTTGCCTGGATTGATGAGAACAAACTATTTAAACAGGATGTTGGACTAAGTGATTAGTGAAGTACAATAAATGCAAAACAAAAACGCCCATGAAGCTCAGGGAGCCCTGATCCTTCATTCAGTCTGTTAAGACTCACTTAGTAATAACGTGAACACAAAGGTATATTATGTATCATTCAAACCTTTTTCATGAATCCTATGTTGGTTGGAATGTGCACACTTTACAGAGAGGTGCTGTTTGTATCAGAGAGCTCTAGAGGGAGACATATACACTCAAAGAAATATTCAGTCCTAACATTTAAGGTTCATGTATTTTATTTGCCTATAACATTTCCGTCTATTTGGATTATTTGTTGAAACTTTTACAGCAATACAGAATCTCACAACTACATTACGACACTATATATAGTAGTTTTCAAGGTGTTCTGCATTACTTCCCTGTGATCCGTGACTACTAATTACAGAACATCCGTCTCCAAACCCAATGGCCCTCAGCTTATCTTACCTCATGAAGTTAGAGTTGGGCTCTGGCAGGAAATGTTTTGTTATGAACAATTATTAAAGCTAAATCATTTAAATGAACAAAATGATAAATGTCAATAAGATGGGGAGAGCGCTAACAGATTGACGGTTGAAGTATTGATCACCAAAATGACGGAAGATCTGTGTACCCAAACAAAAAGGCGGCTATAGTATCCATCACTAAAATGGTGGGAGAGAGAGAGAACACTAATAAACTGGCAACTGCCACGTGATAGTTCTTTCTCCCCTGTCGGCAAGCAGGCAGGGGTGGAGGTTTGATCCCGACCAACTTGGGTGGTGCAGAAGGTCAGCGATTGAATCCCTGCAAACAGGAAGGTATAGCCAAAACCAGCGACTTTAACTTTAACAGTCGTGGGGAGCACGGTCGTCCTCCAATCAGAGGGTTGTGGGTTCGATCCCAGTCCCATGTGTCCTTGGGCAAGACACTTAACCCAACATTGCTCCTGTAGCTGCGACTAAAGCGTATGAATGTTAGTTACTGATGGGCAGGTGTCACTGTGTATGGTTCTCCTGTCATCAGTGTGTGAATGGGTGAATGATGTCGTGTAGTGTAAAAGCGCTGTGAGTGGTCGGAAGACTAGAAAAGCGCTATACAAGTACAGTCCATTTACCATTTAACTCCAAGGTCAGGGAGTTAAGGAATGATAAAACAGCATAGCGATTGATAATCATAGTAACCTCTAATTACAGTAACTGTTACACTATGAATGCGTCCTGCTGCATAGGGTTGAGGTCCTCTGGATCTCGTCAACGTAAGTCATGCAAACCGTTGTACGCTTCCCCTCCAGCTGGGAGCGCCAAGCCTCTGTGACACGGCAGCCATCTCTGGTGTCGACCTCGAAGATGCAGTGAGACAGCTGCCTCATAGAACACAGGTTTTATTTGTGAGACAGTGAAGAATGAAATTCCCTCATTAGGTGTTTGAGCCATTTTTTTTTCAGGTGCACAATACAAATTAAAAAAAGGTGCATCGTCTGTGTCTATTAATTTACAATTATTATTTAGTTACTTATTCTTAAATATTATTGTTTAATTCTTAAACGTAATGAAATATTAAGATAGTTTTTCTGTTTTTGTAGTACATTTAGTCTAATCATTTTTTTGTTATTAAGTACACAAGTTTAATTGGATGACTAATTTTTTGGGTGATACTGTGGACAGCTGGAGGTTATTTAATAACCAGGTACTATATCCAGGTATAGGACAGCAGGTAGAGCAGTGTGAACAGCGTAGGAAAGGCAGCCCTGGTTACATTTTTCATGTGTTTGTTGACTTGTTTTTGTAAGAAATGCGAAACAAAATGAAAAGCATGCTTGGACAATCCGCTCTCTCTCTTTCTCTCAGTAAAATAAACTAAACGGTGGTGCATCAGTGGCCCTTTAACACAGTAGATTATTGGTCACAAGGACAAATGGCCACTACAGTCTGCATTTAATTTGTCCGCAGAATTCTTTCGGCCAAGCCATATGGATGGAATCAGTCAGAGTGAGCATATACATTACAACCTTTAAATGCACTGTAATATTTAGAAGTTATTGAATGGGAAAGTGAAGGACGTCACACAGCAATACCACATAGAGATACCTGTGTGGTTGCGTGTTAAGTAAAATAAGTGTCAACAAACTAAAAAAGTAACATTGTCAACAGAAAGCGTATAGAGGAAAGAGGAGCTCCTTGCATGAGATCATTCACCTTCTTGTTCAGATTCTCTGGTGCAACCGTCGAGATCACATCTTCCACCTGTATTTTTTGCTCAATGACAGTGTGTACCTCAGTGGGTCACAGGTTGGAAGTGACAAGCTACAAGACAGGTAAATAAATCTTCTTTTCTTGATCAAACTGACACACGTACGGTTGCTGTGTGAATGCATGTGGGACTTTTATGCAGAGTGTGAGTGTGTACTTGTTTAAAGGGCAGAGTTCAGGTGCCGGTTCAGGAAAAATGTAATACCTAAACCCGCACGGGCTGGCGGCATGCACTGCAAAGATGACTCACATAAAGCATTAAGGCAAATGCTGGGTTGTTTGACATTTAGGTGAATTTCCTGTAATACCGTTTCTGATGACACGGACGTGAACATAAATGCACCCGATGAAGCACATTAGTTGGTTTTACTGGTTTCATTCGAATAACTGCACACAGCATTAGTTGCAATCACACTGACTAGTGAAAATAAACAAATTGAAAGCAACCTTTTACAAGCAACCTTAGAAAGATCATCTAAAGTCAAAGAGCAGATCTGAGTGGACGACCGAGTCCTGTTGCACTGAGCTCCTCGTTATTCACTGAGCACGTCGGGATCCTGTTTCACCGGGACCGGCGCTTATTTCTGTGTCCCTCGAAATCTCTTCCAGATTCTAGGAAAAAAATAGAATCTTCCTGGAATGCAGGGTGAGTGCACATCAGCAGTGTGTAACTCATTCTCCAGTAAACAATTTGCTACATTAAATCACATGCTTTCTGTGGCAAATCAAATGCTGCTGCACACAAGTGTGTGTGTGTGTGTATGTGTGTGTGTGTGTGTGTGAGGAGGATCCCATTGCAGGAAGGCTCACACACTCCTGACGTCCTAAAGCAGGTCAGTTCAGCAGCAGTAACCAATTTGCCAACGTGCTCTTCTGAAAGTCCTGACCAAATAATCCTTGAGGCTCTTGAGTGGCCATAGAGATTAACGTCAGAGCATTTTTACTTTATTAAAGCTGCCGATAAGGTGAAAATGCTTTTGGAGAGTGTGATATACTTTGTTTTGAGTGAAGCTGACCAGCATTCATTGATATGCTGCCGTACTCGTTGCCAATTCGTTCCGGTAACATATGTATGCATGTAAATTGTGATCATTTCTGATCGGGTTGACCAAAACTATATCATCTTGTATTCAAATTAAACATATGAGGTGAAGGGTCAAACATAGTTAATAGGATTGGATACAACACATTAAATACTTTAACAAAAGTTAAAGTGGAGACATAAGAACCACATCATTTGGGAGTCTACTTTGGAGAGAGATGGATGTACGTGGCTAAACTATTAACTCATTTTTTTACAGCTTCACTCAGTAATTTGCATCATATGATCATTCAACATCTGAGATGTGGGGAAATCCCTGTTGAGTGACCTGATTGGGTCTTAGTAGAGTTTGTCGATCCGTTTAAACAGTCTCATCACAAGCTGCAGGTCAGGACTTTGATCCAATGAGAAGCAGCCAAGGTGAAGAGGTGCTGTTGTTGGAAGCCGTATCCATTAGATAGAGGTCTTAAAGAAGGGGACACTGAGGATCTGAGTGGATGTGGCTTGCGTTGGGACTGTGGCCTTCTCTACAAGTATGATGGGTTTATTTTTGTTGTCTTGAAACTCATCTTTTTGTTGCGTCAACCCCGGCCTCCCGTAGCTGCCCGTCACGTTGTCCACATCTACCTGGTAGCAGGGGATCGTTATGGCTGACCGGGAACTCTCCGACCCGATGCTCCCAGACGGCCTTCTTTCATCAGTTGTTTGGTTTTCCTGGTCTAACTTTACGTTTTACCCCGATACCTGATATCATTCAGGTCACTTTACATTTTTTGGTTCAATTCTGTTCAGCTTTGCCTTGTTCCTAAAACTTTCATGGTACGTCTCTTTCATAAGGGTCTGTTTTAGGCCGTCATGGTGGTTGAGAGCACGATCGATTATACCACACATTCGCTCTCTTCGCAGACCGTGCCATGGATCATGTGCTGGACATTGCTGACAGTTATATCTTCACTCCGTACGTTTATCCGGCCTCATGGCCTGAGCACGGGGCTCTGCGTCAGATCCTCAGCCTGTGGCTGCTGACCAACCTGGGAGCAGTGCTGATCTACCTGGGCTTGGGAGCTCTTAGCTTCTGCTATGTGTTTGACCATAAGCTCATGAAGCATCCACAGTTCATCAAGGTAGGTCGTTCTGTGGCCGGACTGGTTCAAGGGTTGGGGAATGGATTGGGCTTTGTTAACTATTGGTGACTTTGGCTGTTTACTATTATTTAAGAAAATATCAGACTTTTCCAAACTTTCCCCTGATCCAAACTTTGTGCGTCATGTATCGACAGAACCAGGTAAGGAAAGAGATCAAACTCTCAACGACCTCCATCTTCTGGATGAGCTTTCCCACCGTGGCCCTTTTCTTCCTCGAGATCCACGGACACAGCAAACTTTATGACAACATCAGTGAATCTTCTCTGGGTGAGACAACAGTAATACACAGTAAGACACATTGAAACACCGTTCAACAATTTACTGACTAAAGGTCAGTCGATATTGCCAATCAAGTATTTTTGGAACAGGTTTTAAAACAGTTTTCTTTCTGTTTCAGGCTGGTCTGGGTTGTTTCTGAGCATTGCTGGTTTCTTGTTCTTTACCGACATGTGTATCTACTGGATTCACCGCTCCATGCACCATAGGGACATCTACAAGGTGAGCTCCGTCATAATCATGGCCGTATCAATGCTGCTCCAAAACAATGAACCACATTAAAGTGAACTTTTAAGATGAGAAGTGCCGAAACCACTGATCAACCTGTCTGCAGTTCCACTTTTTCTTTCCTTTTGTGTTTTGGTTAAGTCTCACTGTTCATATCAGCTTGTTTTCCGCAGCTGTTTCCAGCTAAAAAAACTGTGAAAACCCCACATTATGCTACTTGCTAACGACCAACGATCAAAGTTAGAAGCTATAAGTTCTATAAAATCCAGCTGCTAAAGAGCCAGATGTTTACCTCAGATGCTGGTGCAGCTAAAAGAAGGGTGAAAATAACACTCCATAAGTACATAAGACAGTTTGCTGACATGTTACACTTCATAAAATGATGTCAATGCTGCGCCAAAAAAGACATTGTCAAAGGTTAGTAAAGGTTAAAGTAATGTTATATACCAAACTACTTAAATGTGTATATTTGGACAACTGCTTTACATCAAAATATTTGTGAAATCAGTCACTGAATCAATTTTGCTTGTTAGATGGGTCACATATTTGATTGGAGTTAATACAAGTAACAGTAGACTGGTTTTCCATCATAATTCTGGCCCTAATTAGCTGTGGATCTTTTTGTATTGTATTTCCATCCCTCAGCACCTCCACAAGCAGCACCATACATTCAAGATCCCTACACCATTTGCCAGCCATGCCTTCCACCCGGTGGACGGCTTCCTGCAGAGCTTACCCTATCACGTCTACGCCTTCATCTTCCCCCTGCACAAGGTGGGGGTCTGCCTGACACTATACAAAACATTCAAGTTACATCTGAAGAGTTACAGTACCCCAAATCAGGACTAAACAAGCTCCACTGCATTATTCACGATGTTAAAACATTACTTAAATTATTCCAGGTCCAGCTCTATGACAAATTTTTAGAAAAGGAGGTTAATAAAAAGCATTAAATTACAAAACCTACATAACCATGATCTAAATGTAACTGTAAATTATTTTTACAATTGCATTTACATATTTACAGGGGGTCTACCTCTCCCTCTTTGTCTTTGTCAACATCTGGACCATTTCCATACACGATGGAGACTACCGCATCCCCGGCCCCCTGATATGTCTGATCAACGGTGCCGCTCACCACGTAGACCATCACCTCTTCTTCAACTACAACTATGGGCAATACTTCACGCTCTGGGATCGCCTGGGGGGCTCCTACCGGCACCCGTCAGCCCTGTTGGGGAAGGGGCCGCACGACCACGTCCGCAAGCTCATGGCAGAGGCTGCACTCGCTCAGTGATGACGGAGCTACAGTGGGATTCAACGTCCACACCGAGGCTCCAACAGAGATTCCTCAGCCTGCGTCGTGATGTAAGACGCGGCGCTAGCAAATACAGAACCAGCCACCAGCAACCAGCAACTCTAATCAGAGATTTGCCAAATAGTTTTGGAGGCAATTATATTTTCCTCAAATACATTTTGCATCGAATGGATAAATGAACTGACTAGACTGGAAAATAAGACTGTAGCACAGTGCCAAACTAACATTTACGTAAACGCTTTCCCTGATGAGATTATATGACTTTGTATGGGTCTGAAATAACATTGAGAAAATAGTTTAACTTTTCAAAGACTCTCGAGAATGCCAACGAGAAACGGCCAACTTGATGCTCTGATAGAGGAAAACCACTTTATAAAATGAAGCCAATGTTTTTATGATGGAAAGCTGACGGACGTATTGTTAATAAATATTTGTGTTCATTTTTTACACAGAGCACAGACAGCCTGTGCAAATGCCTGAACGTTGACCCCCTCCCACCTTTCTGAATTTAGCACAGAATCAGAAAAAACTGAAGGATATCAAATGTAACTCTTTTCTATTCATGTCATTATAAAGTTGTTATTTTACATTGATGATTTACATTGAGGAGTACAATATAAACCCAATAGCCAAGAAAAGTACATTTTCATTTCAGCTTACTTGGGACATCATTCAAATGACACAATACAATGCATAAAGCAGTCACATGTGCCTCAGGATCCAGTGTCTTTTTCTGTCGTAGTCGGATTGCTGATTGGTCTTTCAGCTTCCAGTGCTCGGTGTGTTCTCGTGCAAGCTCTGCAGGGCGAGATCTGTCCACTTCATCTCTTGTTCCTTCACAGACTCTGTGGAGCCTCCGTTGTCCTGCTCCGCCTCAGGCAATTCAGTCTGAAATAGAACAGGAGGAGAACGATGCCGTGAAAAATAGAAGCACTACACTCTACTTTATATTAACTGTAGGATGGTGCAGGAGGAAAGCCGGAAATGGACCTAACTTGCAATGAAACCGGATAGTTTTCCGTCACATAGCTTTTGGTTGTTCATTAATGACAGAAATACGACACATGTACTCAACAAATCTGATTAGTAACTAGTACGTCCGCATTTGAAAACATACAGAGCCAAAGACTCATCCCAATCTATTATAAAAAACATACGTTAGGCCTGACTAACAAGTGCCACATGGTGCCATTCTGACTGGATCTCCTCTGAGGTTAAATGTCACATGTGTCATATGCCTGATAATACTGTACCTAAAATCTGGTTTAAGGCTGCTTGTGCCCATTCATGACCTCCACGAGGGGGACCACAGTGCCCGTTTTTCAAGTCACATGTCATCTAAATGAAAACCAAATATTTGTTTCGCTTTCGGCTCGGGACTGTGGGGAAACTATTGACAATATGCTTGTACCAGCATTTACCAGAGGGATGGTGACATCTTCATACGGCAGTCGGTCTTCCCTCCAGGCATCATCCGTGAGGTCCAGGACTCTCCCGTCTCGTTGGATTTCACTATCCATCCTCTGAAGGGCCACCGGGTCGCGTCTCCCCCTCTGGCAGCGTTAACGTTAGCCTTTAGCTAACAGCAACTCGCTTCAAACCGCGGTCGCAGTTACAGTCCACTGCTACTCTTACAAAAATAACAGCAAGCTTAAAATAAGTGAACAACACGCAGTCCAACTAAATCGGCAAACAAGTCAGTTTGAGTACGTTTCGGTTAACGGCAAGCGGATTTCAGTTTCTAGCTTAACGTTAGCTGTTTGAGTAGAGCGGTTACCGGCAATTGTATGAACAGGAGGACGCTTAGTGATGACGTAGACAATGATACATTCAGTGTTGAGGGAAAATAGACCATTAACTATTAACGTTACGTCGCTACAGTCCCTGTTAGTGCCAATTAAGTCACAGTCAATTAATATAAAACTATCATAATAAATAGTGACGTTGATAAAAAATAACATAATACATTCATAACAATGTTACGACTAATTCGAGCATCCTGTATTCTACATTAAGTAAAACAATTTAGGATTTAAGACGTTTTATTAAACGGACCCTGGGTACGATCATTTAATTACGTCAGAAAACAGTTTTCCAATGTTGCATGAACACAACCTGTAAGTTTGTTTTGTGGTTTCCATGGCGACCATGTCTCCTTGGTGCTTTGCTCCGGTCAGATAATCGTTGGACACACCAGCATTTGGAGGTAACTATGAATTAAACCGATAATAGAATGGGAAGTTGAGCGTTTCATTCAGGGAGGGAGGGCTTTTGATGCTACATTAGTACATCTGCTAGCGATAACTTTGGTTTAGCGTCTAGTTTTATCGAGAGAAACCTGTAGTGGTTATTGTGGCAACGCTTTCCTTTGGAGGTGGCCTACTTTTCAAATGTATACCAAAGGAGATTCCGTCGGAAACTGTATCCAAATATTTCCTAATCACTTCTAAAATATTAAAGCCTCATCACATGTTTTTCTATAGACTAAATGTTTTCCCTCGTTTGGCTTCATATAATCTGGTACAGACGCGGCGGTCGATGTGTTCTGATGTCCGCTGTCTTTTTTTAGCCACCGCGAAGATGTCGGCCTCTGAAGAGCAGGAGGCGGCGAGCAGAGACCCGTGCGTGAACCCCGGGAACCCGGTTTTCTCCTGCATGATGAGTGCAGCGGCGCTGCGGGCGAAGCCGCAGCATCCGCTGTACCGGACGTCCTCCCGGGAGTACGGACTGCGCCCCCCGACCGCGGAGTGCTGCCCCTGCACGTACCACCCCAAGAACGAACGGTTCTCCAGGGAACTTTTCACGTTCGGGATGTATCGCGACAACTCTTTCAATACCGCCCTGGACCGCAGTCGGGTGCATGACTGCACCACTTTGAATCACACCATATAAATGCGGGATTCTTAAAGTTGTGTTTTGTTGTCACTGAGTGAATGACAGAATGCCTCGATGCATGCACAACAAACATCGTTTTATTACCCCATTAGGTTATGAGGCCTGAGCTTATGAAGTTATTCATTATTCATTCGGACAGGGACAATATTAACTTCAGCTGTTCTTCAACGGATATTAGTGAATTAAGTGTTTAGTCCATGAATGTAAAGATAAAACAGCTTGTATTTTATTCTGGTGTATCTGGTTGTATTTGTGACACTGCATGCAGTGGATGCCTTTACCCAGTTATTTCTTTGAATTGATAATACTAAGCATACCATCATCCAAATATGGGAGAGCTCAATAAATAAATAATAAATAAATAAATACTTTTTGGAGGACCGATAAACAGATTCTCGTGTATTTTTTAACCATTTCAAATTTCGTTTCACCTTGAACAATTCATAGTTCTCTCCTTAACTTTCCTCTTTGTAAAGTTAAGAAACAACCCCACTGAAAGAAAAAAAAACACATTTATTCCGTATTGAATTATTCGAGCACATCTCATTGATGATGATGAACCTTGATTTAGAAAACTTGATGCAATCCAAAACCAGACCAACTCAAAACCAAGGCACAAAAAAAAATCAAACAAATCAGCAGGTTGTGGCCTTTTCTACTAAACCACAGGACAGTTGAGCATGATCGGTATATATACATATATGTATATTTAAACATGTGCCCTTTAAAAGTGAATTATTATTTATGCCTTGTACTATTCTGAGGGGGTTTTGATCTTGTGACTGCTGGGGAGCGTTCAGGGACACTCGGAAAGTCGCCTCCTACCATTTGGGTGCCTTCAATTAATTTATGGTTTATTTTCATTCATAAAACAAATGTAGAAGCTGATTTGTTTGCTACTGTTGTCGACTGTAATTACCGGTACTGTGTAACCTTCTTTTGCACATTTTTATATGATGTCACATTTAGAACTTGTTGTCATTTTTTTAATTTTTCCTTTTAAATATAACGTCACATATGTTACATGAATAAAACACACACACACACACACACACACACACACACACGCACGCATCCAAACAACCACATCTAGAGTATCCCTTCTTGCACAATAGAAGAAAGACCGAGACAGCCGTAAAGCCCTAAAGGGGAAACCGTGGTCCATTGACGTTGTCTTCTACAGAAACCCTCCCCCGCAGCCACAGCTGATGATGGAGCTTTTAGCTGCAACCGCTACGGAACTTAGCCAGGCGCTAGCGGTGTAGGCTCGTTAAAATGTGTGTGAGGGGGGTTTGCTGGTCGTCATATGAGGGCGCTTGTCAGCGAGCGCAGTAAATATGTGTTTAATAATACTAACTAGTCACTCAAACGTGCCTTTATACCAAACCGGCGTTTGAGTACCACGCGTAGATCGGTGCTACTCGCGTTAGCTTCGTGTGTAGTTTGACGGTAGGATCAGAGGAGGTACACCGGCTAGCCGCTAGCTGGTTAGCAACACACAGCGCAGGATCGACTTGAGTTTGAAGGCTGCTGGTTTTCAAGTGGTTGCAACGTAAGTATGCGTTTCGGATCAAATTGAACCATTATAGGTCACCAACCTAAATGCTGACTTTGTGAGAATGGGTCTTCATTTGGAACCGCTATGTTACGATGCCTGCTTGGTGGGTGGCTAGCTGGCTAGCGAGCTAACTCCAAATAGCTATTATATCAACAATGCTAAAAGGTCTCAGTAACACGGCACGACTATAGACTGAAATGTTAATAGTACACGCAGGATAGTTGCTACTTCACTTGTGAGACTTCTTAATCTTAAAATGTGGATTTTTGTTTCTAGTTTCCACTATTTGCTTTCTTCAAGGATTCCCATTCCGTTCTATACGGTGTTTTCAGCGAGTTGTTTAAGCTTTGCGGCTGGAAGAAAACAAGCAGCTGCTAAACGATTATGTATACTTTAACAAACTGAACCTTGTTTTGTTTGTGCCTCAGGAGACCTGGAGGAGCACCGGGCCTGAGCCTCGGGCTGTCAAAGATGTTCAACGCTTTCCCCTCTGCATCATCAGATCCCTCCTCGTCTATTTGACTGGCTAAAATATTACTCCCAAACCAATCCCGCATCTGTGCTTGGCAACAGTATGACCATTCACGTTGACCCGCCCCATCCCGCTGGGACAGAAGTGCCCAAAAACCAAGCTTGCCAAATGATATGATAGTAGCCACCTGGATCACTTTCTGTGCTTGCAGAGGCCTTGCAAGGGTGCTGCTCTTCCTTTCCTCCTCCAGCTCGCGCTCTCCCTTCTGGGAGACACTTGCCAGTGTGGTCTCCTGCACCATGGGTAACAGCTGCGTGTGCCGCGAGGACAGCGACTTGGAAGACCACAACCATCGGTCGTCGAGGGCAACCAGAGGACAAGCAAGGCGGGTGGATCACGGTACGGGCGTTGGAGGCGCCGGCGACGCCGCAGAGGCGCTGAGCAGCAGACCCAGGGACCCGGTCAGGCCGCCGCGCCGAGGCCGAGGGCCTCACGAGCCGAGACGCAAGAAGCAGAATGTTGACAGCCTCGTGCTGGACACGTTGGCTGTCATCAGGACGCTGGTGGACAAGTAAGTCTCATTAAAAGCAATGATGACATTTAAAACCATTTCTATAGATTCTTTAGTAGCAATAATGAAATGGGCATGTAAGACATAAGTGCTCTGTGAAAGAAGTCGTGGCGAACCAGCGTATTTCTGTCAGACGTTTGCTTGGAACATGCAGAGCTTCTCGATCGTGGTTTGTCATATTCAGGATTTGAGACGTACGAACATGATGACCGACTCGAGCACTGGGCGTAAAATGCCGTCATCACTGACTCCACAGAAGTCGTTCAGTCTCACAACATATCTTCATATATAGTTCATATCCCCTTTTTAGTCCTTTTACTGCAGGGCCCCTACAACGAGGTGAAACCACTTTTATTTTAAGACTACGACTTTGACTTAAAACGCCTTCGATCAAACTGACTAAAGTAACTTTCACTCGAACAAAGAAAATTAAATTAACCAAACTGCGGACTTATCTTTTTATTTCAATTACTGTTGAAATGTGCTCTGCAGCAGTCCGTGTGTACTTTATGTATATTGATGACTTGTTGCCAGCAGGCTGAAACACCTCGCTCCTCCTCCAGAGGCTTCAATAGGTAGAACTACTTAAAGCCCTTTGTGCAAGTCAGTTTCCTCTCGATGTGGCAATAACTCTGCAATGATGTAAGATTTGTGTTGCCTGGACAGGTGCTGAAATCCCCTTTCCCCCCCTTATCCTCCTGTTCCCATAAGCTTTCCTTCTCCTTAGAGAAAAGCTGTTCAGCATGACCCATTGAGATTTTCAGCTCTTTTATCAGCACAGTTTTGGGTGGCTTTGAGAACCAACTATTGGGGAGGATAATGTTTGTGTGTTCAGGGAAGAGATATCTTGGTCAATTAGTTACTGAATTTCAAGGTTGAGGTGCTCCGTGTTGAATTTGGTGCAAAACAATGACTGTTCTGTTTTGTAGCCTAAATGGTTATCAAGTGACCGGGAGATTTATTGACCGTAAATCAAGTACTTCATCTCTTATGGAATCACGTCATTTGGGAGCTAGTTCCATTACATTGGACACGATCACGAAAAATGTTTGCAAAATTAAGCTAAATAAATATAATTAAGTCCGTAAAGAGAACTTACATAAATACTGTACGTTGAACCCCTGTCTTTTGAATACTTTTCCAGCCCTGTATTAAACATGCATGAATAGAGATTGTGATGGAGAGCAATTATGTGGAAGGAGAAAGATGTGAGAATCGGGCTGTTACCACATTCTGTTCAAACTGTTTTTTTTTTTTTTTTTCCCTCAGTGACCAAGAGCCCCCCTACTCCATGATCACGCTGCACGAGATGGCAGAAACAGGTAAGGGCCAAAGGCAAACACTCAGCTACTCCCTCGGCAGGGACTTCTTAGACAGCACTTTGTGGAGGTGAAAGGCTAACACACACACACACACACAACAACGGGCAAGCAACGGGACGCATCAATGGTTTATAAAGGGGGAAAAATGTTGGAACATTGGCTCCCTTTGTCATCAATAATCACACTTGTCTAAACAATTTCATGGTCGTCTCCATATTGAAATGAAACCATCTGCTGGACTGTAGCTGAACAGTTGAGTTTTTTTTCTCAAATTTTCCGAGGGATTTATCATTTCAGCTGACTGGTGAAGAATCCCAGGAATTTTGATGATTGGCGGCGTCTGGTTGTCGGGCACCAAACCCTGCAGGCAGCAAGCCGCTCCCGTTCTGTTTGACCTGATGCTACATTATTCATCACCCAGTTGGCTTTCATAGTATCCTATTGAGTCATCTAACGCAGTGGTCCCCATCCTTTTTTACCTCACGGACCGTTTTCATGTCAGACAATATTTCTCGGACCGGTCGAGAGAAGGTAGTCTCTTGCTTGTCTGTGTTCGCTGGTGGGTGAAACTACCGTGTAAACGTGAAGAAAAACGCCTGGTGACGCGTGGGGAATATGTCAGAGGGACGAGCGCACATAATTACGAGAAAATCCGGTCAATTTTCAAAAGAAAAGATTTTTCAGAACAAAAAAAGATATAAGCTTTCCGTGGTGCGGCCCGCTACCAAACGGCCCACGGACCGGTGGTTGGGGACCACTGATCTAACGGACATGAAAGGGATGTTTTAGTTTTTATAATGCAGCTGATAATAATCGTGGGGGCTAATCTGTTGTCATTGGGACCAACTGTACTGATTGTTGTGTGCTCTTATCAGTGTTTGCCCGAGGCTTCCACCTTTGGGGAAAAATAGCAACTAGAATAAAAATGTTTTATCTTTTTTTTTTTTTTCCCCTTTTTTCAGGGGGGGGGGGAGTAATTTTGGTTATATTCCTGTTATAATGGTGGAGTCCCTCAAGTCTCCCTGAGCAAGACACCTGACCCCTAACTGCTCAAAATGTAAAAAAACATTGGTTAAAAATGTAAGTCGCTTTGGATAAAAGCGTCAGCTAACTGCCACGTAATGTAATTTAATTTGAAGGGCCCATATCACTTTAATCCGTTGAGTCTCATTTTAATGATTTTTCTCTCTTCTCCCTCAGATGATGGCTGGCTGGAGGTTGTGCAGTCGCTGATTCGAGTCATCCCATTGGACGATCCGCTTGGCCCCGCAGTGATAACACTTCTGTTGGACGAGTGTCCCCTGCCCACCAAGGTTAGTGGCTAATAACTGTGTATGACACAGAAGGAGTCATTTGGGCTGCTAGCTTTGAACACAAGGTCACCTGTCAGCCAAACGGCATGAACACTGTAGTCATTCCAGTATTCAAAGATGATTCTGCTTCACCTAACAAAACAAGTTTTGACGGTGTCAAACTGAAAATGCGAAGCCTCAAACACCCAGCAGCTCTAAAGAGCGTGAAATACAAACCTGAAACACGTCCTTGTGGATGCGTATAATCAGCACTGGCTGCGCTGACACTGCAGCTCTGCAGTTGGGTGATGTTGTCTGATGGTACTTTCTGCTGCAGCACTTTGTCTCTGTTAATAAAGTAGATTTGATTTACTTTCTCCAGCTGTTGGTCCAAAGAACCTCCTCCAGTTGTGTGTGTGTGTGTGTGTGTGTGTGTGTGTCAGTCTGACTTTCATCAGAGTAACCGCTCCCTCTGCTCTGCTCAGGATGCTCTCCAGAAACTGTCCGACATGTTGAGTCTGAGTTTGGCCGTAGCGCGACAGGACGCTCTAAACCCAGCGAAGCACAGGAACACCACGGCCGTCCTGGGATGCCTGGCGGAGAAACTGGCTGGTAAATCCCACATTTACACACGGGACACTTCGAGAGAACCAGACCCTCGAGTCAGCGGCGCTTCCCCCGGCTGCTTACCGGCTCATTGCAAATCAAAGATTGCAATTTAGGTTTTACTTTTGCTATCAAGGATAGCTTGGTGTATTTTGTATTCCTAGTTCCTGTTTTGTTTTGAAGTCAGATTAGACCGGCTTTGCTCAGTCACAAAATAATCTTTGAATAATAAAGCCATTCATGAAGGAGTCTCCTTGAGAGATTTAACCCTCAACACCATTTCTTTCCGTTTCTTCTTCAGGCCCGGCGAGTATTGGATTGTTGAGCCCTGGAACCCTTGAATACCTACTAGAGAGCCTCGTGAGTGCGCGTGTACACACACACACACTTTGTCATCACTCCTGCCGATGCCTCCACTCACTCTAATGTGCCATGTCAGAGTTGAAGTCAGACCAACAAAAAGCAACACAACGCAGTTGTAAAAACCCTGCAGCTACTCCTGAGAACAAAGCCTTTCACCTCTGCCTTTTTGTCACTGTCCTTTTATCATGAAGTAGTGTCATCAGAGGGATTTGAGGGGGGGGGGGGGTATGAGGAGGAAAAGTGAGTTAGGAGACAATGTTTTGTAGATGCATTCCTGTCAGCGGCCGCTGAGTCACGAGCTCACAGATGCACGCAGGCCTACGCGCTTAGTAGACTTAGTAGACTTTACCCTGGAAGCAATGTGACACGTCAGCCGCAAAACTCTCAACCACCGTGGTGTCATCACGACGTGTGTCACGAATGAAACTGTTGCAACGTGTTGATCGTTTCTGTAAATCTTCCTCCAGAGCTCTGAAGCCCACCCTACGGTCATGCTGTTTGCCCTCATCGCTTTGGAGAAGTTCTCCCAGACCAGTGAGTTCACCCGCTGTATTTTAAGAGCCAGCTCACGTTGAGGAATCGTGATGAGTCAGTTGAAATCTTGTGGCTTGTAAAAGAAAACCGATGAACTAGAGTGCCCTTATCAAAGGAACGACATTAACACGTCCCAACTTCTGCTTTCCACGGCTTCCCTGTGTGATCACTGTTGCATGTGAAAAGATATCGCAGTGCAGGAGAGACACGAATGTGCTGTTAATCAGTTTTTAGTCGAGCCAATGTGTAAATTGCTAATTCGTGTCAATTTAACATCGGTGTGCTGAACCATATTAACGCTCTTAATTACCGTATTTTCCGCACTATACGGCGCACCGGATTATAAAGCGCACCTTCAATGAATGACCTATTTTAGAACATTTTTCATATATAGGGTGCACCGGATTATAAGGTGCACAAGATCCTGCAGTCAAACGTTTGACGTCGGGGGGGATGTGGGGAGGTGGAGACGGTGCTCTCAGGGTCCGATCGATGCTGCGAGGTTCAGAGCACAATACCGCCATTATTAAAACGAAGAATGTTTACGAGAGAATGAATCAGATTGAAGAACTTTTGTCTGAATAAATGCGTAAATATGACTACTTATACAAGCTGTCATTGGCGGATTATAAGGACGCGTGGACGGCTTCCCGATTCATGGAGGGAGATCTCCGGAAACGTTTGTTTGCCGGTCGAGTTGTGGAGGAAAATACGGGACAAATGTGTCCTTGATGAAAAGCAGCAGTGGCGATGCACGGGGCAATAAAGTCTATGATAAATAATAAACAAACCATCGACTTCCACACACAAAGACGTAACTCTCTAGGTCGTCTTTAACAAAAACAAGTTACTCCACCTGTTGTTCTGGTGGTGAATTGCTCTGCAACACACACAAGACTTTTAGAACCATGAATGGAAACGAGTGCGTCGACGCAGACGCATGCGCCAGCCTTTAGAATAACTTATTTCCCCGTTAAGATGGTTCAGCTACTGTAGAGAAAAGGGCACCGTCTCTCGCTCTTTAATCTCATGAAGTGCTCGGCAAGAACGACAGCTTTGTTTCTCCGACGCGCCCTGAAACAAGCTCCATCTCTCACGCGCTTGAGCGCCCGCGCAGCATCTCGCCGTCGTAGACCGAGCTTTGGCATGTTTGGCGGAGCGCCTTGAGCGCCGTGTACAACCAGTATGGATCAACCGATTAACCAATTGATCCATATAGAAGGCGCTCCGGATTATAAGGCGCAGGGTTGTTTTTTGAGAAAATGAAAGGCTTTTAAGTACGCCTTTATTGTGCGGAAAATACGGTACAACTCTTCACATCCATGTAGCCAGTTAGCTTGTTGGATTAGATTACAACTCATCGAGTAATCGCAACTCATTTTCTACAAAGTTTTATTATTTTTTAAGGTGGTTTTAACACACACACACACACACACACACCCGCTGCCTCTTCTCTCCCTGCAGGTGAGAACAAGCTGACGGTGTCCAAGTCGTGCATCAGCAATCGACTCGCCGTGCTGGAGTCGTGGGCGGAGCATCCCGACTACCTCAAGAGGCAGGTCGGATTCTGCTCACAATGGAGCCTCGACAACCTGTGTGAGTACAAGGGGTCACGCTGGACGGGGCCTTTTTAAGTATCCATTTGTGTTTTGGGTGTGTGAGTCGCTCAAGAAGGAAATGTGAGAACGTTTCTTTTGTCCAGTCCTAAAGGAGGGTCGTCAGTTTACCTACGAGAAGGTCAACCTCACCAACATCAACGCCATGCTCAACAGCAATGATGTCAGCGAGTACCTCAAGATCTGCCCCACTGGACTAGAGGTGTGTGTGTGTGTGTGTGTGTGTGTGTGTGTGTGTGTGTGTGTGTGTGTGTGTGTGTGTGTGTGTGTGTGTGTGTGTGTGTGTGTGAGCGATCCACTCAACTGTTGCCTTGTTTAACAGTTAACACCCATTAGCCGGATGTGAATGTTTTTACGTGTTCATTCAAAATCTAAATTATTTCATGAACGTTCTCTCCTTTGCTCCCCTCCTCAGGCGCGGTGCGATGCCTCGTCCTTTGAGAGCGTGCGCTGCACATTCTGCGTGGATTCGGGCGTTTGGTACTACGAGGTGACGGTCATCACTTCCGGTGTGATGCAAATCGGATGGGCCACCAAGGACAGCAAGTTCCTCAACCACGTACGGCTCGACAGCGTTCGCACTGCTCGGCCTCCCACCGCGGCCGCTGCCTGTCTGCGCTCGCCTAAATTAGTGCTGTGTGTGTTTTTCACAGGAGGGCTATGGGATAGGCGACGACGAATACTCGTGTGCGTATGATGGCTGCAGGCAGCTCATCTGGTACAACGCTCGCAGTAAACCGCACTCTCACCCCTGCTGGAAGGAGGGTAAGCAACACACACATACACACTTTTTACCTCAATCATTCACTCCAAAGAACGTTTGTGTTAATGAATATTAGAAAAGACGGAACATCACATTTACACATTATAACATTTTTGGGTTTTATAAGTCGCTTTAGTGTCTCTGGGGGTGTTTTTGTGGTTGTCTCTCCCACACAAAGTATCGGATAATAGTAACGGCAGCGTGCTGCGACTTAATCGCTCTGCATGTGCGGCCTGTTTAGGAGATGCCATCGGCTTCCTGTTGGACCTCAGCAAGAAGCAAATGGTTTTCTATCTGAACGGACATCAGCTGCCACCGGAGAAACAGGTCTTCTCCTCAGCCACGTAAGTCCACAGTCGCCTCTTTTCACCTGTCTTCTTTTTTTTTTTGTCCTGTTCCTGCTTCCAGCTGTCCGTCCTCATACTCTTTCTGCCCCCCCCTCCCCCCCTCTGTGTATGTACCGTTCCCCGTCTTGTGTCCATCAGGTCCGGTTTCTTTGCAGCAGCCAGCTTCATGTCTTACCAGCAGTGCGAGTTCAACTTTGGGGCAAAGCCTTTCCGTCACCCGCCGCCTGGCAAGTTCAGCACCTTCAACGATTTCGCTTCACTGCTGCCCGGTGAAAAGATCATCCTACCGAGGTAACGGATTATGAGCTGATCTTTGGTGTCTACAATAAACTTCCTGTCTCCCCGACTAGTGAATCACTTGCACACTGTCCAACACCTTTTGGGGATTGTTCCGGAGTACAGACAGTATTTTAGACTAGTTTGTTGCACCCATCAAAGCAGCTCTTAAGACTCTTCAGTCTAGATGTAATAACTACTTAAAAGTTGACCTGAAGGAGGAGACAGGAGTCGGTCACATGTGCAAAATGCGACAGGGATCCAGCGTCCGCGGCTCACCGGCAGCGGAACACGAAGATTAAATGCACTGTTGATGTCACTTATTACACGTGGATTTGACAAGGCAAAGTGTTTCCCGTTTGAAGTGTCTACCCGCCTGTCTTGAATAATATATTTTGTGAAGCTGAAAATGATCTGATTTCATTTGACTGGCCGAAAGAGACTCAATTCTGTTGCAATCCGATGCCTACACAGAACTTGGACAGGATGTAAAAACATTTATTTTGGACAAAGAAGATAATTATTATAATATTACAGTCCTGTTGTCATTGGATCTAAGCGGCGCACATATTACTGATATAAGAAACAGCTCCTTGCGTCTACAATGAGAACAAACTAGATAAAGAACTGGAATAAGTAACAAGATGAGGGTGTAAAGAATGTGTGTGTGTGTGTGTGTGTGTTTTTATTTGTTTGTTTGTTTCACAGACACCGACGCCTGGCCTTACTGAAGCAGGTTAGCATCCGGGACAACTGCTGCACGCTGTGTTGTGACGTCATGGCTGACACGGAGCTGCGGCCCTGTGGCCACGGGTACGTGTGCATCTGGTGCCAGCAAACGCTGCTTGAGTCATCACTGTCTTTAACTGTTGAAATTACAATATTGTAGGTACAGATAGTCAGAACGATATCAACGAGAGAAGTTTGTCTTTGTTAAACTGAAAACCCAAGTCCATTTTCTTCTGTATGATGTTCTATGGTTGGTTATTAAAATCTCCCTTCGTGTCCCCCCCCACTCCTCTTCCAGTGGTATGTGTATGGAGTGTGCCTTACAGTTAGAGACGTGCCCGCTGTGCCGCCAGGACATCCAGAACCGCGTCAGACTCATTGCACATGTCTCCTGACAATCCTCCTGCCCTTTCTCCAACGAGGACGGACACGGAGGCCCCACAGCGCCGCCCTCTTTCTCCAATCCGCTCGCTCGCAGCGGGGCCACGGTCACCGTGCCGCCGGGCTGTGGTGATGCCAGAACTGTGACTTCTGGTACGAGGAAGCAACAGTGGAGGGTTGGAGCAAAGAAAATGAAGAGATGAGCGGAAGGGTATTTAAACCACAGCTGGATCCCTAGGAACTGCAGAAAACGGGCCAAGAGTTGTTAACTTTCTATATTTCAGAAATAAGGAGCAAAATCATATCGTATCTATGATGCGAGGATCCCACTGCGCTTTCAGCCCACTGGCTACTACTATTTAATCCCAACGTCATCATGCGCACATCTGCAGGTGTGAAAGGGCTGAGTAACCGAAAAGATCACAGCCTGGCGTTCACTATTAGACCCAAGGTACAGATACTGTTAGCGATCATTTTCACTTTCATGTTTTGTGGTGTAGATATGCTAATTGTGGTGTTCTTGAGCTAGCGTCTTCCATTCTTGTTTCTCAAGGTCATACCTGCATCCGTCCTTTTGGTCCGCTTCACTGTCCGTACTGATTGGGGGAGACAAACATCATGTTGCAAAATGTCCTCATGTCCTCAATGATCTCAAATCTTTAGATATGCAGAAAGGAATTTTCAATATTTAAATGTTCGGATTGGGTTTACAAATGTTAGAAATTAACTCTTCTGTACGATAAGTAACTGACTTTTTGACCCTGCTGCTTTTTGTGCTTGTCTCTTCTCAGATGTAATTTCCTCACTCTCGGTCATGTATGCAACAAAGACACCAAATACATACACTGATAGCAATTAACAGAAATGTGATCTCTAAATGAAATGACATGTTTAGGACACCCAATTATGAGACTTAATATTTAAAGATTAAAGATGGAGGAAATTCAATCATATGCTTCTCCCTCACTGAGAGTACGTCTGGGATCACTTGATTGGTGTTAACAACTTGTCAACACCCTTTAATGCGGTGCCACCATGAGTTGGGCTTTTTTTATGACATATAATAGTGTTTTATTAGGATTGTTTTCAATCCTCAATGTGGTTCTTTTTTTTTCTTAATGATGGTGAACGCTGATGTGGAAACTTGGTCGAGAAGCATAACCGGTTTTGTTTAACAGTGTTGTATCGGCAGATCAGTAAATGGCTTAAAACCAGTGTGGAATGTTTAAGTGAATTGTTTTTCTCCAATATGTTATTTAAATATCCCATGATCGTTTTTCACGATGTTGTCAGTTTAAGTCTGATTTGACAGTGAAATGCATGACAAGAATTAACAAAAAGAAACTTCCCACAACACTGTAAAATTACCTGAACTTCAGAGCAGAAAAAAAACCACGTATGTTTGACTTTCTACCAAACTCAGCATATAGAATTAGTCCAAACCAGTCCAATGTGGTGACCCTATTTGTGCATTATATCACATAACAATTACATCTTGCTGCTCTCGTTTGGACATTTCTAAACCGGTTTCCTTCGGGCTTTATAAGAACCTCTTGTCTGTCCATCATTTACTTTAAGTGTTTCGGGGTTTGTATTTTGCAGGTGTTTTCAAATGAATAAACTACAATTCCTTTTGGTCAAATAATATATAAATTGATACTACTACACCAAATTGCATGAATTGGATCTGTGAAAATCTTTCAGACTGGAATGGTCTCTAAAAGGTAACGCACCTCTCGTTAGGAGACTAAGAACTGTTCCAGCCGCTCTTTGGTATCTTGTATTTCCTGGAGCGTCTAATGCTGTACGTGCAGGTGAGATAAACTATGTTTGTCTCTCTGGCTAAACATGAAATTCAAGATTGTAAAGAATATGTTGTTGATTGTATGTAAAACCTCTTTAAAGGAACTTGGCCCCAGAGTTCCCAATGATGTGATTGAAGAATTATTGTTTGCTGGATTGTGCTATTTGTAATAAATGTGTCCATGTGTTATTTACTTTTTTGTCTGACAAAATATCTCAAATCAAAGTAAGAATTTGTTTATCACCAATTTAGGGCTGTTACAACAACACAACTGAGGCTAAATAAAATGCCACAGATATTCATTTTTGAAATAACAAATAGCAACTAAGGAAGGTATTGAACTGATATTCTAATATCTTATGAACTCACTGAATATTAGAATAATTCCAGAAAAACAACCACAGGGATTTTTGAGATCTTTGATAAAAGCTTTAATGAATGCCTGTACAACATGAATGGTTACAATGGGTCAACAGGCTCATTTCAATAATCCCGTTGGTAGGAACCAACGCGCCCAAGCATCGTTCCGCCGGATGACACTCAGTGGCGTACTTACGTTTGCCGTTTCCTTGGTAACGTTACTGTCGCTATTTACACCACGTAAACGATATATTTATCCACATGGACATCGGGGAAGTTAGTAAGTACACGCGATTCCTTTAACTGTTGTTACTTTATCGTTTGAGGGTGTAAAGTAATACTTTTAGCTCCTAGGATGCCAAATACACAAACTGGTTTGGTTGTTTTTCATTCAAGGCTAATGACGTTCTGTGTGTGACGTTAGCTAACGTTGACTAGCCTCTAGCTCACCTAGGAGCTAATGTTAATGTTACCGTTCAGTTATGAACAAAACCAGACAAGCACATGTGCTATTGGACAACATGTCGCGTGAGTTGTAAAAAAACGATAAAAAAAGGTATTTGCTAACGTGGTTAGCGGGTTTTATACAGCTTTAAACCAACGGTAATTCACAAAGGCGTGTGAATGTGAATCCCGCTGTAACCTCCTGCTTGTATTTGTTCAGCAGACCAACGCTGTGTAGACGGAGACGACGTCGAGGAAATGCTTGACACGGATGAAGAAAACTTTGCTATTTCCTGGTGAGTTTCCAGATCTCGGTTCTGCGAACGTTTTCCATTTAGAGCTTTAAAATTCACATTGTTAGTTTTTTGTTAACTTTACTTCGTAAGAGACATGCTTGTGCTTTAAGAGAAATGCAAAGGCAAACAATAATTGAATATTTGTGTACCAATATGCTGTCTTTAGATTTGATTCGTTTGTTTAATTTTGGGCTTTACACTTATTTCACTTAAGAGCATTTATTTCCAAATCTCAAAAGGAGTGTGAGGGCAGTGCGCCCTGTATAGTCCTCTAGACACAGCAGACTTACGTTAATACAGACCTGTAATATAGTGGTACACTGCATGTAGTTAGTATAGATAAATATGCCCACTTCTACCTTTCAGCTATATGACATTTATCTTTTGTTTTCTTTCTTCAGTTCCTCGGTTTCAGCTGCAGCTTTTGATGCTGTTATTGGCGGCATAGAGGAGATCATCATGGGTAGGATAAGTGATGAGAGTGCACTTTTCTATCTCACCTTTTGTGAAAGATACATGTTTCAGTTACCTTACATTATAAGAAGCGATTGTCAAAGTCTTGTGTTGAAAAAAACACATCTTCGCAGTCTTTTGAAAACCATTGAAAAAACCTACTGAATGCAGGAAAACTTAGCAGTCAGTCTTCTTTTTTTCTGTTCATTTAGGTACGGTAATACATTTTCAGATTTTTAAAAGATAGAAAGCAAAACCAGCCATGGACATACGCATCTTAACAGTGAAGGTGTGCGTTGTTTTACATTTTAAATACTTTTAGAGGAGAAGTTCCAGCAGCTTCAGCAAAGCTTCATGGATCAAAACTACCTGGAGTTCGAGGACTCCGACGAGAACAAGCTCAGCTACACACCCATCTTCAATGAATATGTGAGTTTTATAACATCGCTAACCTTCTGATGTTACTCCAATGCCTCTTTTCAAGGAATATGACGATTATCTGAATTGTACAACCTGTCATAGTCTTATACACAGTTCTATTCAGTTGTGTGAACATATACTCACTGTATCTATAACTATAAAATAAGATTTACAGACAGTGTGTAGTAGTCATGAAAGTGAACTAAGACCGTATTCGTATTAACATTCATGGCCGCTGTGCAGGTTGAATTGCTGGAGAGAAACCTGGAGCAGCGGCTGAAGGAGAGGATCCCCGCCTTCAACATGAACACTTTCGTAGAGACGCTCATGTAAGATGTGACATCACAGCTCTCCCCCAATATATCCTCTCTTTATTCCGGTTGTTTGCTTCCTACAACAAACTAAATCACTTCAGTTCTATTGGTGACACACACGGTGTCATTGAAAGCAAACGCAAACCACGCCGCTCATACAGTAGTTTGTTTGATGCACCTGTTGCGCCTAAGAAATGATTATTTTGCAAGCAACAAATTTACACAGCAAATGTGATCGGATTCCCACGGTTACTCTCTCCCACCTGTAGGCAACACAAAGAGGAGGTGCCAGGCGACATCTTCGACATGCTAGTGACGTTTACTGACTTCATGGCTTTTAAGGAGATGTTTCTGGACTACAGAGCTGTGAGTTGTCTGCCAACTGTTTAGAATCTCCAACGAGATCTCAACGACAGAAATATGATGAATTGCCGCATAGACGTAACCACGCATTCTTTGGGGGGCGGGGGGTCGTGTCCCCCCCAATATTGAAATAGTACCAATCTGTCCCCCCCAATATACAGCAGAAAATATGTAAAATATATCTATGTACATATATTGGCCGTACAATAGGTGTTCTATCATTTTCTGCTACTTGTCGAGAACTGCTACTTTGTGGTATTGCGCATACGTGCGCATTGCGCCGAGTCGATTTTCCAAGTTTCCTTGACACGCCCATAATATTTTCCCTGTCGGTGAACGACGTGTTAACGGCGAGTAACATCCTCAAAATCCCGATTATTTCCTCTTTTGGCCAAGTTAAAAAGTACATTGAGCATGTAGATTGTACAATGACCGTTCTCTTGAAATTACATATTAAATAATTACATGGACTGTGTATCCTTGCCTCCGTCTACTGTGTCGTATTATCCGTAGTCCGTTTTCCATTTGCAGAAACACAGTGAGAAACATCCACCAAAACCCCCTTTCTTCGCGCTTTTGGCTTATTTAAGATAAATAGCATATAGCTTAGATTGGTTTAGCTCTTGAAGTTAAATTTGGAATAGTTGCATGTAGCTTACTGTGTCGCACATGATTCCAGAGGGGCTCACAGCGCGCAAACACACTGCCCAATCTTTTTTCATGTAGTAATAACATGTAGATTAATGAGTGATAGGCAGTTAGCTATTTCTTTTTTGTCAACAATAAAGTGATAGGGTAGCATGAATCGATAGACAGAGCCATCGATTTATGCGGCGGTAGCAATTCTCGACAAAGCAGCAAAAATCGGCAGAACAGAGCTAACGCGTTTTTTTTTTTTTTCAGATGAGAAATTAATGTGAAATTGAATGCAATTTAGTATTGCACATAGACAGTCATTTTAAGTATGTAGCTAAGTAAGTGTGTTTTCCTTTTCCATTGTAAGCTATCCTATTTGCTACAGTACTACTGGAAAAGCATACTTGTAATTGGTAGGTGTGTTTAAGCTCAGTAAATAGTAAGCAACTCACCAAAACAAAGTGGAGGGGCAGTCACTGTCACAGAGAAATTACACTATTCCTTTTAGATGTGAATTTAAATGATCAATGTAGTCCTCGAAACTATGTTTTAAATGTGCGGATTTTCATATATAAATATAGAATTGTGGACCATGCACTTAACAAAAAAAACAATATGGGGAGTGGTATTCATTTGGACCCCCCCCAATATCTAAACCATGGTTACGCCCTTGAATTGCCGCGTTCTCTCCAAGCGCATTGGAAGCGTGACTTATTTTTTGCAGGTTATTGCATTGGTGAAAACTCCTGTTTGTAATGGTTTCCTTCGATACCAACTTCGTGAACCTGTGTGTTTGTAGATGAAGGAGGGTCAAGGTCTGGACCTGAGTCAAGGACTGGTGGTGACGTCACTGATCCACCCTGGTTCCAAACACAGCGGCCTCGCTGAGCCGCTGCTCCCGGACATTTAAGTTGCCTCCTTCTCTTTGTGTTTAGTAACACGTTGTTCCTCCGTGAAGTTATGGTTAGCTGGTCGTCACGGTTTCGGTAGTTTTGTGCTCTATTGGTGAGCGGATACGTTCCACATAACTAAAAATTAACATTCTGCAAACATGACACCCTAAGACCAAAATCCTCTGAGTTCCTCTGTGTTTTATGTGTTAACTGGGATGGCGTGTGTGTGAAGAGTGATGAGGGAATGTTTTGGCTGCCTTGGACACGACTACTTGAACATTTTTTAAACTGGAATTTGCAGGTGACAGGTGACATTCTTAGATTACAAACCATATTATTTACATTTGCGTTTTAAAAAGGTTTATTATTATTAGATCCTCCCGCCTCGTTGGGGAGAAGAAACCCAGTTCTGGGACTCGATTGTTTGTAGTTATGTTTATCCTACTGGTTAACGCATCTCCTTGTAAGCAGGGGAAACCATTTTATATGATTGAACGCTTCAATCTGCTCCCTTTTCCTGGTATTTGTTTGTCATAAGAAAATAATATGGCAAAACTGATCTGTTTTAAAGTATTTGTTCAGTTTGAAAACTCATTGAATAGAGTTTTGTGCCTGTGAAAGTGATTTTGAATGTATTAAGGGATTGCGTGATGTGTGCCTGCAGTTTAAAATAAAAAGTATAGTTTTCTGTATAATGGTAAGAATTTTCTACTTGTTTTAACATGACAGCAGTAATTGTAAACACTCACTGTTGAAATACAAATACATTTGTTAGTAGATATTTTAAATTGATATTACGGAGTGCTTTATTTAAACAAGTGCAGACTTGAGCTCCAACAGTCAACACATGATTTTACAAGGTTTCAAAGTGTTGGTACAAAACGACACATTTCATAAAGGCACATGAACAAAAGTACTTTTTGTGTAACATATAAAATCAAGGGAACTGTGGTACCAGCTTTCTTCCACAGCGTTCAGTACAGTATTTGAAACATGGAACAACGAATGTCCTGCGTCTTTCTATCTGTGATCAGTACTTTGGCTTAGTCCATATTCTACACACCGTCTGCACGGCCTCGATAGGACGTCAAAGCAACTTCCCAAAATGAACATCACAGAACGCCCGGGTGGGAGTCGAGCATTTTATGACATTGTGGTACTCAGCCAGCCAAACCACTGCAACAACGGCCGCTGTCTGTGAACGAGAAATGCTAAACCAGCAGCTCCAATGATTACAGATCTTCATGTTTCTCCTTGATAAATCTCACAAACGGGAGGAAATGTTTACAACCAAAGTTTGGACAGGGTGTCAAATTCTTCTAACCAGGGTGTTTAATAAGTTTTACACTGCTTATCCTTCCACCGATGACTGACCTAGGACACGCTTGAAGCTTTTTTAGGTCATCATAACGGACGCCATTGTATAAAATATGTTGTACAGTGTATTTTACATGTGTTAGAATGGCAGAGTATCATTCCGAGTTTGAACAAACAGCTGAATGTACTCTGCAATCCACGCTTGTATGATATTCTTTGGTAACCTGAACCTTAAAGGGGTAGTTGCACATTCATAAGGATGTCTAAGGTTAATGCTATTGTTAATACTGGGGTTGAGAAAAGGTCACAACTAGGGTTACCACAGTCAGCAGTAATACGAATCAACGCAGGAATATCCAAATTAAACCACAGCATCGTGAGGGAAGGAAAACAGAAGTAGATCAGCGGGCCAGGTGCGAGTCCTAGGTCGGCACCGTGGTGTTGGCAGCGTTCCCGCCGTCTCCCTTCCAGTCCAGATAAGAGAATAAAGCACTTGCACCGTAGGCGATGGTCACCACAGCACCAAAGAACTGAACACATGGGAAAAGAGCCAGACAAAGACAAGGGAGACATTCAGGGGAATTTGAATGGGGAGAAGACATTCAATTATACCTTTTTAAAAGACTTAAGGAAGCGGTCTCTCAAATCTTCAACAGCCGAAGATTTAGGAAAGCGGACTAAGTTTTCTTAACTGCAAACATGCCAGGTACTACTGCCTACTGCCGTGGCTGTAAACCAGCGTGGACTTCAGCCTTTGGGAAATACTATAGAGCAGCTTGTCCTTCCTCTGCATTGGCTTTCTGTTCTGTTTTTTTGTTAGTTGGTGACAAGTCAGCACCTCTATACTGAATTGACCTCACGTCAACAGACCCTAAAAACACAAAGGTCATCGTTTGAACCAGCGCATTTTATAATTTTGTTCTGTTTTGTCAAAATATAGATTCCTGACAAAGTAAAAAAAGCATTGATTCAATAAACAGAATGGTTCTTTTACGCATTTAAAACCTAAAAGGGGGTCGGTGTCGACTGTGTCACGGTGTGGTTCACTTCATGTTATATTTTGTAGTTTTCTGCCACTTGTGTCCCCGGGTAACTTCACTTCCTGCCTTGTCCCGTTGTCCCCTGTGATTGTCTAATAGTTTCCACCTGTGTCCAATCACCTGCACCTCCCTTGTGTATTTAAGCCGTGTGTCTCCTGTGTCACTTGTCGCGTCATTGTCTTTTGCCACGCATGTCCTGTTCTTGTCTTTCGCCCCCGTAGGTTCATGCTTGTGTGTTTTTGCCCCTTGGCCTTTTGGATTTTGGACCTTTTGATTATTAAAGTCTTTTGTTTTGGAAAAGTCTGCGTTTGAGTCCTGCCTTCCACCCTCAACCCTGACAGACTGTAACACAAGATGAAGGATATCCAAATTCTTCCTGACTCGGGTAATCACGCACACACACATACACACCTCCATATGATGATTAAACATTGACTGCAGAGGGGAGGAGCCAGCGGCAGCTCTGGTACAAAGGCTTGGCCGTAAAAGCGTGTTTAATCACGCAACATGCTGCAGTCTCGTGAGCAATAAGAAAACCCCCGTCCCATCTTGGAGGCGTGTCCCTTGCATATTCAATCAGGTCTTTGTGTGAGAGTCAGCGTTGGCGGTGTCGGGCATCTTACCGCGGCAGCTGCCATATGATTGTAGAAATAGGTGATGCGCCAGGGCTGCACGGACGCCGCGTTGGCCAGGAAGGCGCTCAGATAGAGGACCGTGGCCGCGCTGTGATACACCATCACCTGGCAAAAGTGGAGAAACGTGAGCCGCACTTCTACTGAAAGCGTCTTTCCCTGGTTGTCCCCAAACAGTTTGCTGTCTTTTCCCCCCAGACAGCTTTCCTCCTAATCCACTGCTCTGGCCTTTCCTTTTCATAACCTCTATCACGGTCCAATTCTGCTGGCATTTCCTTTCTTCTGATCAAACCTCCAATTGTCCTTGGCAGGTTTGCATCCGTCTGAATCCATCCACCTCCGTCTTGTTTTTGAATGGTTTGGATCAGATGGATTTCATGACTAAACGTCCTAATTTCAGGACCAAGGAGACAGCAGAGAGAGCTCCTTATCGGTCAGTCTGCATGTGGAAAGGACTAATATCTGACTGATGATTCTACAGGAGCTCTTCTCACTGTTCTGATGTAGGAAAGCGTCTACTCTTTAACAAATATTTGTCATAGATGTGGATTGTTGATTATTTAGCCATGACCGTTTCATGTCATGAGGCAGACTGTTTAGTTTAGGCCCTCCTTGGAATAACACTCTCCGAGGCTATAATTCTGCCCTCATCCCGTCCTACCGTCATGGGCCAGGGGACGAAGGTCAGCTTTTGCTGGGCGCCAAACAGGATCAAGAGGAAGAGGATGGTGGTGAGGATCCACAGGGTGACGGCCACAAACATCACCCAGCCGAACGCTGCCACCAGCGTGTAGGGCGCGCTGGCTATCAGCGACCACTGGATGAGCCCCAGGATCTGGAAAGGTGAGGAAAAAAGAAAAACAAGGCAGAACAACTGAGAAGAGAGAGGCTTCGAAGTGCGACGGCAACCAAAACGTGCCGACGTTAAAAGACGTTCAGGATATGTTTGTCTGTAATACGTCTGGATCGGCAACAAAGGAAGGAGGAGGAGTGGGCTTTTTTTTGTACGCCGTATTGTCCCATGCAGCGCAAACGCATGAATACGTGAACAGTAACAGCAGTAAATGTCGGCGGGATTGCTGGAGGCCAGTTAAGAGTCCATGACAGTAAATGTACTCGAGGCCTCTTTACGGCCAACTGAAGGGCCGCAGGTATCCGTTCCTGCTGCGCTCGCTTACTGGAATAATGTTACACACTTGGGAGTTTACGCAACGCAGATCCGCTGGTTACATTTTGTGCAACGTGCATCAGACGGTTGTATAATAGCCAAACCGCCGATGATGAGCAAATCCCACCTGGGGTTTCGTTATTTTCCACCTCTGGTGGAAAGTTACTCGTTGTAAACAGTTTTTATTGTTTCAAAGTGTCAGAATCTAACACAGTGCAGAATAATTTATCTGCACTTGATGTGCACACAAGCAAGAGGTGGTTTGTTGTTACTTTACAACATATCTGATGCCGGTAGCACAAAAAGTAACCAGCGGACCGGTCTTGCATTAACTTCACAAGCGCAACATCACTTGAGTAATGGAAAAGATATCTGCTGCGTTCCGATGGGTATAAAGAGTCACCAGAGTAACGGAGAGGCCTTTGGAATAGAAGCACTAACTGTGTCAGAAGGAGCTTTCTGGTGGAAAAAACCCTCCAATGTCATGGGAAAAGCTTTTGTCGCTGTCTACGACATATTAGAAAACTAACTGTTGTTTGCAAATGTTTCTTTTCTGGCAGCAAATGTAAATGAATTAGATATACTCACCAGTGACCATGATTATTGATTTTTTATTTGGCTGCTGAACTGATGACCAAGTCTCATGGAGATGTATAGTGTGTGATTGATGACGCCGGCATCGTTGATCACGGCCTTTAAAGTTTACAGTACATTTATATCTGAATTCCAAACGTAAAATGCATCACGTTGTTTACAACAGAGACGCCCAACAGACAAAACACCACACGGGGCTGTTTGCCTCTGTGTGCTTCTGTCCCACGAGAAAGAAAGAGTCTATTATGTATGCAGAGATCAAGTTTCCCTTTTTACATACCTGATACACACAACGCACATTGTGGTGTTGACCTTTACAAAGCGATCTGTTCCCGACGTCCAGACTGAAACTCACAATTTTATCACCAGCGTATCTATTACATGATCAATATCAACACACGGCCCGGCCGTTAAAACACAACTTAATAACTTAAATTAAACATGTGTGTCCCACTTATTGCACTACTTTAACACTGAATGTTAATTATGGACATAGCTCTTTTAATATGAAGCTGAAATGTTGTGTAATTGTGTCTTCATCTTTTCATTGTGCGTTTAAAATTCAAGTTAAATGCTGAAGCTAATTCAAGTATATATTTATCATGCAGATGGATTTTATACCACTTAGTGCATTAGGCATATTACTTCATCAATATTGAAGAGGTGGAAGTTTGATAAAGGGAGCCGGCTCCTCTATAAATTCACACGCTCCAGATAAAAAGAGTTGTTTTTTCCTGCTACTCGTCTTTTTTTTTGCCTAATCGTGGGAGAGGAAAATGGAAAATCACCATGCCACTCTCACACATGCGTCATAATAATCGTATAATTATGGGATTGGTTTCATCATCATCTAGTTTTACCTGTTCATGGTTAGCTTGAGGGGGCTGTGTGTCTAACAAGAAACAGGTGAAAAGAAACCTTTGGAAATACTCTTCTTACTTCACTCCTTCTTTGGCATTTGGCAACACATCACACACCAGACGGTTGTTGATTTTCACTAGTTGGGCTGAAACAACGTCCCTTTTACGAGTCATTTGGGAGAGAAATGTTGCTTTAGAGCAAATGCAACAACAACAACAACAACAACAACAGTCCCGCCCAATCTGGCAAATGCCTTATCAATTGTTATGCCCCTATGCAGACAGGACCCTGTGTGCTCACCGCCAAGCGAAACAGCAGAGGCATTGGCCGATCCCAGTCACGCGTCTAAACTGCTCGTAGACACACAAGGATATTCATGATTCACCAACTGCAGGTTGTTGGCACACATTTAAATTCCTGTGACACCCAAAAAAAGCTATATACAAATATTGCAGATCCTCCACCATATGCACACATTGGTCTGCCAACACATTGGTGCTGCCGTTATACGAGAGCAGAAAGCCCACTGGTAGAGTTTAGTTGGCTGACGTTGAAATTAAACTTATATACCTATAAAAATAAAATGCCAGTTGAAGGACAAGTCTTCTGATTCCCTGTACATATTCTTTAAAATCAACAAGAACCAATACCTAAAGCCATTTGACGCATTGCTTGTAAACCCAAAGTATATATTCATACAGCCTTATTATCACCTAAAAACCAATACAAACACATCAATTAGCCACACACACACACAGAAAGATTTGCTTGAAAGTGCCGAGCCTTTTGAGGAAATTATTTAAAGATTATGAAAGAAATCTCATCTAAATTGTTTCTTTTGAGTTTGGTTAAGAATTGGTTAACAAGAAAACAAAGAACATCAACAGGCTGTACTTTGATTAAACCCAGTAGTTTAAAGTTTTGGCGCCTGTTACATACTATTTCAGCCATCATGAGGACGGCCCGGATGCTTCGGATGAAGGACGAATGCAGCGGGGTGGCGAGGCCGGCGGCCAGCGCCCGGAGGCTGCTGCCCCCCGGCTGAGAGCTCCGGGAGTTGGGGGAGCTGGTTTCCGTGGTAACCTTGGACGGGAAGTCCGCCATGATCACGCAGCTCAACGCACCCAACAAACTCCTTATGGATGGGATTCAGTCCCCAGATGAGCGTCTGCGATGACCAGGTGACTCCTCCAAAAAAATACCTAAACGTTGGGATTTAGAAACCATCGACTAAATTGCACTGATGGCAACAGCAAGACTTCAGATTAACGTTATGTCCAAAACACAAACAAAAAAAACCACGTATGTACAAAATCTTATTTTGTCAAAATAAGAATTGTCAAAAGAGTTGAAGAGGAGTCCTGCAATGAAACATCCGGGCTCCGATATCCAGCAGTTACTCCCTCCACCTGCACGGACAGGTGTCTAATGGTGCTGGTATGTGAGGCTCTGGACACCTTTCTCTCTCTCGCTGACTCACTCACACACATGCACACGCACAAACACACATAGTGCGTATTTCGTCATCCCGCTTTAGTCTCTCCCCTTCCTTCTCGCTCTCAACCTGCTCCTAGCACCTCCCAGCCAACATGATTCATTAATGCTTCCTCAACCTGCACTGGATTTCTGAGTTTCCTGAATACATTTCAAGATAATGTCCTAATTAACAAAACAACCTAATGAGAAGTACATGCAATGCATTTGTTTATTCTGAAATGTGTATGTAATTGGTCCAGGTTTTATGGAGCTGTACTAGACATAAATCATCTGTAATGGATTTCTGAGCAATGGAATCCAAACACCCATAAAAAAAACAGCAATTTAATAAAATCTTTACCAAAATGGACGATTCAGCGTCTCGCCCGAAGCCCTGATGCTGATCTCCACTCTGCTCCACATGGTGGATCCATGAGGTGGCAGGTTCTCACTGTGGGGTAATTAGTAACTACGACCTGTGCTCTCCTGGCTGACGTAACGTATAATCTTCCGAAATCTTTTATTATTTTTTGGTGGCGTTTCCCCATCTACAAAGCACAAAAGGGTCAACAACATCAATGGTGAGACCAAGCGAAACACTAACATGAGGCTTTATTGTGAGTAGCTCACCGGGTCAGAAGACCGGCTCTCTTTCTACGAGGGACGATTCACGCAGCGTTTCTGACTCCGCCGCTTCAGGCAATCATGTTTTATGTTTTACTCTCCTGGCTGACGAACATATAATAGATCAATAATATGAATGATTAAGCTAATATATTGTGCTTTTTTTTCTAAAAACTAATTGAAATTGAACAAAACGTACTTGTGGGGGAAAACGGGTCTCAAGGGTCGGTCGTGACTAGTCCCTACGACCACGTGCAAAGCTACGCTCTTGGTTCTAGTGCGCGCACGAAATACAACCGGCTGTTTCAACCAAAATGAAGAAAAATAAATTGTCAGAAGTGGGATTCGAACCCACGCCTCCAGGGGAGACTGCGACCTGAACGCAGCGCCTTAGACCGCTCGGCCATCCTGACATATACATCATTATGATAGATAACGACTATACAACTAGAACAAAGCGTTACGTTACTAGGTACAACGGCTCCGATACTCGCTCTGCTGGTGGTTTAGCTGTAGAAAGCTGTAGTTACCTCTAGTTCGACCTCCTGCCTTTAGTTGTAGGCAAATCGACAACCGGCCATTTTAGAAAAAAACATTTAGCTAAAGAGAAAATGCCAGAGCTCTTTTCGCAGTCAGTTTATAACCCAAAGACTTCCTGCTTGTATTTGAGTGAATATGTAGTTACATCTCTGTTATGTGCTGTCTGATCAAGCAACAAGGTTTTAATGGACACAAACAGGCTGTCAGTCTGCTTTACTCTGAGACTCCTCTCCATACATTCTCAGGCATAACTAATTTTGTTTAAGTAATTTTGCATGAATCTTGCATTACTTAATTCCCACTTCTGGGGTGCTGTCTACCTCCTGAATTCTATTTTCACGTTAATTAAATGAACAGAGGTCAAGTCCAAAGACAGAGGCAACATTGTGGAAACCGCTCTGTCTGGTGTTGTTTCTGTGGCTTCCATCTCAAGGACTTTGTTTCAATAAAACACATCCATACAACAGATTTTCATTCATCTGCTCCACCTGTTTTCACCCAAAATGTATCATCACCAGAATCATCAAATCTCCAAAAGATGAAGATAGAGCAACACTTCCATGCGTTTCTAATGGAGGCCCTAAAACGCTGTGAGAAAAATTCATATGGGATTGGTTAGTTAGGGTTCTGTTTCCTGTGAATGTGTCGATATAAAGAGCTTCTAAAATGTGTGTTTGTGTCTATGCTTCTGTTCTGTTTGTGTGTGTGTGTATACGAGATTATGTGGTGTACCTCCTTGATGAGAGTCTGCTACAAGAATCTTATGAATAAAGATTTGTTTTAGAATCCTTAAAGGTCATTAGGAGAGTAATAGATGTGGGGATCGGAGATTACATCAGAAGCCTTTCCCTCTCTCTCTTTCTCTTCACACACATATGCAATATGTGAGAACGGGTTGAAGATGCCCGTGTCCCTCAGGCCTAGTTGGCTTGTGTGAATTGTCACAGCGGTGTGACAGCAGAGACTTGGTGGCTTCTGCTGGATCAGGAAATCCGTTCGTTGGACAAAGTTAAGCTGGATGAGAGGTGAGAGGATGTAACCAAACCACACAATCAAAGGCTTGTTCCTTGCAGAAGACACTTCTCTCACAAGTACGTTCAATCTCTGTCGATGAAGGCAACACATATTCTTCAAACCGCTACGAGTGAACTACTAAAGTCAAATTTAGCTACACAATTTTTAACTTTATCCATCTTTAACTGTCTGTGTACAGTTTTCAATTATGTTGCAAAAAGACATCCCATCGCCTCGTTCCGTCACTGTTAGAGTAATAACATCTCATCAAGTGAATACCAGTAAAAGCATGTGTCATACAAACTCAAACCCACAATTAATATACATTTAATTATCATTACAATTAATTTGTCTAAAATAATTGTTTTCCTCAAATATTATTTTGACAAATAATAGGCTTAAAATAGGGAAATAATGAATTAACAAACATACCTTGCCTTTTTTTTGGGGGGGGGGGGGGGGGAATCAGATACCTTTTAACAAGATGGATAAACAAAGCACGAAGAACACTGTTTTTGTACCACTGAGGGCCCTGGTATTTGTAATTCCAATATGAAGAACTAAATAGTTGTTGAGTCGATTAGGAGAAGATAACAAAGATAGAAGGAAACTGAGTACATCAGTTTAAGTAAGGAATGAAGAAGTCAAATTGCACAGAGGAGGCACCTATTATTTGGGTTATCTGTACAAAAAGTGACAGATTGGACTTTGAAATCAAACAGAGTAGCAAAGGTTCGGTTGAGTAAACATCTGCCTGTTAGAAAGTTCATCCGGTAAAAGGTGGGATTGTCATGTTTCCGGAAAACGGGGAAACTGACCTCAGCCCTCCCCCAATCACACCAAAGTGACAGTTCGTTAAAGGGAAATGCAATACATCCTCTTTCTGCACAATTCTATCCCACGCACACGAACTGACGCACACAAGAATGTGAACTATGTGACCCAAGCCAGTTTTATTTTCAGTGGAAATTTCAGACTGTGACTGAAGTATGTGTGAACAGGACCTCTCTGACTACTCTTGTACAGAAAAGAAAATAGTTTTACTGGAGGGATTTCTCAAAAGTAAAAGTCTATATTTGTATGATCTGAAAGCTAATATGACAGGCCTTGAAATCCTATCAAAGCTGTTTTCTCAATAATTCCAATGACTGATGTACGTGTGTTCAGGACATCTCTGACTGCTCTTCTGATGAAAAGAAAATATTTCTACTCTACAAATATACTTCTTCTGTAAGAAAAGTTGTACATTTAAATGTTTAGAAAGTCAATATTTGAGCTTTTATAAAACTACTTTTCTTAATCTTTCCAGACAATTAATTTATGTATATACAGCTGTGCTCAAACATACTTAAAGCAATGCTAATATTTGGTTACAAGTCCCTTTAGCATTTTGAGCCATTAGATTTGGTCACATTTTCAGAAGACCCATACAAAATGAGAAAAGAACCAAAGTTCATCAGTATTCTTCAGTTTTTTGTGACAAAGAAGTGTGGGCTCCAATCATTCCGTCTAGTTCAGCAGGGGGCACTACAGCACCATGTTCAAGCTCCGCCTGTGTCCTCTATCACGTCCTCATACCCGGTTTAAATATTTGTGAACTCGCGCTTCTCCTTCATCTTGCATTATTCCAACTTGGCAACATGAGCGGAAGAGGAAAGGGAGGAAAAGGACTCGGCAAAGGAGGCGCCAAGCGTCACCGTAAAGTCCTCCGTGATAACATCCAGGGAATCACCAAGCCCGCTATCCGCCGTCTGGCTCGCCGCGGTGGAGTGAAGCGCATCTCCGGTCTGATCTACGAGGAGACCCGCGGTGTGCTGAAGGTCTTCCTGGAGAACGTGATCCGCGATGCAGTCACCTACACCGAGCACGCCAAGAGGAAGACTGTGACCGCCATGGATGTGGTCTATGCCCTGAAGAGACAGGGACGCACCCTGTACGGCTTCGGAGGATAAACACCGACTTCTGTTACCAAAACCCAAATGGTCCTTTTAAGGGCCACGCACTCTCTGGAGAGCTGATGTCCTCTGAAACTAACCGTTCCTGAGTAAAATGGTATGATGTCCCCTTTACCAGTAGAAGAGGGACTAGTGAAAGTAAATTTACAAAGTGATCTTTAAACAATATAATCAAGGAATAAATGTATGAATAGAAATGATGGATTTTAGAATTTTAAATAATCCTAATGGAGTTTAGTACATGAAGTTGGGTTGATCACCTGAGGTTTAAAAGTTTATGTATGGTGTGAGTCTTTTAATTGTCTATTTACAGTGCATCCGGAAAGTATTCACAGCGCTTCACATAGCGCAACACATGTTACAGCCTTATTCCAAAATGGATTAAATTCATTATTTTCCTCAACATTCTACACACAACCCATAATGACAAGGTGAACTTTTTTCCAAATCTGTTAACAAAAACATAACCTGTACATAAGTATTCACAGCCTTTGTTCAATACTTTGTTGAAGCACCTTTGGCAGCAATTACAGCCTCAAGTCTTCTTGGGTATGTTTCCACAAGCGTGGCACACCTATTTTTTAAAACTGTTCAAATATTAAAATATTCAGCTCCTTTCCGGCTTTCCAGCTATGACTTTTCAGCTTTCTACCTCTTGAATTTATATAAATCAATAATCAATATTTTAACATGGTTTTCCAATGGAGATAGTTTTCAAATCCTCTTAAACTTCAACTTTCAGATTTTTCAGCTCCGCCATTCTTTCAGCTACAGACACCATTTAAACTTTCAAATGTTGACACAAGTCTCAACTATTTCACGAAAAAAACAGCTTGTTATGTATTATACTTTTTTCATAATCACTGATTATGTTTCACTAGTTCTTCGCTCCGTTTCTGACTTTTACATGAGTGTATTCTGTCTGCTAGAGTGAGACCTCGAGGGCTAGAGTGTGGGGCAGCGTCAGAATCTGGTTAAAAAAATATGGAACTTCTGTCCTTGCAGCCAAAGTATACACTTTTGAGGCTTCATTTCTTTGGATTAATGATAGCATGGTTGTGCTGATTGGATTAATGGGTTCATGGAATCCCAGACTTCTTTAGTTTTGGATTCCTGAGTGTTAGCGTGACACAACCTCTGCCAAAAGCCCCATAGGCTCCAATACAAATCTGCTGACATATTTCTCAAAAAATCCAGAAGGTACACGTTTTGTAAACTGCGACAGGAGCCGTATTTATGACCGGACAGACATAAAAAAACGCATCCTTGCGTTCGGTAGAGTCTTGGGTCTCGTAAAAACGTCGTATTTTTTAGATAGCTGTTATAGTTTTGCGCTGGTGAATACTTGTTTGAGGTGTGGATTCTGTGTAACTCGCTGTCCTGTCTCTACCCTCTGCAGCAGCTCGTTAATGAGTACAGGTGCGCCTCGCACACACAGGCTGCAGTATCTCTGTCTGTGACTCACAGCTGCTCCTATTACCTCATTAGTGGAGTCACATGACTCAGTTTTAATTAAAAACTTCTTAGTTTGAATAACAAACATTCTGTCTCCCAAACCCCCCTCACCCAATTCCATCATTACAAAATAAAAGCCTCAATGATTATCTGTACCGTGACCATGAAGCTTAGAATGAAGCGGTTTCGTTGAAATACTTATTGCTCTTTCAAATACTACTACAACCACCACGAATATTACTAGTACTACAACTGATACTTCTACTACCATAATACTAGTATTTCTACTGCTATTAATACTACAACTACTACTAATGTTATTACAAATACTACTATGGCTAATAGTATTAGTAGTACAGCTGTTTCTACTTAGTATTACAACTGTTTCTACTGCTATTGATACTAAACCTACTTCTACAGTTAGTACTACTAATACCACAATTACAGCTATAACTAATACTACTACTAATATTACTACAAACAATTTTAAACCTCTTTTTATTCATCTCAGCTTTTGTTATTTCTGTACTTTTTAAAATTCATTCAAGCTCCTGTTTTTAGAAAATCTATTGAAATTCAGCTTCCCCACTTCCTGTATTTTCAGCAGTTCTTTAAAATAATTTCTGCTTTTCTTATGCCTCTATTAACAGCAATGTTTCAATATTCATTTCTGTATTTTTTTGCAAGATTTCACATTTATTTCAGCTGTTTTCATTTCGGCTTTTTCAGCAAATCTATAAATTCCTTTCAGCTTCTCCGATTTCTGTATTTTCAGCAATTTCAAATTAATTTCAGCTTTTCTAATATCTATGATTTCAGCAAATGTATTCAAATTCCTTTCAACTTTCTGTATTTTCAGCTATTTTAAACAATTTGGTTCAGCTTTCAGCTTTTTGCATTCCAACGCATTAACAGCAGGAAATGCATTTTCTAGTATTACATGTTTCTATTCATTGCGAAAAGCTTTTGCGTAATATGTCTGTCCTTAGACTCATTTTTCATATGTTTTCAAACCCTGTATTTTAGTTGAAGTTCTTAGTCAGTCAGCGTGGTTACATGGATTCGAATAACTGGCTTAGTCGGACTGAAATCGAATGATCCGTTTCATGTAAACACCTTTGACCGACTACGTGCGGTCCGACTACGATCCGACTAACACCCCTGGATAACTCGATCCGATCCAGTTGATAGTTCGACTATTGCGGCATGTAACGGTGAATCGGATAAGGAACTGGACTTTGCGCATGCTTGAGATCCCGGCGGCGTCTTCTCTCCGTTATCAAATCAGCCGATAGCGCCATTCGCATTCGCTGTACTCCTATTAACATCATGCACAAATAGTAGAGGGATGTAGCTTCACCTTGCTCTCCGTTCGTCATCTTTCTCGTAATGTTGATGTTGTTGTTGTTGGTTGGTGTTGGTCGTGGTGAAGAGGTCAAGCGGTCACAACTAGAAAACAGCGCCACCTATCATATCGGATATGACCTGCTTTCGGCCAATAATTCGATTTATTCACTGCCATGAATATTGGGATAATAGCACCTCCCCCCGAAAGATAGCATAGTCCGACTAAGCAAAGATTCCAATTATACCATCATGTAAACACACTGAGTGAGTACTTGATAAGCAATTGGATTTTCTTTAATGCGACACATAAACTTGTATAACTGTTGTGTCTGCTGTTAATATCTTAAGAATAAACAGTAAAGGGCTTTTTAGGATGGAGTTACTGGTGTCTTTACTGCTGGTACTTGAACTTTTTGGTCGTGCAGGTTTCCTCGCTGCTGTGTTATAACATGTACGTCTTGGTCTGGTCTATGCTCCGAGGCCCTTATTCTGGGGTTTCATGTACATGATTACTTTGTAATCAAAGGTTAGTTTTATGATATTTTATCAAAATCCAAATGTCAGTGTTGATTTCCTTATTCAGCTGAAAACACTATTAGTGGTTAAACAGTTACATCGCAACATTTAAGCTTTCCCAAAAAGGCAACATATGTTTGTCAGTATGTTTGATGATTTGATTACAAGTTGAAGTAATAAGTGTTATCAGCAGATGTCCACCGTGCAGCTATAAGCCTCCACCATCATCAGTGTGTTTGCTGCTCCCAGAATAATACCAGTTTATTAACAACGGATCACTATCTGATGGTGGTTTTTACATTGAGCTCCTGAACAAACATGTGAATCATTTAGAAATCACCTTTGATGGAGATGTGATGTCATTTAAATACTTTTATGGGAGAATTGAGTGGGAAAAGCCGCTGATCACTGCTGTCCACGGCGCTGAGTAGGTGAGGTTTTTAGGCTCCTCAAACAAAACGCATCGATCATCAGAGCTCTACGTGACCTGAACATGAAGAGAAACTAGTCCTCTATCGGCTGCTCCACCTTCAGCCTTCTCAACTTGGTGCACATTTAGTTTTTAGTCTTTAATCAGTGGAGAGAAAACACAAGTGACTCGACTTTCAGACTACACGAGGAGCTCGCGGCTGGGTTGAGTCTCTACGGTTCTCATGGTGTGTTTAAGTGCAGTCCGCTGCTTTGAGATCTTCAATCAGTCTCACACTCTCGAGTCCTCGACGATACAAACGCACAACAACGTCACAAAATGGCAGAAGTAGCTCCAGCCGCCGCCGCGCCCAAAGCAGCTAAGAAGAAGGTGTCCAAGCCGAAGAAGGTCGGTCCCAGCGTCTCTGACCTCATCGTGAAAACTGTGGCCGCATCCAAGGAGCGGAGCGGCGTGTCTGCTGCCGCCGTCAAGAAGGCTCTGACCGCCGGAGGATACGATGTGGACAAGAACAAGGCCCGCGTCAAGACAGCCATCAAGAGCCTGGTGGCCAAGGGGACTCTGGTCCAGATCAAGGGGATCGGGGCCTCTGGCTCCTTCAAGATGAGCAAGACGACCGCCGACAAACCGGCAAAGGAAGCCGCTCCTAAAGCCAAAAAGCCCGCAGCGAAGAAACCCGCAGCGGCCAAAAAGCCCAAAGCAGCCGCAGTGAAGAAAGTTGTAGCCGCTAAGAAGTCACCAAAGAAGGCCAAGAAACCCGCAGCGGCCAAGAAGGTGGCCAAGAGCCCCAAGAGCCCCAAGAAGGTGGCCAAGAGCCCCAAGAAGGTGGTGAAAAAGGCCCCTGCAGCAAAGAAAACTCCAGTGAAGAAGGCTGCTAAGCCCAAAGCCAAGAAAGCAGCACCCAAGAAGAAGTAAACCGATATCAGTCTGAAGAACCAATGCTTCTATAAAAGGCTCTTTTAAGAGCCACCCAATGCATCTTAAAGAGCACATTCCTTTTTTATATATATGTGTATATATGTATATGTGTGTGTGTGTGTGTGTGTGTGTGTGTATATATCATATATATATATATATATATTATATATATATATATTATATATATTATATATATAATATATATATATATAATATATATATATATATATTATATATATATATTATATATATAATAAGTCCTGAGCAATTTCTCTCACTAGACGCTGGAAGGGCAGCTTGCGGATCAGCAGCTCCGTGGACTTCTGGTAGCGACGGATCTCTCTCAGAGCCACGGTACCGGGCCTGTAACGGTGAGGCTTCTTCACGCCGCCGGTGGCAGGGGCGCTCTTACGGGCAGCCTTGGTGGCCAGCTGCTTCCTGGGGGCTTTGCCTCCGGTGGACTTACGGGCGGTCTGCTTGGTTCGTGCCATGATAGACTCGTCTCGCTCTGGTCAAGAGAAGTGAACTTTCAGAGGAGACACGCGGCTCTTAAATTGTGGACCGGCTGAGGAGCGGTGACGCTGATTCAGACCTCCGGTCCCTGATTGGTGGAGGACTCCTCCTGGAGCTCAGACGCGACTCTACATGCGAGTCTCCGCTGCTCATTGGCGGAAAATGATTTCAAACTGTCCGCCAAAAACTGAGCTTCGTGTCTGGAGCCTCTTCTCTGGTTGGTGCGCGTGTCAGGACATATAAAACGAGGGTTTGACGAGTTCCGAGACACTTCTTTCACTGAAACAGTCCAATGAGCGACAGAGTGGAAAGGCCCGAGCGACGGCAACAAAAGTCAAATTTTAAGCAATTTCTTACAGCTGACGTATGGAATTGATGGGTTTAAGAATCAGATCAGAGTCTGATTTCTATTCGCAAAACTATCTAGTGTTATTTTTATTTTGTTGAATCCAGAGATCAAATTACAATTTAATTAGATGTTTTAATCCAAACATCATGCAAGGTACTGCTAAACATATTATATTCTAGTTTCTTACAGTAAATGCGTTGAAATTGCACCAGTATTTCTTTTTAATAAACACATTCCGTGTGATGCAGCCTTTAAATGTGCACATTCGTAAATGCATGACAAAATTCTAGGAAAGAATCTGCTGATAATCTGCCATGGCCCACAAAAGAGCACAACATTGACAAGAGATTCCAATATAATCTGGTTAGTATTTGAATAAAACTGCAGGGGTTTTGCGCTTCCACGACACATTATCTGATGCATTAACTTAAAGTTATGTATTCCCCATGCATTCAAAACCGTTGTAAATGTTACAAACAATCAATTATAAAGGAAATGGTCTTCAGAAGAAGTGGGTGGCTCTTAAAAGAGCCTTTGTGTTGGTGGTCTACACCAGGTTTACTTGGAGCTGGTGTACTTGGTCACGGCCTTAGTTCCCTCAGACACTGCGTGTTTCGCCAGCTCGCCGGGCAGCAGCAGGCGCACAGCGGTCTGGATCTCCCTGGAGGTGATGGTGGAGCGCTTGTTGTAGTGAGCCAGACGAGAGGCTTCACCGGCGATGCGCTCAAAGATGTCGCTCACGAACGAGTTCATGATGCCCATGGCCTTGGAGGAAATGCCGGTGTCGGGGTGCACCTGCTTCATCACCTTGTACACATAGATGGCGTAGCTCTCCTTCCTGGACTTTCTCCTCTTCTTGCCGCCCTTGGTGACGGCCTTGGAGACGGCTTTCTTGGAGCCCTTCTTGGGCGCTTTGACGGTGGGTGGATCAGGCATGATTGCTGACACTTGGGAGTAGTAGGATAATGATATTCAAAGGCAGAACGATGTATATATAAAAACCTGATGCAAATTTAGCTGTGCTGTTTCTACCACTGGATTGGTTATCTCCTTGTGACGAACAGAGCATGCGCAAAAAGGAATACTGTTCTAAGAAAATTTCTGTTGCCTTTAAAAAAAAAACTTCGATATAACTTCTTGGTTAAATTAGTGATTATTGATGGTTAAATGGTTCTATTGAAGGCCCATGTGATGGGGATGGTTATATGTTTTTCCATCTCTGTGGCACTCAAATCTGTTAATGAAGAGTGCGTTATAAATAAAATGTATTATTATTATTATTATTATTATTATTATTATTATTAACTTATCACACCCGGGGGCCTGTTTCAGAAAGGAGGTTAAGTGAAAACTCTGAGTATGTTAACCCTGAAATGAGGGAAACTCTGAGTTTTCTGTTTCAGAATGGGAGGTATGTTAAACCTGAGAAAGCAGAGTAAGACAAGCCTGTTTCAGAAAGAGAGGTAACTTATACTCAGAGTCAGTTACCATGGCAACTTACTCTGTGAACCTAACCTGGTCGGGAGCAGGTTTTCTTCGGGAAACCCAGAGTTTATTTCGTCTCCTCCCCTTTTTTAAAGAGGAAGTGGTATTTAATCACCTCATTCATTCTTTCGGTATTCATTCATTGCGCACATTTCAGTCACGCAGAGCGCATCAAATCAAGTGAATGAAATGGCATGTCCTTTTATGGACGATCCTGTGGATGAAGAGGCTGCATTAATCCGTAGGGAGTTGCATTTACGTCGGGAGAGGATTTTGAGACCCAGAGTGGATTTTTTGTCATATCCATATTCATTTTTATTTGAGCGGTACCGTTTTTCTTTACAGTCAATAAGGTACATCCATAATCTCATCCATCCTTACATCAGAAACATCAGCCATCGCGGCCGTGCTCTAACATCCGAGCCGATGCTTTGCGTTGCATTACGTTTCTTTGCAAATGGTAGTTTTCTGTATAACATTGGGGATGCAGAACATATCAGTAAGGCTACTGTTTGCAGAGTTGTAAGGAAAGTGTGCCTCGCTCTTAAGCGCTTTCTCCGAATTTTTGTGCTGTTTCCTGGGCACAAACCCGTGAGAGCTAACACTATTTGTAATAATTTCTGGTGTATTGAGTAGGCTACTTACAACTGCCTGTGGTTCTGTTGGGACAGGAGGCTCCAAAAGACTAATTTTACCATCAGAATCTGTTGGGACCAACGAAAAACCCACCCCAAAGTAAAATAAATGGAAATATCGCAAATAGCCTATATAAAAACACAACACATAGGTAGACCTCTTACATTTTATGAAGGCACTTAAATCTTCTGGAGTGACTGGCTCTGATGAAGTCCCTCCAAGAATTCCCTCAGCCATTGGCCTTCCAGCATTCAGGCTCAGGGCCATCTCCTCTGCATTTGTCAGAGGTGGTGGTGCAGGTCCTCCCCCCGTTTTGCGAGCCTCTGCCTTCTTTCTGTTGGCTGAGTAGTCAAATGAGAATGAACATTTAGACCCATGTCAAAAATGCTGCTGCACTGCTAGACACTGGATGCTATTTAGTTATTTATATGTCAAATGTTTGTAAAGTCAGGTAGACTACAACCATGATATGTTCAAGCCTTACCTGATTGAATTATGTTTTTATATTTCATTTTCAGCTGCTGCCATGTTCTTTTAATGCCTGCAGGATTGCACCTACATGAAAATTAAAATTAGGTTGAATAACACACTGTTCTTCCAGTTTCACTTCTGATATTATAACAGTTGGGCAAGTCACTTATATTACTAACTACAACTGGCTTCTTCAACAGTGTAATTAGATTAATGTAATAATGACTATCTCTAGAAAGTATTGGTCTACTTATTACTAATTACTTTCTAAATCCCATATCAACCTCAACCACTTGAACAATACAAGGAGAGACAAGAAACTGCACTTTTAATGCTTTCAAATAAACATTATACAATTGCATGAATTATTCTTGAAAAAATATATCTTTTAAAATTTGATGTTAAATCCACTATTGTTTTATACAGAATTGCTTTATAGTTTATGCAGCATTTAATGCAATTACATCAGATTTTACTTTAAATTACGGAATTAAATTACAGTTTTTAGATTACATAGAAATTAATTACACACAACACTGTATAACAGTAATTCAAATGTAAACTTACGCATTGACTCGAGCAGCTATTTTCTCCCAAGCTAACTCTCTGTCCTTCGCCGCTGCAGCCGTGTTGCTTTTTTTTTTTAAATATATGTTCGTACTCTCCATATGCTTGCATAAGCACATCCAGTTCTGCTGATGAAAAATATGAAGACCTCTTTTTGTCTGGCGCTGTTGCCATGGTGACTCGTAATATCTGCGCTCCATTGATAATGGCTTTTTATAGTTGTGGTGCACGCGCTTAACTCAGAGTAGGTCAACTCAGAGTTGATTGAACTAACTCATTTCAGCTGTTCTGTAACCGAAAACTCAGAGTTTCCCATCTCAGGGTAAGTCAACTCAGAGTTCAAGTTTTAACTCAGAGTTGGTTGAACCTCCTTATTGAAACAGGCCCCAGTTAAACGGCTACATGGTGACATGAACCAGGAGAGACTTTAAAGCTTTAACTTTGTTTCCAGTCACAGCAACACAATAGCAGAATATAATCGCCAAAAAAATGAGAGTTTATTCAATCTAGTCTGTTTAAGAGACAATGTTGGTGTGACCAGAAACCCTTCAGCTCCAGTGCTTTGCTTTGTTGGAGACGTTGGTGAAGTAGACTAATGAATGTAAAAATATATCTTACAAAACATTTTTTGTGTCAAACTATGAATTCGCCTTCACATGGTTTGGTTTACATACTGAATAATACATATGACAATAGGTATCTATGTTGTGAACAGGTCTGAAGGGATTTAATTACCTTTTCCTTTGGAATGGCGGTGATTTATGTGCAGAATTTCATGTGGTGGAGCAAAACGTGGACATTACTACATGTTAAACATTGTTTTATTAGAACAACAGCAATATCATATATACTACGGTGGCCAAAGTAATTGTTATCACAATTATTGAATTCAGAAAATAATGTTCCAAAAAGCCTTACAGATGTCGTTTGAACTGCGATATTTTGGAGTTGTTACATAACAACAAAAATGTGAAATGATTTAATGTGAGAAAAATGTGATGTGTTAATGATGCCAGAGGTGTGGGCAACATTACAAAGTTTTGGTCTCATGTACATGTTATGTTTTCGTTCTTCATTTTTAACAGAAAATGTGCAAAAAACAGTTTTCACTTTGTCATTATGGGTTGTTGTGTGTAGAATGTTGAGGAAAATAATTAATTTAATCCATTTTGGAATGAGGCTGTAACATAACAAAATGTGGAAAAAGTGAAGCGCTGTGAATACTTTACGGATGCACTGTATATATATATACCAGCAATAGGGGGGGATGCGTGTGCACAATATTGTGCGTGCGTGTATGGGGGGTTAATGTGTCAGCACTTTTTATGGCTGCGCGTGTATGTGTGTGTGTGTGTGTGTATGCGCGTGAGTGGGAGGAGTGGGAGGCGCGACCTTGCACTTAGGGGTTTGTGTGAGTAGTAATAAAACAATAAGCATTATCAGAAACAAACAAATGTCTGTGATCTTTTATTGCAAAGGGGGTAAACTGCTGTAGGAAGGATGCCCAGACATATGACAGCTATCAGAAAGTGTTTTACGATGGGGGTGTGAGAGTATGGCAGACCACCCACCTGCTACAGACAGGTTGAGCAGACACATTTTGACCAGAAAATCCCCAGAGACCAATAGGTGTATGTAACCACCCCACACATGGGGAGGTATTGAAGTTATTATTGGCCGATATAGCAACATTTTAGGTCTTTATCTACATTATATAATATTCAAAAGTATTTTCTATACAGGGCTGTGGTATCCATCAGAAGGCCCCGCGGTGTTTAAACCTCCAATAAAAGGCCTGCGTTAGCTCCCACCAGTCAGGACACCAGGGGCGGTAATAAAGTTGTTAGTGCGTGTGTAATGTATTGTAATAATATCTCTATCCACTTTATATAACTTTAAAAAATGTTTTTACACAGGTCTATGGTTTCCTCCCAAAAAGGCGCGCGGTGGTAAACACACGCAAAAGGTTAAACACACAAAAGGTTAAAAGGTATGTATCAATCGAGACATATTTTGGGGTTTGAGCCTATGTGCATATATTTATACACTTTCTTTTATTATTGCGCAGACAGCCTTTGGCGGCGTGGACTATACCGAATGAAGAGCCGGAACTTTTTACCCCAAGATACGACGACCTGATGAGCGATGAGGATTTAATACGCCGTGTTGAGGCCCTCGAATCGCACCTGGATATGAGACGAGACCAGAAGGCTGTAGGTGAGCAGAGCCGCTGCGCTGGTTGTACCGAATCCCGAAGAGAATGACCGACTTGGCGAGTTGTTAAAGGAGATCCAGGATTTGCGCCACACCACCCACCCGGGAGTGGGATCCCTCCTCTGACGTTCTCCCTAAGGTTTCTTCCCTTTTTTCCCTCTTGTAAGGGTTTTTTCATTTTTTGGGGAGTTTTTCCTGTGCCGATGGTGGGTTTCGGGGCAGAGGATGATGTATGTGTACAGACTGTAAAGCCCTCTGAGGCAAATTTGTAATTTGCGATTCTGGGCTATACAAAATAAAATGACTTGACTTGACTTGACCACCCAGAATTTAATAGCATTAGTGACCAATCTCTGTAAATCGCAGGACGAGACCAAGCGAACAATAAAACATTATATGGCAGTACAAGAGAAAGCCGGTACGACTATCATAGATTTTGCCACCTGATCGTCAGGAGGTAGACGGTAGACGTCCTTCTCTGACTTATGATTTACTCCAGGTTGCTCGGGTTTTCAAAAAAAATAATGGTGGAGGAGAGGAGAGAAGAGGAATGGATTTTGCCACTGGATCGTCGGAGGTAGACGCCCTTCTCCATGTGGTTTTCTCCCGGTGCTCGGATTTTCAAAAAATGTTATTTAATGTTTTATGTCTGTGTGTGTGTCATAGGAAGCTCGCCCATGAATAATCGTGTAAGTGATAGTATGGTTGCAAAGTTGAAGAATGTTTTCCCCAGGTGGGGCTATGACTAGTTAAAATTGATCATATGGATGTCTACTGTCAGGAAGCTGAATGGCCGGGAAGGTAGGACTCAAACCCAGAGTTTTCCAAAAACAAAAGGACTTTAATCGTCACAAAAGGTTTTCAAAAGCAGAAGGCCAAGGGGAAAAAACGGAGACAGGAACCGAGAACGTGGACAGGTGAAAGGGACGCGACAAGTGACAACAGACACACATGAATTAAATACACTAGGGAGGTGCAGGTGATTGGTGATTGTCATGACATGACAGACAATCACAGGGGACTGACGGGACAAGGCAGGAAGTGACGTGACCCAGGGAGAACCGTGACAGTCTACAGGGTGAGAAGTTCATGCTATATGAGAAATATGGAGCAGATTAGATAACGTGTGGTTGTGTTAAAACAACTTCAATTTTCATGGCAAATGGTGGTTTTGAAAAAATGCTCCCTACACAAATAGTTTGGAATTTCATCCGGCAAAATGCAATTTTTAGAGCCTATGGTCTCGAGATTACACTGCGCGAATTTGAAAAGAATCAGGACCGAGTTTTCTCTGGAAGTCTGAGGCAGATTGGCCAATAAGTAATCATGATGTTAGTTCCTAACATTATGATTCCTCTGGGTGATCATATCAGGAAACACTGCATAAACTTCCATTGTTATGCAGACGATACTCAACTGTACCTGTCAATCAAACCAGAAGAGACCGACCAGCTAGTTAGACTTCAAGAATGTCTTGGAGACATCAAAACTTGGATGACCAGCAACTTGACCTGATGCTAAACTCAGAAAAAGCGGAAGTTATCTTGATAGGCCTAGAGCGCCTTCGAAGCCAGCTGTCACGTGATACAGTTTTTATGGATGGAATGTCTCTGGTACCCAGCAGCACCGTAAGGAGTTCTCTTCGACCAGGATATGACCTTCAACTCTCATATAAAGAAGACTTCAAGGGTGGTCTTTTTTCATCTACGTAACATATCAAAAATCAGGAACTTCCTGTCTCAAAGTGATGCAGATAAATTAGTCTGTTGTCATTCCAGACTGGATTACTGTAATTATTTGTTAGCAGGCTGCTCTTGTAAATATTGAGCCTCTCCAGTTGATTCAGAATATTGCAGCATGTGTATTAACGAGTAAGAACTAAGAAAAGGGATCATATTACTCGTGTATTAACTTCTCTGCACTGGGTCCCTGTTCAAGAATAGATTTTAAGGTACTTCTCCTCACCTACAAGGCACTTGCTGGTGAGGCACCGTCGTATCTTATAGAGCTTGTAACACTGTATTGCCCTACAAGGCAGCTGCGCTCCATAGATGCTGGGTTACTTGTTGTTCCTATGGTTTTAAAAAGTAGGATGGGGGCCAGAGCCTTCCGTTTACTAGACTCCTCTTTTGTGGAACCAGCTACCACTTTCAGTCCGGGGGGCAGATTCGGTCAGCTCTTTTAAAGCAAAGCTTAAAACTTTCCTCTTTGATTTTGCTTATAGTTAGGGCTGGCTCAGGTTAGCCCGGACCAGCCCTTAGTTAAGCTGCTATAGGCTTAGACTGCCGGGGGACCTACAACCGGACCTACATATGACGTCGCCCAACCCAACTATATTCTGCTCACAGCAGGAGATCGCAGAGGAGACATGCCGGTGGTGTTGGATTGAATTGTGGTATCATAAGTATCGGGTAACTTAACTTTTATGGCATTTTTTTATTTTTTGCCCGTGGTGATTGAGTTTGACACCACCGCTCTAGCCTACTCAACACCTGCATCACTCGGTGGCAGGTAAGGCGTGGTCTTCCTCTGCGGACATTCATTCCTTATGGCCCTGTAGTTATACGTACAACTATCTGATCGTAGCCCAGAGTTATGTACCTTTTTCCCCATAATCTGCCCCATGGCAAGCATTGATTTGTAACAATTTATTTTTAAGCCGTATATTTTTGAGAAGATGTCAATTGTAGAAAAGACCTTTGGAATTGATGTCAGGTCCCTGATCAGCAATAAAATGTCATCTGCATACATAAACATGTTACTCCTTGTATCTTTTATATTTTAATTAAGAATATCAACGCTCTTTTATATATTCAGTAGCTCTGCCTTTGAATATGACTCAAAAGTCAGTATATCTTACATCCTATAATATTCTGAGGGAGAGGCAATTTTAGGCTTTAATACAGAATAGGCCCCTTTCACCGCCTCAGCTGGAATGAGTCCATATGTATCTAGTGATTTTTAAAACGTAATTGCATACTCTTTCACTAGTCCCTCTACTACTAATGGGGACATCATCATCATACCAGTTTATAGTGTTGGTACCGCTTCGATTTGATTCAAATTGGCTCAAAACAGGGTTCAGGCTCGTCGGTTTGATAGTACTCTGCTAGTATGATCACAAACATACAGAAAGAAAGATAAATAAGATAGATAAGTGTTTGTTCCACTTCTTTCCAATGTACAGAGAATTGAAATACACAAATAAGGACACAATTCAAAGATGAAAAACAATACATGGATTCCTATATGAATAAAACTATTTATTGGTTCAACTTTTTACAATCAGATTGGGCCAAAATATACTGGTATGCTATTCGAAATATTTGCACTACAAGTTTAACAGCAGAGGTAATCATAGAGTTTGCGATGAATTGAATGACCCTTTTTCCGATATAATTGGCTGGAAAGCTTCACTTTGCCATCACTACCAGTTTACTCAGGAAGGATATCAATGGATATCAGCTCTTCGAGTGAGTGCGTGGCCCTTAGAAGAACCTTTTTATTGTTGGTGACAGAAGTCGGTGTTTATCCTCCGAAGCCGTACAGGGTGCGTCCCTGTCTCTTCAGAGCATAGACCACATCCATGGCGGTCACAGTCTTTCTCTTGGCGTGCTCGGTGTAGGTGACTGCATCGCGGATCACGTTCTCCAGGAAGACCTTCAGCACACCGCGGGTCTCCTCGTAGATCAGACCGGAGATGCGCTTCACTCCACCGCGGCGAGCCAGACGGCGGATAGCGGGCTTGGTGATTCCCTGGATGTTATCACGGAGGACTTTACGGTGACGCTTGGCGCCTCCTTTGCCGAGTCCTTTTCCTCCCTTTCCTCTTCCGCTCATGTTCACTGGTTGGTTTGGTGCCAGATGAAGAAGAAGCGCGAGTTCGCAATGATTTAAACCGGGTATGAGGACGTGATAGGAGACACAGGCGGAGCTTGAACATGGTGCTGTAGTGCCCCCTGCTGAACTAGACGGAATGATTGGAGCCCATACTTCTAATGGCTCAAAATGCTAAAGGGACATGTAACCAAATATTAGCATTGCTTTAAGTATGTTTGAGCACAGCTGTATATACATAAATTAATTGTCTGGAAAGATTAAGAAAAGTAGTTTTATAAAAGCTCAAATATTGACTTTCTAAACATTTAAATGTACAACTTTTATTACAGAAGGAGTATATTTGTAGAGTAGAAATATTTCCTTTTCAGCATAAGTGCAGTCAGAGATGTCCTGAACACACGTACATCAGTCATTGGAATTATTGAGAAAACACGTACATCAATCATTGGAATTATTGAGAAAACAGCTTTAAAAGGGTTTCAAAGCCTGGCATATTAGCATTTAGATCATACAAATATAGACTTTTACTTTTGAAAAATCTCTAAATCTCTACAGTAAAACTATTTTCTTTTCTGTACAAGAGTAGTCAGAGAGCTCCCTAACACATGTTTTTATCGCAGGTCAATTATTGAGAACTAATCTTTTTGAACATGTAATATGGGTCTTTTACTTTGGAGAAATCTGTACAGTAAAAATATTTCATTTACTGTACAAGACTACTCAGAGAAATCCTGTCCACACATACTTCAGTCACAGTCTGAACTTTCTACTGAAAATTAAACACTTCCTCTTGGCTTGGGTCACATAGTTCACATTCTTGTGTGCGTCAGTTTGTGTGCGTGGGATAGAATTGTGCAGAAAGAGGAAGTATTGCATTGCTCTTTAACGAACTTTCACTTTGGTGTGATTGGGGGAGGGCCGGATGCTGAGGTCAATTACCCCGTTTTCCCGAAACATGACAATCCCACCTTTTACCGGATGAACTTTCTAACAGGCAGATGTTCAACAGAACTTTTGCTGTTCTGTTTGATTTCCAATCATGAAGTCCAATCTGTCACTATTAAATGTATCTATAGATATTATAAACCCAACTTCAAAAAGGAGACATGTTCTTGAAAGAATTGGGGAACGAAAGTTGTATGATGGTTCAATATGAGTTTGTAGAGTTCATGGGCGTACAATGATAAACGTTTTTATAATGCAGACAGGAATTCTAGGGAGTTGTTTCATAGGGAACCACCATAGTGAGGTAATGTGAATCTCTATCTTTAGCGAGTCATTCACCAACAAGTGGCAGGTACATGCCTTTTTTCAGTGAAAGCGAGTGTGTGCCAGTATAGGTCGCCATTATAGCACTATAGTGAGAATCCTCACCATTCAATGTCTGCATATGTGTGGACTGTGTGGCCTTGTTTGTCATCTATGGTATTTCTCGAACTGAGCTCATTGTGAGTGTGTTGGTTCTTCTATCAGTCACAAACTGGGTCACAACATCTCCCTGTTTCCTGCTCTGCGCTAAACAATCCAGCTATCAAAATGTATCTGAGGGCGCTGAGATATCACACCATGCAGTAAACCCTTGAGTAACACAAACAGTCGAATCCCACTCAACACCTATGTTGTGTTCAAAAATGAAGAAACGCCGGACGGACAGAGGTCATCGCAGATCTAAAGGTTAAAATCAAATGTATTTAATAAAAGAGATGGTGTTGTGGTAAAAAGAACATCTCAGCTGAGGAGCCGCTGGTCTTAGCAACCAACAGGCCCCAGGTCAGACTTTTGACCATCCCTAGTGCCCGTTTGTTGTCTCCACCAGCGAACTCGAGAACAATTGTTGCCCTACAGGTATTTATAACAATGCTTAAAGGTGTGAAAGTTAGTGTCCACACCTCTGGTAGTTGTCTTCTGGTGAGTTCAATGTAACTCGGATTTTGAATGGCCCTTAGTCAATATTAGTTGTTGCGCAAGTATTACATGCATGCATTCCAGTTGATAACATTACATCAAATACAATCATAACTGTCCATTGGTATTATTCTATTAAAGTTGCATAATTACAGTGGTTTTACAATATTGTCATTACTTTATTGATTACACAGTTTCAGAATCATGGCTGTACTGTATCTGGTGTACACTATATGCATTTTATTAATTTTATGAACCGGGTCGTCAGTTTATTTCTAATATCCTACACCTAATAATAAGAACAATAAACAAGTAATTTAGGTATTATAGCTGTTTTGGAAATTGACGAGTCAAAAAAATGATTTGATAATTATTTCTCCTTTTGGGAGTCAAGCCCAGAAGACTCAACACAGGTCAAATCAAACACTCATGTATTGGGATCAAATGAAAACTAATAGTGATAACATGTAAATTGTTTGATACATGAGTAAATACAAATGATCCAAAAATCGAATTTCTGGAGATCTCCCCTGAACTGCATGCATTAAAACAATCTCTAAAGATGTGTCATACACTCTAACGAAAGAGAATGTTAACATGTGCTGTGATCTACAAGTTTAGAGATCAAATAAATTCTGAATAAAAAGGGATTATTGTCTTGAAAGTGCTTTTTTATCTGTGGCATCTTCATTTACTTTACACATCTTCATCTTCATCATTTGCTGATTGAGGAATTTTGCATTGAGTTTGGAATTTTTTACTTACTATTATTGGGCTTATGTTCAGGATTTAGGAGTAAATAAGTAGGCATGATGTTTGAAACGTCTAGAATTTGATGAGTATATTCTTGACTAGCAAGTATTCAATAAGACAAACAATTTAAAAAAACACTTTATCCATTTGGCCTAAATCAAACATAAAATAAACTCCTGTCAACACTCACTCACCTGCACACAATAAACAGCTGGACAGATGCAGCTCCGGAGCAAATACCGGTACTGTAACTTTCCTTTTGTGAGCCCGTGCACTTCTGATGACCATAGGCAGTTAGCTCTAGTTCTTTCTTATATATATATAAAACTGTGTAGAATTATTTGTACATACAGTATTTTAATCAGGAATCAGGAAACATTTATGAAACAAAAGGTCATCAGCCATATTGCATAATCACTTGAACATGAATCACTTGAGTGTTAGAGTAGAACAGCTACACACAACACTTCATGGACTGATTCTACAAATTATGTGAGCGTGTAAAATAAAATATTTCCATAAACTAATAATAAGTTAATATGGAGGAAGTACTCAGATATGTACCTGAATAGTAGAGCGTTAACTACTTTGTCACAAGTGAGTGGTGGAGTGACTCTTTTAGGGTGAGTGGGTGTGAGAGAGGTGGGAGGGACAATGTATGAGTATAAATACAAGCCTTGGATGGACAAAACAAGAGTGTCAAGACGCCTGAAGAAACTTGTGTATAGGAAGAAACTATAGCAAACTTCAGGGGTAAGTGATCGTATCTCTTTATCGCTTTATATATACATTTATCTATATCTCTCTATCTCTCTCTCTCTCTCTCTCTGTCTCTCTCTCTCTATATATATATATATCCTTCTCTCTCTCTCTCTCTCTCTCTCTCTCTCGCTATAATATATATATATATATATATATATATATATATATATAGATCTCCCACACGGCTTTGAGTTGCCTTGTTTTTTT